GCACCACAGCTGACAACTCTTGTAAATTTGTCAATTGAATATAACTGTTTCCGTGATAAACTTAAAGAAGCCCAAGTGACCCCCCTTCATAAAAAGAGTGACCCATTATTAAAAACAAACTATAGACCAGTTAGTGTCTTACCCATATTTTCTAAAATCTTTGAAAAAATATATGAAATTCAACTAACTGAATACTTTGATAAAATATTTAATCCTTTTTTGTGTGCTTTTAGACGTGGACATGGATGTCAGACCACACTTCTCAGAGTGTTAGAAGATTGGCGTGAAGCTCTTGATAAAAACCAGTACATTGCAGCGGTATTAATGGATCTTTCTAAGGCTTTTGACTGCCTGCCTCACAATATCTTGCTAGATAAATTATCAGCATATGGTGTATCCCCCCATGCAGTTGCTCTTTTAAAGTCCTATTTATCTAATCGTAAACAACAAATTAAAGTCAACAATGTTCTGAGTGGTTGGGCTGACATCCATAAAGGCGTACCACAGGGTTCTATACTAGGGCCATTGTTGTTTAACATATTTATAAATGATATTTTTCTTTTTGTTAAAAATGGTAGTTTATATAACTATGCAGATGACAATACTTTGTCTTTCTGTACTCCAGATTTTGATTTATTAATTTCAACTTTGGAATCTGAGTCAAAAATACTTATTGAGTGGTTCCGGGTGTATAAAATGCAAGCAAATCCCGACAAGTTTCAAATGTTGGCTGTTGGCAAAAAGACCTTTGAACAAAACCCATCTATACATATTCAAAACTCGAACCTTACATATGAAAAAACAGTAAAATTGTTAGGCATTGAAATTGACTATCAGTTAAATTTTGATGTTCATATCAGCTCAATCTGTAGGAGGGCATCACAGCAATTAAATGTTTTAAAACGTTTGGGCTCAGTTTTGGATAGACTTAGTAAACTTACTATTTTTCATACCTTTATTCTTAGTAATTTTAATTTTTGTCCTTTGGCATGGCATTTTTGCACTGAGAAAAATTCCAAAAAATTAGAAAAGGTGCAGGAAAGAGCACTCCGTTTTGTATATGAGGATTTAACCAGCCCCTACGAGGACCTCTCACTTAAAGCTAATGTGCCCTCCTTGCAGATTAGACGGATTAGAACAATGGCTCTAGAAACTTTTAAGATTATAAATAATATAGCTCCTGTGTGCTTACAAAATTTGGTGAGTGTCAAAAAATCTAAGTATTCTTTCAGGTATGTAAATATTCTGGATGTTCCACAGGTAAAGTCAACCCGTTACGGTAAAAAATCTTTCAAATTTGCTGCCGCTACTTTATGGAACAGCCTTCCAAACCATTTCAGGACTGAAAATATTTTTTCACATTTTAAAAGTCTTGTTCAGTCCTGGAGCGGTTTGGAATGTCGCTGTTCTGCTTGCAGATAATTCTTGAGATGTTTATTATTTATATTGCTTTTGGTTGCTCTGGTCTATCATGTTTTATTTCATTTTAAATTTGTTGCTAAATTTTTATTGCATGCTATGTAAGTGAGATTTAACTTCGTATAACAGGTTGTTTTATATGTCAAATTAGACTCTTTTTATGTTATGTATATGTTTTTATATTCGGTCAAAAGCTCCTTAGAGCTTGTGTTGTGTCTTTTAACTTATGCCGAATCAAAATCAAGTTTTCTTATCTTATCTTATCTTATAGCTGATTATATAATTTTAAACTACCGATCTTCTTTAAATGTATTGTTTTCAGAGAGAGAAAAAACAAACATTCCAATTGAAGACATGGTAGAAAGATTGAACATGCATATTCAGCTTTGACTTTAATGCAGTTGTGCCTGCTGGTGTATAATTCATAGCACGCACGGTGGTACATTTTTGTTGTCATCACACCGAGGTATGCATGCAAAACAAATTTCTTGGTAGAGTGGTCTAACAAACAACATTTATAATTTATATACTATATTCTGAGTTCTATTTCAACCACCAACAATTAAAGACCGCAATAATTTTATTTTTCATGTAAATGTTTCCCCGTACAATACGGTATCAGGGGGTATCCTGTAAAAACACGAAATTTAGAAAATCGTGACCACGGGAACATACGACGACAATCATGATTCTAAAATATAATGATTTTCCTATAATTTGCCAAAAACAATTAGCCGTGTGTTATTCGTTAACTTAAACTATTTAACTAGAGGACTTTTTGGACATTGGGCACCCTACTATCTGTAAATAAGAAAAATATAACTTTCAACGAAGAGAGTAGCGTTTGTAAACTGGCTCCAAATGTATGATAATGATGGTCTCTTTTGATATAGTTTGGGCTGTCTAGTTTATGACTTTTGAACAACGGTATACTACTGTTGCCTTTAGTTTATAACCCGGATTTGTTTCCTCTCAATCTATTTATGACTTTTGAACAGCGGTATACTACTGTTGCCTTTATTTAGCTGTAAAATTTGATTGTATATATGAAAAAAAGGATCAAGTAAGAGTTGGGCTAAATTGTCACTGTGCTTTCAAATTTTATCAACACATGTCTTTGTAGCAAATCTCCTTTAAAAACATCCAGTCACAGTAAATAGAAAATTTCGAATTACGTAAGATTGAAGATAAGTAAGATGAATATAAAAATTAACGTAAATAAAAAGGGAGATAAAAAAACATTAGAATCTAGAAAACTAATGTTAGTGATTGTTTTAAATCCTAACTGTACATTTGTTTCTCTGTCCTTCTTTCATAAAATGATGCAGACGCTATTTTACAAACTTGCAACCGATCTTGTAATCTTGTAATTAGGATTGACATCTGCAAACATTTATACAAACAAAGCAAGCAAGTCAACCAAACCTTTAAATTACAAGCATTAGGAAAAGAGCTCTAAACATTTTCTTTCTTTCGTAAGGAAAACTACATCAATACTAAGAAAGTGAATACCAAGATATATAATATACCATCAAGGAGCTGTATATTATTTGATATTTTTTCTAATGTTCATCTATTATCTTATTGTGAATACATATTGTACATGTATCCTGACAAAGTGATTAAATCAAAGATCTGTTAATGCAGAGTAAGATGAAAAATCAAATAGAATTATGAATAATATTAGGACATGTTAGTGAAAGGGATGCATTAAAACTTTCAACAACCCATACATCTTGTTGATGTAGTTCTAAGACAGTCATAGATAAAAAAAAAATCTAGGACTAAATATGTGATGAGACACTATTGGGGTCCTAATCTTGCTTCATTAACATGTACCAGTATATGTCCATAAATATGTTCATATTTTCCCTTACAATGTTAAACAATGAGATTTACTCCAAAAACTTGGTGTCTATTCTGCAATCTATTTCAGGAAAGTTATAATTTTTCAGTACTTCATTTTCATGAATAATATCTCGCAATGGTCACATAGTTTTAACCATTTTATATATTCGAACACGTATTAAGGATTCAGGAAAAAGTGATTTACGCAGTTAAATCTAAAAGATAAATTGTGCGAATTTAGAACACGATTCTAAAAGGGATTTCAACCTAAATAATTAATTTTAGGTAAAAGTTCTACTTGTTTTGTATATCTTAATATAAAATTCAAATTACCTCCCGTCATGAAAAAATTAAACTTTATATTACCTCATGATATAATTGGACGTTCAATAACAAATATAATTGGACATTCAATAACAAGTGTCCCGATTACGTTACGTGACTTTGCATTGACATTTTCTCATAATGACGTTTTCCGCCATGAGCCTGGAAATGCCATGGCAGGTCACATATATGTTATACAAAATTACAATTCAATGCAACCTATGAGCATTTCAAGCATGAGTTGTGAATACAGAAATAATATCAAACAGATAAATTTTACTACTATAGGGTCTCTACTGCTATTGCTGAACTATCAATCTCTGGTGATACCATCCACTCAGTATCCAGGTATTCAGTATTGGGATAATTGAAATATATGTTTTGTCTAGAAATTTCTTTCTTTCCTTTATTCTTTTGAAAAATAATAAGACATGGAAAATTAAGTAATACCATAAATAAGTATTGCCAGTATTTAAAGATACAAAGAGGTAAGAATTTGCCCTATATATATCATACATAATAATTCAAAATACTTAGGATTTTCTAACCCAAGGAAAAGATTACCTTGGCTGTATCTGGCAAAAACCTTTCAGAATTTTGAGTCCTCCATGCTCTTCAAATTCGTACTTCATTTGGCCTAAATGATTTTTTTTATTTGAGCGTCACTGATGAGTCTTTTGTAGACGAAATGCAAGTCTGGTGTACAAATTTTTAATCCTGGTATCTATGATGAGTTTCTATACTACTAAAAATATTGTGCAGAACTTAATAAAATGCTGCTTCTAATCATTTCCACTTTCTATTTATTTCAATTTTTAAAACAAAAATTAAATTGAACTTAAGCTAAGGTTTTAATTCCCATTAGGCAAATAATACGTAAAAAGTATACCGGTAATAGAAATTACCAAAAATATTGGATAGTACAACAAAACACTTTGATCAATCTTTTGTTTGCACAAAAATGATGTTCAAACGAGGACAAAAAAAAATAATGAACAACACATGGTCTAGATTACCTGACTTGGTGCAGGCACAAAATTTGGTTGGGAATAAACCATTTTACATTTACACAAAAAATATTGGATAGTACAATAGGCCACATCAACCACAAACATCTGGCTCCTCTTAAAAACAGACACACAAACAAACAAAAGATGAGGAATATGATACAGATAGTCAGAATTTTGGAACAGGCACAAACTTTGATGGGGTTAAAATTACCCAGTTTTATGTTCACACAAACATACCCCTTTACTCTCATGCAAAAGTGACATTGGATGATTTATAGTGTTCTGCCCTGCTTGTGCTCTCCAAAGTTTTATATTTTTACTTTCCATACATTTGGTTAAGAGTGTAAGTACCTGATGACACTTAATCCAGAAACATGTCTTGTAGGCATGGAAATCATATTAGTGGTATATATGTTCTTTATTTACAAATTTTCTTCTAAAAATAATTCAATTTCAAATAAAAACCAATCACATTTTGTGTCACTTATTTACTGTCTATGCTTTTAACCATACATGAAATTGAATTTTAAAAACTTATCTTTGGTTTCATTATTAAAGACCTATTAAGGATAAATACCGTAAAAGCTTTGATCATTTTTTTTTATTTTAGAGAGATTAGATTTTTTTGTTTTCATGCCTAACTAGTAACTACAACAAATCATGCCAATCTGATATAAGGCTTGAACTCAATCACTGCTGCATAAGAATTTCCGAATATATTGTACAGTACTTCAGAAACAACACAATTATTTCATATCACAATTGACTTGAATTTTCTGGTATTAATTTCAGAATCCATTCTCTCAACATGCTGATTTCCTTAAAGTTCATTTCATGATAAAAATTAAATTTATGAAACTCTGTTGATATTCCAAGCTCTTCTAACTGTTTGTTTGTATTCAGTCCCCATTCTGGTAAAACAAGTTGGTCCAGGTCACCATGACAACAGAATAACTTGGGTAATTTTGATTTGTCACTTACAGTTTCTAATGTCTGAAATGAAAATGCAACATCATGAGATGGATAGCATTTTATGTCTCTACAAATTTAATGTGGATAAAAACTTGAATAAGCAAAAATGACAGAGGCGTCCAAAAAACAAGCAACATAACTTATCATTTCTTAAGATTTGTCTATGGCAAGCCATTTTACTATTTATTCTAACTTCAAGATATCTAATATTATATATAAGATATCTAATATAATCAAATTTGTATAAGATATCTTATAAACTTTATAAGATATCTTATATACTTTATAAGATATCTTATAAATATTTTTTATATAAGATATCTCATATAGTTTATAAGATATCTTATATAGTTTAAAAGATATCTCATATAGTTTATAAGATATCTCATATAATTTATAAAATATCTTATAAAGAAAATTATGAGATATCTTATAAATTATATGAGATATCTTGTAAACCATATAAGATATCTTATAAACTATATAAGATATCTTATAAAGTATATAAAATATCTTATAAACTATATGAGATATCTTATAAAGTTTATTAGATATCTTGAAGTTAGAATAAATAGTAAAACGGCTTGCCATACTTGTCAACCATTATAAAACATTTGTAATGGGTAAATGTTAAAGACTACTGTAAATTCTGAAATTATTGCATGCATTTATTATAAGATATCAGAATGTGAGTTCTTATTATTGCAATACTCATCCAGTTGCATTATTCCCATTAATAAATACCTCGCAATAATTGCTAAATTTGCAGTACTTCATCAATTGAAAATAAAAGAGGAATTCTTAAATTGCCTCTATAGAGTGTAACCCAATTTTCAAAGTGCCTTCCCTGGGTACCATGTATTTCTTTATAGACCATCCCTTATGAATCTTTATAGATTAAGGTAAAAAATTGTAAAAATTACATATTTCTGTCACTTTTGTAATATAAACGCTGACATTGGTATTACATGTACAGGTACTTAATAATATGTGACCCGCCATAACATTTCCAGGCTTGTGGCAGTAAACGTCATAATGAGAAAATGTCGATGTAAAGTCACGTAACGTAATTGGGGCACCTGTTATTGAATGTCCATTTTTATAATGCGGTAAAAAAAAAGTTTAATTTGTTCATGACTTGAGGAAATTTGGATTTTGTATTAAGATATACAAAACACTTAGATTTTTTTACGTAAAATTAATAATTTAGTAAAATCCCATTTAGAATCGCATTCTAAAATCACAAAACTTATCTTTTAAATTTCAGTGCGTAAATCCCTTTCTCCTGAATCATTAATATGTTTTCGATTATACAAAATGGTTTAAATTATACCACCATTGCAATGCTAGCTATTATTTAAAAAAATAAAGTACTGAAAAGTTATAACATTCCCTAATCAGATTGCATCATGAACACCAAGTTTTTGGAGTAAATCTGATTGTTTCACATTGTAACGGAAATATGAACATTTATATGGACATATACCTGTACATGTAAATCAAGCAAGATATACCTGCCCATTAGGACCCCAATAGTGTCTCATCCAATGTTTATTCCTAGTTTTTTTTTTATATATGACTGTCTTAAAACTACATGAACAAGATATATGTGTTGTTGAAAATTTTCTTCATTTCTTTCACCTACATGCCCTAAGTTTATTGATCATGCTGTTTGATTTTTTTGAAACTAGAAAAATGCATTTTTTGGCCCCTTTTTGACCCCTAATTCCTAAACAGTTGGGACCATAACCCCAAAGTCAATCCTAACCTTCCTTTTGTGCTATAGAACCTTGTGCTTAAATTTCATAGAGATCCATTCACTTATACTAAAGTTATTGTTCGGAAATCAAATGTCTTCGGACGACGACGACGACATAATAGCAAAATATGAACGCAGAATTTTTGCGGTCATATAAAAATGGATGAAAATATGAAATCTTTTCCTATATCTGTCTAATGTATTTATAAATATGAAGCAGCTATACAAGTTCTCTTATACTTTCAAAAAAGATATATTTAGCAATACATACACAACAGACTTACTCAAATAATTTAAGTTTTAAAAAATACACCTTTACAAGGCCGATTATTGGGATTACTGGCTCTACTACTTTATTACAATGATCCCAATTGTATAGATATGGAAAAGTTCATGTGCTACTGCATAAACCCCCCAAAAAGTTTCTGATATATAACTAATATATAAGTTGCACAATGACATAAAGAAATATTCTAGGAAAGTTTCAATAATATAAGGCCATTCTTTTTAGAGGAGTTGCAGCTATAAGGTCTAACCCTTTTACAGATATATATTGCAAAATCATTTAGCTATATGGGAAACAATAGAAATCAGTTGGATCAAAACATAAAATAAGATAATACCTATAAATACTTAAGATTCTGTCAAAGTTTCATTTAAATCTAATTTCATGTTTTAGGAGAGGAGGGGGTAAGAAACGATGGACAAACAAACAACAGGAGCAGATGAACAGACTCAATGTTCCGACAAATTTACACTTCTTATTCATTAAGCAGGGGTATCAAAAATCTTATTCTTGTATTACAGATCCTACATAATTTCTATCTGTGGTCCGAAATATTAAGGCTGTATCTTAAGTATTTGTAATCAATAGTTGCATATAATTGAGTCTTTGAAGTCATCTATGTATTTATTTTTCATAAATGCTTGACTGTAAATCTGTGTTTTTCTTTCTGAAAGGTCATTAGGGGACGACCATTTGATATTCTCAGCCTTGATAATAACAAAAATGAATGGTTTGTTCTGTGGTAGTTTGAAAATAAATAACCTGACTTACAATGTATTGAAAATAACTTTGCAGGTCTTTTAAGCCATTTTATTAATGCTATTCTGAAGTATGAGATGGCACCAGATTCTTCCAAAATTCGTCTTTTTTCATATTTTTTTGGGAAAAACTTCCCAAATCTTTTAATAATATAAATATTAATGTATTTGAAAATTGAAAATGGGTTTCATTTCACTTGAGGTATATTGTCTCGTGAACATTTACCTCACTTTTATTACAGGGCCGTAACTACATTGAGGCAAATGCCTCATGTTGGAAATTTCAAAACAAAAGCTTGTCTTCATATCAAATTGTTTTCACGGCAAGTGTCTTGCAAGAAGCAAGTTCTGTACACCCTATGATGTAGCCCCTGTTTTTTGAGATGCATGTTTCTCATTTATTTTTATTTTTTCAGTGTTGATTGTCTATAATGTTTGTCATTTTGTGTTTTATCTGTACCCGGGTTTGTCTTTTGTTCATTGATTGCCCTTCTTTATGACTATTCTCTTAGTGTTGCATTCTATTTGTAATTTAATAATTATGTTTTAAACTTGAGTTTTATTATATTTAAGGGCCTTTAGTCTATTACAAACTACTTTGAATTGTATCCCAGTTAGGAACTACATCAAGTTGTAATTGAAATGTGTTATAAAAACTGACTTGACATAGTTATATAATTGATAATCAGCCCCCTCTTAACTTAATTTGAAAAAAACATAATTGACAGGCATAAAAGGTTTTTCTGCAAACTGAAACATTTTTTGCTTTGTCCTACATAGTGGTCTTTTGATGTTGTCCCTAAAAACTAAAAGTCTTACACTGAATCTGTATATTTTGCTTTGAGACCAGAATATTGTCAAAAAATTTAAACAGAACTTGCGTTTCAGATTAAGAAAGGGTCTGGGAAACGCGCATAATGCATGATTTTGCGCCATTTTTTCTATAGCTTCTTGGGGCCTTCAGCGAACCCAAGACTCTTCGCTGATTTTGTTTTCGAAAAACACGAAAATGTTTGACAACTTTTAAAAGAGGCTAGTTACAGCCCAGCTTTAATACCTTGTACGTATGCAATATATGCAGTTTGCAATTCAGAAGATTAACTTGCAGAGGATGATGATTAAATCTGATTGACTTAATTGACTATGTTATTTATTTAAGAATTTAAAAATTGTATGTTTTCAAATATTATAAATATAATTGTGAAAATAGATAATCAGTCCCTTGTTTTAATGAAAATGAAAAATCATGCTTCAACAGTGCAGAAAATAAATAATCTGTCCTTTTGGTCCACAAAAATAAATAACCCATCCAAAACAAATCCTCCTGCCCTGCCCCCCCCCCCCCCCCCCCCCCCCCCAGAATATCAAATGGTTGTCCCCTTATGACAAACCTTACAACTTTGAAAAACACCTTTTACATGAGAAAGATTTTCATCCATCCAAAATATTAAACCCGTAAATAAAAGGTTGATTTTACATTTGCTGTATAAGTTTAACTCAAGTTTACATTGCTGATGTCATGAGGTGTTGTAAAAATCAAATCTGTTTTGCAGTTTAATAGGAAAACACACCTTAAACACTGAGGATCCATTATTTAGAAAACTGGACAGGGCAAATACTCCTGGAACTTGTGGAACATATCTGTATCCCATGTGTAATGACATAGCACCTCCCATTGAAAATCCACCTAAAACAATAAAGTCATAAATCTGCATGTAGACCATGATGTCTGTTAAATAATGCATTTTATATAATTGATATACCAATAATACCTTTATATATCTCTTGTCTGAAATTTAGCCGAACAATGATAGAACTGCAAATTGGTGGTAGCAAACTTTTGTCCTTCCCTCATCAGGATTTGAATGTATGCTTCTGTGACATTGTGATAACTCCTCTCTGTACTGTGGTCACTGACCTAGACCACTCTGCCAACTTGATTATATGAGGACATAGATTTCTGTTGTCAATGAGGCTTTCCTCATTGACTATATCTTGGTGACATAAGGTGGCATGTAGATAGAACATCTTGTTTTTGTTAGTTGTGGGGATGGAAAATACATCCTGTGCAGTCACATCATGCAGTCACATGGGCGATTCTAAGAGCAAGAGGACCTACTGCTCCTCTTATGTTGTCATAAGTGCTTTAAATCTTCTACTTCATTGTTTGAATGAGTATTTATGTGCTTAAATATCCTTTTAACTCATTTGAATGTCTGCTTTGAGGTGTTTATATGATAAAGAATTTCAAAATTCAGGTCAACACCCCCCTAAATCATGAAGGTTGGCAGGTCTGATCAATTGTTTATATTTTATATTTCTAAATACAATTCTAACACTAACATTTTCCATCGTATAACAAAGGCCGGGATACAATTGAACCAAAGAAAGAAAATTAAATTCCTGTAAGGTATCATGCAATACTTCTATTACATGCAGATGACAATGGTAAAATTTTCACATTTGATTGTCCAAAAAGTATTTCTTTCATTAGGCACTTTAAGAATGCAGTTAACTGTTGTGATAAGCACTGCCTTCCCACAAAAACATTCTATCGAATAACACAAGAAAAAAATCTAAAATTCTTAAAAGGATTCATATAACATTTCTATTTTATGTAGACAACAATGGTTAAATTTTGACATCTGGTTGTCTTTCAACTATTCCTTTCATAAAATTCTTTGAGGGTGCAGTTTACTTATAGGCTAAGCTCCCTCTGCTCAGGTAGGCATACTAGTATTGATTGATGGGTCAACCACAATATATTAACAACAGCTGTATTGACTATTGTCCTAAGCTCTGCCTACTCAGGTGAACTTACTATTGATTGACAGGTCCTACATACTATTAGGCAATGGAAAGCTTCTCATGAAATACTTTATTCTAGCTGTTTGCCAAAATTCATTTATTAATGAACTTTTTTTTTTTTACCACCTTGGTGGTGTCATGGAAGTATGCTTGCCTCAAGTGCAGGAGTTCGTTGGTTCAAATCCCAGCTGGGTGAAACCATAAGACTTGAAAATTGGTATTTATTTGCTGCTTCTTCACTATATCCTTTATTCGGATCAGAGTGAGAATAATGTGTCCCAGTAGGGTAGCATGTCTTCCTGCGGAATGTTACCTTGTGAACTAACACGTTAAAAATTTGGCTTAGCATGTCGGTATAGTTCTAAGCAGGGTTTATATTTTTATATTCATGAGGGTCTGGATGGGGTCCTTCAGTTCTGTATTCTTTAATATTTTGGGGCATTTTTATTTATCTTTAAAAATATCGCTTATTCTGTAAAATTCTCAAGAAAATCATTTTACTATTATATTAATTTGTTATTACATGATTCCTTTATTCTGTACATGGTTCGTTTCTGTAATCAGTATTTTATTACCTTATTCTTTTATTTTCCACAGTTATTCTCTGTTCTTTTTTTTTTTGCTCATTTTTCTCTATTCATTAATTTTTTTTGCCATAATTCTCTATTTTGTAAACCCCATCCAGACTCTCATTCATATCACATTATCATGTTCTCGTCCTGAACATGTAAGTTTGATATATTACCTATAACAATTCTGGATAAAGGAATGCCACTGTCTACTTCAGTTTGTATCAACTGAGATAAACTTTTAGCTGTTTCATCTAAAGTTTCATGTTCAGATACAAATGGAGAAATATTTTTCCTGTCAAACCATACATAGCTTCTTCCTCCATTATTAGGTGTGTAAGGTCTAGAAATGACAAAATATTTGTTTGTAATTAGTTTTTACTAAGTTATGATTTAGTTATAATAAATCTTGCAAATTTTCTAATTAACAAATGATTTTAATATGAAAACAAAAAAATAGTTCAGTTAATTCAGTTATAAAACATTAAATGTGCTAAATATGAATCATTGCTCATTTTTGAAAGCTGTACCATGACCTATACTGTGAATTCATTATTATTTGTTGGATACCAATTTTCGTGGATTTCTAGGGTACAGGTGAACCACAAATTTAAATATTCAACAAAGTACAAGTTTTCTAAGGCTTGTATGCAAACTTTTGAAAAAAATCGAAATCAAATTACTAGGAAATGCAATTTTTCCTTAATCCACAAATTGGTACATTGTAACAACAAAATTTTAATGTTGCTAACATCTACATCATTTGGTCTCTGATGGATAGTTGTATGTATACCATATCTTCTTATTTTAAAATTTATAGTCAAACAAGTGCACTGACAAGAATTAACTAATACACCTTTAGATCAAAATTAATTATGGTGCAACATTGTAATCTGCACTTTTGAGTATGTTACTTTTTTCTCAACTTTCTCTCCAATTTATATTTTATAAAAATTTTGTAATTATGTTTGACAACTGTTACATTTGTATCAAAATTACCTTAACGGAGCTGTAGGAAAGATAACCTTCAAATGAGGGAATTTAAAGTCATCATCTAGAATCGATCTCAACCAGTCTTGTATTCCTATACCTGTGTCCCCTGCAATAAAAGTATCATAAATAGATTATTTTAACAATTTGGTTATTTTTTTTTTTTTTCAAAAGTCAGAATGTAAAAATTTATATCTTTAATCATGCTATCTTTGTATTCAATACTTGAAATAAATAGAAAATTAAAGTATTATGTGTATTCAACTGTGTGAAAACTAATGGAAAGCAAGTTAAACTGTTAGCTATTGCTAACTAAGATACCCTAGTTAAAAGTATTCAGTAAATAGAAAGTTGATCACTGATGAATGTTAAAACACATCACATGGTATAATTTGCTAAGATTAAGCTTTATTCCAAATTTCAATAAGCATTGATTTACAATTCATGAGAAAAATGCCACAAAATTTCATACATTGGCAATGTGTAAGAATATAAGTATTCGGTATACAGAAAATTGATGTGTGATGAATCTGAACATGCTCACATGAAGCTTGACACTAAATTCAGGCAAACTCTCAGATTTCTAGTTCCTGAGAAAGATATGGCAAACATGTTATGAGACGGATGGAAGGAAACAGAGACAGACAGATGGAAGACCCAGGGACAGACACAAACCAGTATACTCTCTCCTATAATCATTATTATGAAGATAAAATTTGATTGTATTTTGCGTAGGCTATACATTTTTGTAAAAATCAATTACTGGTACATAGAATTATAACATATAGAATGTTATTAGGAAAATGTTCTGTTGTTGGAATAAAAATTAATAAAATAATAGGTGTGTTAAGGATGTTCGCTCCTGTTTTAAAATATCAAGCATTTTAAAATACTGTTACAAATTGATAGCATATAAATAATGTTATTTAAAAAGCAGAAAAAAATAAAGGTCCGTGTACTTGTTTTTGAGATATAATCTATTTGAAAATTTGGCAGGAAATGATTCTCTGTAGATTTTTCATACATTTAACATTAACACCTTTTTTCTTTTAAAAACTATGAAAAAATGAAAAAATAACAAGGATTATATAAGATTTTCAAGATTGGAATTTTAAACTATGTGTAATAAAATCATGAAAAGAAAAGTAGGGATAAGTGGGCAAAGTTTTTATTGGCACTACATGAATTAAACTAGAGGATTCTGAATATCTGTCAAAATCAAGAGTAGCAAACATCCTTAAGGTGACCAAATAATGACCCTGTCTGCATCCATGTGTATTATGAACTTTTCAAAGTGCAATAATATCAAAAAAATAAAGATAATGAATAATAAAGATGTGCCATTTTGTACATATACCAAAGGGAAACTTTGTTCAAAGCAATATTATTTATTGTTTTATTGCATTTAATAGAGAATAGAAAATGGGGTTTTTGTGGCAAATAAAGCCAATATTTTTGCAGAAAATCCACAGATTAATACAGAGATTTTCGTTATAAAATTTTAAACATAGATTACTCACTTGTTTGTCCATGATGTGCTATTGTTTATTGTTTACAAAAAGTCCTGAACAACCTTTACATTCCAAAAAAACCTTGTGCTGAGTCACTAAAGTCTATAGTTTTTAGCCCTTACAATTGAACAGTGTTAGTATAAAATTTAACTCATATGAACTTTGAACACTAAAGTTAACATTGTAATTTTGTAACCCTTATGTGTGACAGTGTGTTGATTTGGGTTGCTCTTTAAGTAAGCTAGTACTTAAATGATGGCATATAATTCCAAATGAATAGTGATTGTTTTAAGAGATTTCTACTGAAAAATAGCCAATATCATATGAAAATTGATTTTATAAATTGTCTTCAAGTCTAGTAAATTATTTTATTTCCTATTCTTCCTACCAATTAGGCAATATGGTTGTCCAAATAATTATGACGTCTTGAAAGGCTATTATATTTTTTTTCTTTGACGCCTTACATCGTCGGCGTCAAAGAAAAAAAATATGATAGCCTTTCAAGACGTCATAATTATTTGGACTAGCAATAAGGTAAACATAGTAACATATCTGTGTCTTGTTGTACTTTCACAGGGAGAACTAGACAAACAGTAAAGTTGTATAACAAACCTGATCCATGTAGAAAGAAAACTGCTCCCTTACAAACATCTTTTGTTTGTGGAACAATTCTTGGCATTAATGACAATGCCATGTCCCAAAAAAGGATGTGCTAGTTTTTGACACTGCTAGAGTTTTCTCCCATCTATTATTTTCTTTTTGAATGCTCTCCCCTAGCAAAGTTCTTAATGTCAATTTATTTGAAACTGGATTATGCATAAATAATTATTAGTTTGACCTTTCAATTCAATTTTCATATCATATAAATGTAATTCAATGATTACTTGTGTACTCCTATTTCATTAAAACAAACAAGAATGGCTTCTCCTCAAATTGTGACTATTAAAGAAATCATCTGTATAGATCTACCTTCAATCATGCATATTTGTATAATCAAATTTAAGATTGGATTGCATGTTATTTTTCTGCAAATGTTCAAAATTATATTGTTAAGTGTCATTTGCCCTCCTGGGGCCCTAATTTTGTGAATAAAAATATTCTATTCTATACCCCGAGTTTTATTCATGGAGCATAAAAAACACTTAATTATAAAAAAGAGCTTTTGAATATTTATCAAATCATCCCATTACTCATAAGTGAGAAATTCATATGACCAAAAAAAAATAGTTTTTTTTCAGCAATTACTGAAACATGAAAATGAGGTCAAGGTTAATGAACATATTTGAGATATGAAAGTTGGAAACAGTGTAACATAAGGCATTTGTAAACAAGGTATGAAGCATTCAGGTCTTTTACCTTCTGGAATATATATAAACAGTTTACTCTTTACGACCATTTGATTAGCATGACTCCCATTCTGTGACCTGCGTCACAGGCGAGACCAAAAAAATAACTTAAAATATAGAAATGACAAAACAATGTAACTTGAACCAAAATATATCAATCTCTATGGTCCTTACAAGCACATTAATTGTGTATCCCAACAAAATTACACAATATCTTACTTAGTATTGTTTTAAGCAATCCCTAATCTGTAATACCCTTTTCTTTTCTGGTATTGCATCATAAAAATCATTTTTGAAAAAGGAAAAAAATGCAGCAAACACCTTAAGACACTGTCCCAATTTCTCGGGAAGGGCTTTTTAGCATTTTTTTTTTTAGAAATCTAAAACCGACCCTGCAGTAATATTTTGCTGATAAGTTCTAAATTTTACTTGAGAAAATGTTTATTAGAGTAGCCAAAAGGTTGTTGAATAGCAATGTCCTGAAAAAACATAACAAAGGTGAAATATCATTTGGATTCTTAAAATTCAAAGAGTAAGCAAAATTTCACTAAGGTTACTCATGCATGATATGTAGGTCATACTATTCTAGATGTTACTCATCAGCATTTTACTTTTCAAAGAGATTTTAGTGTTGAAATATCATTGACAACTGCCTAAAAGTAAACATTAACCAAGTTCACTGAAAAATTAAATATAAGTGAAAGAGAACTAAATACAATGAAAGAAAATTGTATTTGTAAACTATAATTCGTAGAAACTGAATACTAACTATAAAACAACCATACCTAAGATACATGCACATTTTCAGTTCAAAAATCTTTAGCTTAACTTTAATAAACAGCTGGGCCAGGAGTGTATGACACTACTTCTACTGCAATTAAAAATTGTTGAAAGAAAAAAATGCATTGATTACAGATTCATAAAATGATGCCATGGTCAGGTAAACCCTGTTAGATAGACATGAAGATCTTACAAGGATCCCATATACCAAATATAGTTATCCTATTGGTCATAAGTGAAAAATTCATATGACAACAAACTAGTTGTTTCTGTGAAAATAAGGTCAAGGACAATGGCCATATGGGTTATATGACAGACAGATATAAGGCATTTGTAAGGTATGAAGTAGTCAGGTCTTTTTTCCTTCTGGAAATATATAAAGCTTTCTACAAATAGTTTATACCTTTGCCACCACTGGATAAGTATGCATATTATGGAGAGTTGTCTCATTGGCACTCATACCACATCTTCCTATATCTATATGTTTCTAATTCTGTGACTTGCGTAGCAGGCAAGACAAATAAATTTAATTAGAAATGCCAAAACAATGAAACTTGAACCAATATACATCAATCTCTATTGTACTTACAAGCACATTATTTGTGTATCCCAAAACCTGTACACAATATCTTCTTGGGGAGCTACCATTTGATTTTTATGGGGGGGGGGGGGGCTAGGATGAAAAATTTTGTCCTGCCTTTTTATTTTTCCCTCTATTCGGTCCTGCCTTTTTATTTTTCACTCTATTCGGTCCTGCCTTTTTTTTTTAGTTTATCCTGACTTTTTTATTTAACTAAATTGTCATCCTGCCTTTTTTTTTTTGCAAATAATCTCATCCTGCCGTTTTTTTTACTCAAAACTCCTGTCCTGCCTATTTTTTTCAAAATTCATCCTAGCCCCCCCCCCCCCCCCCCCCCCCCCCCCCCATAAAAATCAAATGGTAGCTCCCTTACTCATTATTGATAAAATAAATTGCTAAAACAATCAATAATCAGTAATACTTTTTTCTTTTCTGGTATTGCATTATCAAAATCATATCTGGAAAGGAGGGAACAAATTGCAGCAGACACCAAAATGACACTGTCACTATTTCCTGGATAGGGCTTTTTTTGCATTGTCATTTGTTTGAAATCTATAACAGACCCTGTAGTAACATTTTGCTGCTATCTTCTAAGATCTACTTGAGAAAAATGTTGATCAGAGTAACCACAATATTGTTGAACAGCAATGTCATAAAAACACTACGAAGATGAAATATCATTTGGATTCTGAAAATTCAAAGGATAAGCAAAATTTAACCAAGGTTTAGTGACTATTGCATGATATGTAGGTCATACTATTCCAGATGTTGCTCAGCAGTAGTTTACTGTTAAAGGAGATTGTAGTGTTGAAATATCATTGAGAAGTTGCCTAATAGCAACAAGAGTGCACACGCTGAAATGTCTCGCCTTCTTTAATAATCATTGATATTATGTTGATAGTCCTAAATAAAAAGCTTTATTACAACTGTCACATAAACTTAACATTAACCAAAAAACTAAACATTGACAAATGAACCATGAAAATGAGGTCAAGGTCAGATGAACCATGCCAGGCAGACATGTACAGCTAACAATTCTTCCTATACAACAAATATAGCTGACCTATTGCTTATAGTTTAAGAAAAACAGACCATAACACAAAAACTTAACACTGAGCAATGAACCATGAAAATGAGGTCAAGATCAAATAAAACCTGTGCGACCGATATATAGATCATAAAATATTTCCATATACCAAATAAAGTTGACCTATTGCATATAGTATTAGAAAAAAAAACCAAAACTCAAAGCTTAACTTTGACCACTGAACCATGAAAATGAGGTCAAGGTCAGATGAAACCTGCCAGCTAGACTGGTACACCTTACAATCATTCCATACACCAAATATAGCAGACCTATTGCATACAGTATAAGAAAAATAGACCAAAACACAAAAACTTAACTATAACCACTGAACCATGAAAATGAGGTCAAGGTCAGATGACACCTGCCACTTAGACATGTACACCTTACAGTCCTTCCATACACCGAATATACTAGACCTATTGCTTATAGTATCTGAGATATGGACTTGACCACCAAAACTTAACCTTGTTCACTGATCCATGAAATGAGGTTGAGGTCAGATGAAAACTGTCTGACGGGCATGAGGACCTTGTAAGGTACGCACATACCAAATATAGTTATCCTATTACTTATAATAAGAGAGAATTTAACATTACAACAAGAGTGCACACGCTGAAATGTCTCGCCTTCTTTACTAACCATTGATATTATGTTGATAGTCCTAAATGAAAGCTTTACTACAACTATTACATAAACTTAACATGATCCAAGAAAATAAAGTCAAGGTCATATAAACCAAACGAGAAATACATGTACACCTTACAATCATTCAATACACTAAATATAGTTGACCTATTGCTTAAAGTTTCTAAGAAACAGGCTTAACCAAGAAAACTAAACATTGACCAGTGAATCGTGAAAATGAGGTCAAGGTCAGATGAACCATGCCAAGGAAAGACATGAACAGCTAACAATCCTTCCATACAACAAATATAGCTGACCTATTGCTTATAGTTTAAGAAAAACAGACCATAACACAAAAACTTAACACTGAGCAATGAACCACGAAAATGAGGTCAAGGTCAAATAAAACCTGTGCGACCGACATATAGATCATAAAATATTTCCATATACCAAATATAGTTGACTTATTGCATAAAGTATAAGAAAAACGGACCAAAACACAAAAACTTAACTATAACCACTGAACCATGAAAATGAGGTCAAGGTCAGATGACACCTGCCAGCTAGACATGTACACCTTACAATCATTCCATACACCAAATATAGTAGACCTATTGCATACAGTATAAGAAAAACAGACCAAAACACAAAAACTTAACTATAACCACTGAACCATGAAAATGAGGTCAAGATCAGATGACACCTGCCAGTTGGACATGTACACCTTACAGTCCTTCCATACACCGAATATACTAGACCTATTGCTTATAGTATCCGAGATATGGACTTGACCACCAAAACTTAACCTTGTTCACTGATCCATGAAATGAGGTCGAGGTCAAGTGAAAAGGCATGAGGACCTTGCAAGGTACGCACATACCAAATATAGTTATCCTATTACTTAACATAAGAGAGAATTTAACATTACAAAAAATCTTAACTTTTTTTTCAAGTAGTCACTGAACCATGAAAATGAGGTCAAGGACAATGGACATGTGACTGACGGAAACTTCGTAACATGAGGCATCCATATACAAAGTATGAAGCATACAGGTCTTCCACCTTCTAAAATATAAAGCTTTTAAAACGTAAGCTAACGCCGCCGCCGGATCACTATCCCTATGGAGCTTTCTGCCACAAAAGTCGCAGGCTCGACAAAAATTAATAAAATTCATTGAAGAATTAAATGTTAGTCAAAGTGAACCAAATAAAATGAATTCTTCAATGAACTGGAGTAGAGAAAATTGTATTCGTAAACTATCATTGATATACATCTGAAAAACTGAACATGATCTATAAAACAACCAAACCAGAGAGACATGCATATGTTCAGTTTACTAATTTGTTGAAATCAGTAGAGATCACCTGTCCTTACTAGAATATAAAGTGATTCTCTGTATAGCTCATATATTGGTGTTAAGACTATCTAAATGGCCTTTTAAATTGCAAACTGTATTGTACAGCTACCCGTCAATTTGTGTCCTTGTTCGATAGTTTTGTGTTGTCAAGTTAAAAAATAAACTACATTTTGAAATTCCCACTCTTACTTTTTGAAAATCCACATTGATGTATAGCAGAATAAAATCTGTAATCCTATGAGTTGTGATTGTCTGTTTTATACAGGGTACCATCATGTAACTGTTTAAAATGTACATTAAGGTTCATTCAATAAAATGGTAAACTTAAGACCATAGTTTCAGATTTTCATTGGAAGGTTGAGTCAGTTGAAAATTTTAAAAGTTATATTGATAGGCCAAATTAATAAAAAAAAAACTTTAGCTTCTTGTGTCAAATTTAGTAAACAGACTCACCAAAAGCACAACACTACTTCTTTTGTGAATAGAAATTGTTGACAGAATAGGGAACATTTAGAAGGTTTTTCATCAGAATTCAGTAAAATGCCCCACAAGAAAAAGGTGCATGATATCCTAAGGCATATAAATATTGCCTAAAATAGTATTGTTTAAAGCCCGATAACTCTGGAACTAAATATTTTGAATTGGTCTTTTAAGTAACCTTTTAAGATTTAAAATATCAAATGGTGACGTATAAGGGAAATTGACAGCCTTGTATAGGTTATCCACTTGTTTTTTTTTATACTGGTATTTTTTTTCAGACACGCCTGTATGCAAGGCAACTTTTACCTATGATCCATTCTGAAATGTATCTAAAAATTTGTCAGCTTGTTTTCTCTTTTGCCATAGCTTACTATACAGTATGGATTTTCTAATTGTTGAAGGACATACAGTGACCTTTAATTTTTCACATCTTTGTCCTTAAGTCTTGATGGATGGTTGTCTCTTTGGCAATCATGCCACATCTACTCATTTTCATAATGTATGGCATGGATGTAAGTGTTTCAAAGTTATAGATAGCACAGACTGCACATTGTATCTTCTTACTAAAAATTAAAGCTTTTTTTTCTTTTTAAGATTTATTTCAAATTTTAGTTTTCACATTAAAAATTTGACAAAAAAAGAAGATAAATTAAAAAAAAATATACATATCAATACACATTTGAATTTCAAGACATGTTTTATATACTGCCATATAAAAATGAAAGCTCTATACATTTCAGGACATCAAATTTTAGAAAGAAAAGGTAGATTTTGATGTGAACGATATAAAACTACATTAAATGCACAACACTGATCATAAAATATCTTAACATATCAATATACTGCCTCCAAACTTAAACCATTAACACAATTTCAAAACAGAAATTCTAATGAAGATAAAAATCTATTCATTGACAAAGCACTTACATTTTGCACTAAAAATTTTGGTCTGCAAAAACCATAGGGTATAAAATATCCTAAGAAAGACTTATTAGTTATTAACCTCCAAAACAATTTCTTCAATGGGTATTAACTATGAAATGTAACTTTACACAAACCACTGTTGTAAATGAATCAGATATTTGTCAAAGCTATTTGTCTTGTCATTAAATAATGTAATCATGATAGCTATAGACATGTTTTTGCAAAAAATATGTATCAGAGGGGATGATTTTTTTTATATTCCAAATAATGGAAAAGGGTGGGGTCATGAATGTCTCCTCAGTTTCTCACCCCTACCACAAAAAGATTGTTATTACAAATCTTATCCTAATTTTGGCAAAATGCTCAAGTATGGCATAGCGTATTGTAAATTCAGAAATTATTGTGTGCATTTATGATTGCGATTTTTGAAGAATGGAAAAAAATAGGAGATTAATTATTGTGATTTCAGGAAAATATGTATACAGATATCAGAATATGAGTTCTTATCATTTCGATACTCGACCAGTCACATTACTTGCATGGGATAATGTATTCAAAACAATTTTTTTCATTAAAAACGTTATAATAGATTAAGTATGGAAAAGTGATCTCAAAACATTTTAATACATTAAGTATGGATAGTGTACTCAAACCATTTTAATACGTTATGGAAAGCAGTCAACACATTTAATAGATTAAGTATGGAATAATGTACTGAACACATTTTAATATATTAAGTATGGAATAATGTACTCAAAACATGTTAATTCGTTAAGTATGGAATAATGTACTCAAAACATGTTAATTCATTTTAAGTATGGAATAATGTACTCAAAACATGTTAATTCATTAAGTAAAGAATAATGTACTCAAAACATGTTAATTCATTTTAAGTATGGAATAATGTACTCAAAACATGTTAATTCATTAAGTATGGAATAATGTACTCAAAACATGTTAATTCATTAAGTATGGAATAATGTACTCAAAACGTTTTAATTTATTAAGTATAGAATAATGTACTCAAAATATGTTAATACCATAAGAACGGAATAACGTGCTCAAAATTTTTGAATAGATTAGTATGGAATAATGTACTTAAAAATTTGCACTCAATATCTTGTTCCATATACAAAAAAACTATCATAAACAATAAATTCATATTTATACAAAATATACTACAAATTCTAATTTAAGACCAAATACATGTATACATTAGATTTGATCCACAAATTGGAACAGTTAAGTCTTCTCAGTTTTCTATTTGGTAATTTATATTTTCCAGTCAAAAATAGCTGCCATTAAAATTGCACATTCAGGGTATCTTAATTTGGCTGCTGTCATGAAAACTTGCTACTATCTGATAATACATCAAGATCTACAGAGTCACAAAGTTTAACAAGATAATTTTGTCCTCTAGAAACACTACTTATCTGGTCCTGTACATCTTCTGCTCTATAAAATATAAGACAATTCACATAAGTTTGCACATGTACTGTTATAAACATACTTGGAAGTATTATTTTATCTCAGTTTGTAAATGCACATATGATAATATATCCAGTGGTTTCATTTAAGTTTGTACATGTACTTTTTGCAAATGTAATAATTAAATTATTTAATTTATCTTATAATTGACTCCAATGCCCCAACAAACTGTTTTTTTTCAAAGGTTTTTTCAGACTCATCTCCATTTTATAATTGTTATTTGCATCTTATATAGTTGTGTGCTTAACTTTGTACATACACTTATTTTGTAATGTGTTTCATTCAAGTTTGTACATTCATATATGAAATTATTTCACAAAACCTATTATTGATTGCAGTGCTAGTGTTTATTGAAGTGTACTATGCCATTATCCACTTCCTTGTACCCAATCAAATACATCCTTGTGCTGTTTTTCATATTCATGTAAAAATGCATTTCATTCATAAAAGCACTGATGTACTACTATCAATAGCAAGATATGTGTGTAAGCCACCTCTATTCTATAGACCTAAAATTGCATTTTCTACAATACTGAAAATATTTTTTTGTCCAGAAATTTGTAAGACAAGTCACCATTCATTTGTAGTTTGCATCTTGTTAGTATTCATTATGATCAGGACATCAAGATGTTTTTCATTTAACTAACAAACTGTATTAAGCAAAGTAGTGACTAAATTATCCAAAAACATTTGAATATTGCCATAAATATGGAGATTGACTTGATCTACAACTATCAATATATTCCTCTTTTAACAGGAATGTGGTGTGACATTTCACATGTAGGGCATAGTTGTTTAACAAGGTGTTCTGTAAAAAGTATGTCATTGAGAATGAATCATGTTTTGTCCTTTTAAAATATTTGTTTTAATTCCTGAATTTGTTTCTAAGTTTACAATGCCTGATGATTTTCAGCATCACAGGTAAAACAACTCTGACATTTCTCACTTTGTACTTTATATGCCTACTCTGGTTTCTAAACTTTCAACCTTCCACATATTGGTAATTTATTCTACATTCAAACAACAAAAATAGGTATATTATTACACGTAATATTTACCTTATTCTACCCATTTTTACAGTAACTTCAGGCAATATGTTACAGCAAGCATCCTCCACATTAAATGTTAATTTAATGTTAACTTTTCTTAAGGTTTTAAGTGACCACTTCTCAACCACAACACTGAAAACATATATGAAATATTTTATTATGGTGATTCCAGAAATAACAAAAAATGTACAAATTATACACCAAGGCTTGTGGTCATAACAATTTGGACCAATGAAAATGCTGGATTTGGTGTTTCAAGCAAAAATGTTATACTCCCAGTTCTGTTTTATGAAATTATGACCGTAGGCCTAAATCTTTATTAGACATCACCAAACAAATCTGTGTTCTGTTGGTATGAAAAGAATTCATAGTTTTGACAAACAGGAAGTCAATGCCCAACAGATCTGAAAAATTGCTTATAACACAATACAACTTGAGACAAATGTAAGTGGCAGGCCAAATATAAAATAATTTCCAAATACACAAGCTGAGTAATATATCACAGAAATTATGGATGGATGGGGGCATTGCAGCACTCAGTGGATGGGCATAACTATGTGTGGTGGCAAAATGCACTTTTTTATCTTATCAAAACGCACATAACTTTATTTTATTTTGTTATTTTTTCCCTGAGAGATTTTCATAAGCTATTACAACATATGAAACAAAAATGAAGGATCTGCAGACCCCATAAAATAATCATTTGTGGAATAGCCCTGATCTGTAAGAAGGAAATGTTTATAGTGTAGTGAATCAAGCAATTTATTCAATGATAAATCTTTTTCTTATCTTGAACTTTGAAAGAATAGAATATTTCACATGTAAAACAAAAGGGATAAACATCAAATTTCTAATTCATAATAAGAAGATAAGACTATAATTTTGTTTTTGTTTTCAGCAATTATATTGCAAAAATGGTGTCTTCCTGCACTGGTTTGACATTGCTGTATAATATTTTTTATGAAGTACAGTTACTAATATTAGAGAAGGACAACATGATTTCACAACTGCAGGTATTGTTTAAAGTACTTTGAGCTTGCTATCAGTACCTTTGAATATTGTTATTTATTCTTTTGTTTACACTTTTATTTTAGAGTTAAGTGTTTTTCCTGTACTGACTTTCATGGTATATTCTTTTATGTTCCTATTATTAGTCCACTGATAGAGATTAAAGCGGAAGGATTAAGATCTCAAAAAACTAGTTTAACCTCACCACATGGTTATGTGCCTGTAAAACGTCTGAAACTTTGTTAGTAATTGTCATATCTTCCTGTGTTTTTGTCATTTTGGAGAATTTGATGTTGGCTGCAGATCATACTTAATGGGTTTGGTACTTTACTAGACTGTGGACAATTGGACTACTACATAACGAATGGACGCTTGTCTATTGTTACAGACTGTATGTTGACCTCTAGATGTCTTTTGGTTTTAAGTATTGTTGGGTTGCTGTCTCATTAATGTTTTACCCACATCTCTTCTTTTCTTTTTTTTCAATGGTAAATCAAATTTATTGAGGGCATATCTCATCAGGATTCATCATCACTTTCACTTAAGTTATTACTAAACTAAAGCTACTGCATGATTTTTGTCAAATTTTGAAAAGAAATTAATTTCCTAAAATGCTTATGATGCTGACACACCTATATTAAAGTCTGGCATAACCATATCCCCAAGTCCATGTTGCAGTGGAGGACAATTATGATATAGGATTTCTGTACGACTCCAAATAAAGCCTCAGATTCAGACCAAACTTTTGTATTTTATCAAACACAATAACATAATGAAATGATTTTTTTTTTTCATTAAAATTACTGCAACATAAGATACTTACAAGTCCTTATAAACTGTCACTATATACTTCAAACAAAGAGAAATTATTTGTCGTTTAAGGCACCTAGCATTCAAAACAATCTGTGACAACTTCTGCAACAACTGAAAAAGAAACTACTTACAATGAAAACACATTCTAGATTTGTCCTATCATTATACATTTCACATGTTTCTACATTAAAGGTTATGAAGACAGTAAGTTTTGCACCTGAATATCTGTTTCTTTAATTTAGCGAGGAAAATATTTTATCATTGAACAGATTGTAAAATTTTCTAATTAAATTCTTTATAATAACCAATAATGTTTTACTTATAATCCTTAATAATACAATCAATGTTATTTCTTTTATGGGTGCTGCTTGTTATTTATTTCTCGCATGACCAGATATATATACAAAAAATTGATACGAAAAGTGAGTCTAATTTGATTGGCTGATCTAGCATTATGAGATGAAGTTGTGACATTTTGGCTATTCGCTAGTTCATTGATGAATTTCAAAGGTTAAGACGATGTACATTTCGCCCATGGCAACACAGATGTGTGATTTCTTCAATAATATACAAAACACTCACTCTTTTTCTTTTTGTAATTTTAACAGTAGAAATAAGTTTCACTTTTCTTGACATTGATAAAAGCAAAAAATTCAACTTATGAAATAACAGTACTATCACTTTTACCTCTGGTAGGTCAGATATATAGCTGAAGGTGTGGTGTAAAGAATCTCCATTATTTATTTGTTGTAATATCATAACATGTATCAACTTCATACAGGGACTGGCAGAATCTGAAAAATGAATGGATTTTCGTCACCAAGCTAACATACCAAAAACAAAAATGATTGTGTTTCTACTTTTCTGATATTCAAACTCAACCAAGGTTCTTTTACACTTGAAGTGTATTTGGCATGAAATAAGGTACTGTCCAGGCAACATGAATAATCATGAAAGAATAATCCCAATCCTTAAGATTATTTCAGGAAATCCAACAGTAATTGTAAAATTCTGGCCTATTGCAATAATCAACAGTGAAAAATAAACATTAATAAAATTGAGAACGGAAATTGGGAATGTGTCAAAGGGACAACAACCCGACCAAAGAGCAGAATACAGCCGATGGACACCAATCGGTCTTCAACACAGCGAGAAAATCCTGCACCTGGAGGCGTGCTTCAGCTGGCCCTAAACAAAAATGTGTACTAGTTCAGTGATAATGGACGTCATACTAAACTCCAAAACATATAAATGAACTAAAATTAAAAATCATACAAGACTTACAAAGGCCAGAGGCTCCTGACTTGGGACAGGCACAAAAATGCAGAGGGGTTAAACATGTTTTGTGAGATCTCAACCCTTCCCCTATACCTCTAGCCAATGTAGAAAAAACAAACACACAGCAATACGCACAGTAAAACTCAATTTAAAAGAAGTCTGAGTCCAATGTCAGAATAGGTAACAAAAGAAACTTAGCAAAATGACAATGATACATAAATTAACAAAGGACTACTAGCAGTTAATGACATGCAAGCTATTGACCTCAATTAAACTGATTGAAAGATTATGTCTTCAACATATGAAAATCAAGCACAATCCCTCCCATTAGGGGTTTAGTATCATACCATCATAAAATATATGAGAAGAACATAACCCGTATCATGCCAACAACTGGTTTTAGAATAAATGTGTTTATTTCCGATTCAAAGACCCTATGAGTGAATCAATATTAAAACCAAAATATGCCATCTTAAATGACCTGACAACAGTATCGTAACTATATCCCTTCTTAATAAGTCTGTTTAAAGGTTTGGTTAGCTTTTGCGGTGAATGCCGACATTTTTGTGCTTTGTAAAGAATATTACCATAAAAGATTGGATGTGAAATACCTGAACGTATAAGATGTCTGCATGTTGATTTATATTTACGAATGATGTCCTTGTACCGATGATAAAATTTAGTAAATGTTTTGACTAGTTTGTGATATCGAAAACCCTGGAGTAATAATTTTCAGTAATACATAGATTTCTTTTGTTAAAATCAAATATGTTGTTACATACATGAGCGGATGGAACAAGTTCGCAGGCTCAACAAAAATCATCTCTTTTATCATAAATTTTGGTATTAAGCTTCCCGTTAAAGATATAGATATCAAGATCCAGGAAAGGGCAGTGTTCATTGTTAGTAATGGCTTTATCTAAAGTCAGTTCAGCAGGATAAATCTCTTTAGTGTGCATACTGAAGTCGTCATTATTGAGAGCCAATATATCATCCAAATATCTAAAAGTGTTATTTAATTTTTGTATCAGATGTTGTTTAAATGGGTCTTTGCTGATTTTAGTCATAAATTGTAACTCATAACAATACAGAAACAGGTCCGCAATAAGTGGTGCATAGTTAGTCCCCATTGGAATTCTGATAACTTGACGATATACGAAATCTCCAAAGCGAACAAAAATGTTATCTAGTAAAAATTCAAGGGCAGTTATAGTATCAAAGCAGGTCCAATTGACTAAGTCCTTTTTTGTTGTTACTAAAAAATGACCTAAAAGAGTTTGAACATATATATTCGCATTCTGACTTTTTAAATGCCCATTTAATTAGGTGTGTGAATTTTTTCTTAATAAGAATATGAGGCAAAGTGGTATATAGGATAGAAAAATCCAAACTTTGAACAGATTCAAAATCACCAATATGAGCATGCAATTTATCAAGTACTTCCAACAATTTTTTTAAATTTTATTACTATACTTTATGCAAATTTCTTATATCGTCCATTCATTTCATTGGACACCAGGCATTTATTAATTTTCACTAACCTTTCATAAGCCCCACCTACCCATAGTAACATGTGATAATATTAGCAATGGGTGTTAATGCCTACAATTAACACCCGCTGAGCCCAAAGATTGCCGATCCGGAACAATTAACACCCGCTACGGCAGAGGTTTACCGATTCTTATTTCTACACTTTTTCCGTCGTTATGTTATTGTTATTAGTAATCTATCTTAATTTATGACTTAATTTTTTTACAATTGTACTTCTAATAACATAGTGCACACTTGAATCATAAGGCATTCAGTATAATAAAAAACATACTGCCCTTGGATGAAGATGTTAGGGTGATTAACACACTCAGTGAAAAAATTATCACCAGCGACTTCTTGGGTGATAATTTTTTCCCTCGTGTGTTAATCTACCCCAACAACTTCATCCAAGGGTAGTATATTTATATCATTCTTTTCAAATCCAAACTGCAGGCTACAGAACTAAGAGCTGACCTACATTTCTCAATACTTCTGAATCTAATCTAATTGTAAAGTTGAGATCACATGCAACCTGTAGATGAATTTTTTTTTGTGTCTTTGAATGATGTCTCATTGGCATATATCTCGTTTTATTCATATCAACACTGAAATTACCTTGAAAACATTGGATCATTAATAGAGATAAACATGAAAGCTCACAATTTTTTGACAATTAAATATTCAGATACCAATACAATAGCTTTCAAAGTATCATTGGTCTATCATAAGATATTCTTCATAAATATAATTAATCAGGAAACTTTAAAAACAAATGTAGAAAAGCAGAAAGAAATGAAATTGACTGATGTGCAGGCACAACATACTGCTTATATCTGGCACCAATATGTATAGATGCTAAATTGGTATACCAAATACCAATGATCTATTCTAAGAACTTATTCATAAACTCATCTAAATATTTAAATTGATACACAACAAACTAACAGACAAATGCATAGACTGGAAAACATAATCCCCTTTACTATCATAGGTGGGGCATAAAAAACAGAATAATAAAACTGACCTTCTAATAATGACTGCACATGGGCTGAAGCAATTTTTGTTTGTCCATTATCTGGTTCTCTTTGTTTATTGATTGACAGTCGCAAGGTATCATCATAAAATAAAAAGGTTATGAAGTCATCTTCATAATTTTCAATATGCCATTCTGTCAAACTGAAATAAAGTTGAAAATATTATTCTAAATTCAACAATTATCTAAAAGAAGATATATGGATGACCAAGGGTCTGGAAACCATCATATTTGATAGTCATAATTGATATAAATGAAAATTTACAAAAATGAAACTCTTTCTTTCGACATAAATTTATAAATTTTCCATGATCAGACATATCCTTTTCTTTGTGTCCTGAGGAATAAGCGATTTTAAGTATTAAGTAAAATACTTTTCAATTTTAAACGGTTTTATGCTTTATATCACTCATAAAACGTTTTTACAAAAACAGATCCAACATGTTATGTAGTCTAGGCTGTAAAACCATTTAAACACATTTATGTTGTGACATCTGGTATGAATTTGAGTTTGAAAAAAAATTACTTGTCTTTCAGGCTTAAAAACTGACCCCCCTTAAAAAAAATTCGAAAGGGTTCCGCGGAACCCAGTGTCTCGCCTACTTTTGCTGTTAATCACAGGCTCAACAAAAATGAGGAAAAAAATTAATAAAAATATTCCTCTCTATACTATCTTTTGATTTTAAGTAGCTTCTGTCCAAGTTTGGTAAAAATCCAGAATAGTTTATGAATCTAATAAATGTTTTAAAAACTTAAAACTGCAGACTGTATGTAATGTTAACTGGAAGAAAAACTAAGTCCATTTATAAGTAAAATACAGAAAAAATGGAACAAAATTTAAACAAAATTTTCTTCTAGATACTAGCTTTTAATCATAAACAAGCTTCTGTCCAAGTTTGGAACAAATCCAGGTCAGTTTAAGAAAGTTGTTAAAATTCTAAAAACTTTAACCACAGAGTGAATGTAATGTTATCTGGCAGAAAAACTAAGTCCATTTATAAGTAAAATACGAAAAAAATAGATTTTTTTTTTTACAAAATTTACTTCTGGATACTATCTTATGATCATAAACAAGCTTCTTTCCAAGTTTGGTAGAAATCCAGGATAGTTTAAGAAAGTTATTAAAATTTCAAAAACTTTAACCACAGAGTGAATGTAATGTTATCTGGCAGAAAAACTAAGTCCATTTATAAGTAAAATACGGAAAAAATGGATTTTTTTTTTTACAAAATTTACTTTTGAATATTATCTTATGATCATAAACAAGCTTCTGTCCAAGTTTGGTAGAAATCCAGGATAGTTTAAGAAAGTTATTAAAATTTCAAAAAATTTAACCACAGAGTGAATATTTGTGGACGCCGCCGCCGACGGAATGTAGGATCGCTATGTCTCGCTTTTTCGACAAAAGTCGAAGGCTCGACAAAAACAACATTTCAGGACCATGGTAATGGCCTTTATTTTGAAATCACTATGTGTTTTGTTTTTATTATTTCCTTCAAACTCACTCATAAAACTGAAATAAAATGATGCTAGTGTAACAGCAAACAAACAAAGACACACACAATGATTGGAGTGTAAAGGATATTCCCCCTAGGCAATGATGAAAAATTAAAAGTATCACCAAACAGGAAGTGACTGCCTGGCAGATCTGAAAATTGCTGACGTGGTCCAACTCCTTTTGGTGTCAAAATTTGTCTTTTTGTATGCATGCTCTTATCATATACATCATGTTATATATAGCAATTAAACTGAGGTGATTTGATATTGGATTGAATTACATGGCAATATCATTTAACCAAAAAGTAATCTATTCTAAAGGAATATTCATTTTTTTTCAGTATATATGTTTAGAACCTGGGCAAAAAAGTTATGGTCTGCGAAAACAGTATCATAAAAAATAGATTTCTACAGAAGTCAAAAACATTTAACAGTTAAAGGTTGACATAAATTTCTAAATTTAGTGTATATTAATTACCTTTCAAGGGTATCAAGTTTTTCCTCCAATTCTTGAATTTCCAGTTGTACCATTACGTTATCATCTGTCTCATCCTCATTGTAAATATTTTGTTCTTCTTTTTGTAGTTTTGTTTTTTCTGTCTTTAGGCTAAGCTTTTCTCTGTACAAGATCAATTTCATTTTGTCATTTTATAACTATCAGATCAAACTTTAAAATCTTGTAACTAAACTTTATATAACATTAATATATTATCCAAACCTTGTGTATCTATATATACATGTAGGTACATATGCAATTATTTCTTGAAATTTACTTTTTATTTTTTTTTTACTTTATTGTATTGCAAATAGTTAAGACCATCAACCCATTAGCTGTTGGATTACCAATCAAACATCTTGCCTTTACCATAATTTTCCCAAAAAAATCTGTACATAAAGATTCATTCAACTTACCAAAAGCACACCAATACCAACATGTTCAAATATTTCAAAATAAATTTCCTCTTGTTAACCGCAAATGCAGATATTTACATGTTGCAAAAACTTCAAAACTTGGGAGTATACTGATCATGTCATTTTAAACTAAATTGGTTTAATAATTATTTGACAATGAATTGTAGAGTTGTTGTTTTTTTTACAAGAATGCCTTTATTTGACTCCCAATTAAATCTCAGAAATACTATTTGCAGAAATAAAATAAAGGATTGACAAACATTGTACAGTTAACTCTCGTTGTCTCGAACTCGGTTGACTCGAAATTTCGGATGAGTCGAAGTTTTCACGTGGTCCTGAACTTTGTTCCATATAAATGTATGTAATTCGACTCCTGATGAGTCTAAATTGGATGAGTCTAAATTTCGGTTGAGTCGAACTAAATTTACGATCGCAAGGTTAACAAAAGAATTCAAAATTCATTATTTATCTCGAACTAATACACATATGTCAAAACATGACCTCCGGCATTTAAATGGATTGAAGAGTTAATCTGACAATACACGTGTAATTAAATTTCCAGTCACTGACCACTGTATTGATTTATGACATGCTATTTCCACGAGTGTTTACCTAAGATTATCTTTTATAGAATTTTTATAAATAATTAGTGATACATTGTTAATGTTCATGAAAAAGTATTTAAAATGTTTACAAAACAATTAATTGTGATTTACACTAATGAGCTTGGGTGTGTATAAAGTAAGGATTATGACTTCCGTTGATGATCACCTAAAAACTACTCAATCGGCGTCTTTAGTCTTGTTGTATTTTCTTTTGAAAAGAAAGAGTGAGATAAAATAAAATGAAGAGAAATCTAAATTTTCTAAAATCTCTTGTATCCGAGAATAAACAATTTTGTCAACTATAAACGACCTGAATAACAAAACTATCGATTAAAAATTACTCTCTCGGATAAAAGCCATAGGAAAAAAATGTAACTGAAACAATTGAATAAGTAAAAATAATGTTATTATAATAATGAAAGACCATGACATACAAATACATCGATCTGATACCAGAATATCGACCCCCTTCCAATATTCACCCGGATTTATTTTAGCTTTACCAAGCTAAGCAAGAGTTGTGTCCCTTGTTCTGTCAAACTTCCGGTTTTCGTTTGAGTCGAACTACGTGTATCTCGAAATATATCTCAGGTCAGGCTGACTTCGAGATAACGAGAGTCGACTTTATATGGTACGTTAATACAACTTTGCTGGGAAAAAAAATGTTTGAAAGAATAATGTTTGATTGAAGTTATGTCATTAAACAGAGAGGTCTCATATTTTGTCTTCAATTTAAATCTCATCATAGGTCACCCCAAGTGCGATGAACAAAGGAGATAATTAAAATTCATATACCTGTCTAGATCCACTTGAGTTTCCTTTATTCCTTCTATCTCTGAAATAAATTAGGAAATATGTTGAAAAGAAATCAACTGTTAAATTGTCCAAAAGATCTGGTAAGTGACTAGAATTATGTTATTGGCCATATTGGGTATTCCCTCTGAATGTCCCAAAATTAATTTAAGTGTGAATACACAAAAATGTCTTAACAAAGAATCAGTTTGGTTTTTACTAGAACAATGGATTGAAAAGACAAGATTCTTTATTTAAGCTTTTGATGAATAAAGGAACAAAGTGTGAAGAAAAGCCACATGAGACGAAAATGGCAAGATAGTAGCTTTCACTTTTATATTGCTGAGGTTGAAATAGATGGTTGATTTTTATTTTCAATGTTCATCAAGATGCCTGAGTTAACAATATTTTGCTAAGTTTATGTGTTTTACATTCGAGCTTTGAAAGATTTATTTTCAAGGTGAAATTATCTTAATGCCTTAAATTAGGAATGATGACTTTGTGTGCAATCAAGAACTCCATCGCTATGGTATTTTCATAAATAATTTGTTTCTTGAAGTCCCACAACCATAATAGGATCACATCTCTGTTTTTTTTTATTACACCAATTTAGCTTTTGAATAAATACTGCAAAAGGATAATCTAAATTGTCAATAACTGAATTCTTCTTACACTTACCTTGCTCTTTTTGTTTAACTTCTTGATCTAATGAATTTAAATATTCTATGTCTTCTGGTTCTGGTATAGGTTTCTGCTCTAATTCTAGGATCAATTTATCTAATTGATTTGAAGCTGAAATTATGATATACAGAGTTTAAAAAGCAAACATGAGTGCATATGCTAAAATGTCTCATCTGGTAGAAAGAATTATGATAATGATGTCAAAGTCAAATGAACTCTGTTAGAAGGACATGTTAACTTAATAATAATTCATTAGACCTAGTATAGTAAGCTAAATAAGTTACAAATAACATATGAGAAAAGGATCCAAACCATGAAAACGGGGTCAAGGTCAGAAGAACCCTGCCAATCAGACATCCTCAACTTACAATCTTGCTATCCCTTGAATGAAGTTGCACTATTGCCTTGAGTATATGAAAACAAACCATATAACAACTTCAAGTTGAAAACAGAACAATGAAAATGAGGTCAAGGTCAGATGAATCATGTCAAATGGACATGTACACCTTACAATTATTCTCTACACCTAATATAGTAGGCCTATTACTTACCAGATCTGATCACACAAAAAAATATTAAGCAATGAATCATGAAAATTAGGTCTGCATCCTTACAATCATTCTAGTTACCATTTATTTCCCAATAGTAAAACTATTGCTCATTTTATTAGAGAGAGGGACCTAATCACAATAACTTGAAGCTAATCATCTATCAATGAAATGATGTCAAGGTCAGGTATGTCTTGTCTGATGAACATGTGATCTTTTCAATGAATCTATATACCAAATATAGTTATCCTTTTACTGATAATTACCGAAAAAAATCAAATGTTAAAAAATGTTCAGTTTTATAATTACCATTAAAGCATGAAAATGAGGTTAAGGAAATCAACATACCTTCAACTGCATTTAAGAGAACACATTAGTTCCCTGAAGTCCAGAAAAAACAAACAAAAGTACTTCTGATTTGAGAAACAGACAAATTATATCCTCCTATTTCAATGTATTACAATTTTTCTAATATTCAAAATAAATATTTAACAAGGGATCCCTAAGTCCATGACTTTCATTTTGATATCTAAATTAAGCAAATATTTCATATACTGTAAACTCAGCAATTAATACAGTATTCCAAAAGTTACAGCTAGCAGTATGATCTATTTTGTTTTTAATATCTTTTTTCTGTCTTTTATGTTCTTCCTTAAAATGGCCCAGAATTAGTGGTTCTATTACTTAAATTCACAAAAGGTTGCAACAAAAGAAATAATACATTAATCGAGATGAAAATGAGAAAAATAAGTCATAGTGGCATGTCAAATTATCTCGTTTAAAACATGTAGAATATTCATTAGTACCAAATATTTTAAACAGATGGTCAGATACAACAAAAAATAACTTTTAACTTATAAATTAAATTACCATTTGACAACTCTGATAGCTCTCGTTGTATAGTATCACTAGCTTGAACCACTTCATTTACTTCTTTGCTCAATTTTTCACGTTTTTCCTGTAAATAATTAAAATAATAATAACCAGAGGCTCCCAGGAGCCTGAATTGCTCAACTGTATTCATTTTTCCTGTGAAAAACAACTTCAAAAAGATCAATAAATGTTCAGAAGTCAGATTAACAGGTAAATCATGACTGACAATTCAATATTGTTTGTAAATATTTTGATGACAATATATTTAATTAGAGCTTGTTTAGCTGTTACTCTCTTTATGCCTCTTTTATGACTGGAAAAGTGTACCTGTGTTAGGGATAACTGTCCAGCCACAAAAGATCACCAGAACCCTTAAATTTTTCTCAATCATATGAAGAAATTCACTTCATTTGTTTTTTTAAACTAATGAAAAATGTAATTTCCATTAGGGTTTCAATGTCAAATTTGACCTCACTGGAATTTCCAGTCGGTATCAAATTAACCTCACTTGCTGGTTTTTTTTAGCACCATGGAGCTGTGACTATAATAAATCTTAAATAGACTTATGGATTATCAAATACTGTTTCATTCCACTAGAAATTATCTATAATATTAACAATTTAAAAAAGTCTACAACAGGCCCAATGGAGACAATATCCTACATTTCTCGATGAAGAATAAATTATTAAAACAATTGAAAACACCCCTTTTCAGCTGATGATATAACTGAGAAACTTCAGGATTGATAACAATTAGAAAACAAGTACCGGTAACATAGCGTTTCTTCAAGAACAAAGGTTTCATATAATTATAATATTAAAGATTTCAAGCTATATTATACAAATACCTTTATTATGTCATAAAACTGTCCATGGCAATGCAATTTCATATCTTTCCACTCTTTATCTACTTGTTTTGAACAATATTTTCTCATAATAAATACTTTTTCTTTCATTTCATATTTCTAAAATAAATAAAAATAAGCTCATACAAGACATGTATTAATAAAATATGTAAAATATTCAGAACATTAAATCTAGTTTTAAGATCTGGTTTTTCAAATGCACAATATTAGTGATTGTCAGGCAAGTTTTAGATTTGGTTTCTTCTATTCATTATCATCCTAAATGTACATGAAATATTTGTAGCAAATCATTCCTGTAAATGATATTCCTTAATAGACTGATTGATTGTTGGTATTTAATGCCACTTTCAGCTCAGTTGCTATATGAATTTTTATATTATGAAGGAAGCTCAGGAAAATGAACAGAACATCTGGCCTTCAGCAGGTAAATAACAATCCTAGTCAATTAACATAGTCAAAAAATGCATTCCCTGAAGTGAATGTAGACTGTTTAGGCAATTTTGATGCTTTACACTCAATGTCAGAAGTTTGAAACCCTAATACCAATATGTAAGACAAAATTCAAAAATCTAAATATTAATGTCCAACAAACTAATGTTTTATGAACATCTGAAGGATGATATTTGGTAGATTTATACTACTTTTTGATTTTCCAATTAAAGGGGCCAAAAAAAGGTTGCCTGGTCATACCTTCTCATCTGAATTTTTTTTTTATCTAAAAGTAATCCTTGTCATTCCCTAACCTTTATAAGTGAAGGTGAATTACTGATGTATATAACAAACTTAAAATTTGCTTTTGTTTCCAGTTTTAATAATAGTATAAATGTTTTGGTGAGCTGTCAGCAAGAATAAAATGTGTGAATTTGTTACTTACCTTAAATTAGTGAATTTTTTAATACATGTATTTCAAAGTATAAATAATAGTTATGAATCTGCTTAATCTTAAGTCAAATATTGAAGTCCCTTATAAATTTGTTTGGTCTAAACAACTTAGATATAACAATGTTATTGTATACCTGTTCTTCTGATCCCTTCACAGCCACATCAAACACTGCTGGCTGCTCCTCCTTAATTGTGTCATGTAGTTCTTTTGTCTGTGGTTTTAACCTAAGAAATATATATTCAACAACAGGTTTAACCTAAGAAATATATATTAAACAACAGGTTTAACCTAAGAAATATATATTAAACAACAGGTTTAACTCGAAATTAAAATTGAAAGCTGCTAAATTAACATCGGCACCCAGAAGAATTTACACATGTCCCTTACGATATTTTATGATTCTTTTTCTACTTCCACCAACCAAAATAATCAATCGAAATCCACAATAGCACTCTTAACCAACAGTCATTTCAGTACATCACCCACTCCATCAGGGGAGGTAACTACAGTACTTAAATTGAATGTCTAATAAATTATCATCTAACTTACAAAGACAATTTCTCCTTGGCTTGTTCTATGACTGTATTGTATATACTGATGTATGGTTCATGGACATATTTTGCCTCAATCTGACCTCTGATGCTGTCTTTATCCACTTTCTACAAATACAAAAGTGTCAATATAAACAGAGATCTGAAACAAAAATTAACAAGGATATCTGTAGATCTTGAACATGCATATTGTTGATTTATTTCTGGTGTATGAGAAGTTTTGGTATTTCATGTATATATATTTGTACCGTATACAGTTTTTTCACTAACTAAACTATGGGATGGGAAAAATCTAATGAATATTTTTTTTAATGAATAGAAGTATGATTTACTTTTTTATAATTTATTATGCAGCATTTCAGTAGTAAGAAACTGACAATTTGAGAATTTACAAGAAAATGCTAAAAAAATCTGTTGAATAAAAAAAAAGAATTCCTTATCATAAGGATGCCAATCACAAAACCATAACAGTGGTCATGTTGTTACACATTGAATTCCTTATCATAAGGATACCAATCACAATACCATAACAGTGGTCATGTTGTTACACATTGAATTCCTTATCATAAGGATACCAATCACAATACCATAACAGTGGTCATGTTGTTACACATTGAATTCCTTATCATAAGGATACCAATCACAATACCATAACAGTGGTCATGTTGTTACACATTGAATTCCTTATCATAAGGATACCAATCACAATACCATAACAGTGGTCATGTTGTTACACATTGAATTCCTCATCATAAGGATACCAATCACTATACCATAACAGTGGTCATGTTGTAACACATTGAATTCCTTATCATAAGGATACCAATCACTATACCATAACAGTGGTCATGTTGTAACACATGCAGAAAGACTTAAAGATATGTATGCAATATAAAGGAATCTATGCGAGAGAAAAATTTCAAGGTGAAACCAATTTCAGAGCAGCATGCAGACCAATTCCAATTGTGGAAGCGATAATTTTTTTTCCATTTTGAAAAGTTAATTTCTCAAAAAGCAGGTAAATTTCTGGAAAATGCAAAGAACTATGAATCAGATAAGTGTGGCCTTACTTTTAATGTTGCAATACTTTGTCTTGCCATCTGAATTCTTTCTTTCAACCATAATGGGACTAGCATATTGATCCTCTTACAAAAATGTTCAACTGTCATGGAACCATCATCACTGTCGTTCATCTACAAAATAATATCAAATTAACAATACAGAACAAACAGGGTGAAACTTTACTCGTAAGTATATCAATCATATGTCCTCTGACAAAACCTAAATTGAACACTTTTTCCCCCCAGAAGAGTTGAAATGACAGTATAGGTTGGCATTAATATTAACTAATTGCAATTAATGAGTAACTTCACAAAAGACCAAACAATAATGTCAATAGATATATTTCTATAGTACCTGCAGGTTTTAATGTAATATATTCTCTAAATAATCCAGCTATTTCTGAATATACCAATGAAATTTATCTACCTGAAGTTACTGTTTTAGTACATAACTACATAAAAAAAGTAACTTGTTTGATATCAAATTTTATGTTCTAGCCAAAATGTGTCAAATAGGTTGACTTTTCCTTGCCTTAACTATGCTATTAACTGCGATTTTACAATTTCAATTTTATGAATGAACTGCCCTGCTTGACCTGAGGTCATTTGGGGAAAGATGTCATAGGACATTGTGACATGAAGATATTTGCTTTGTGATGTCAAATTTTTCAGGGAAAATGCAGTAATCCAAAGAATGTGTATTACTCCATCTTATGGACAGTACATTTCTCAGTTGTACAGATATGTATGTATAAATATATCTTATTTCATTCACAACTTGTCTAAACTCCAGGTGAATTAAAGTTTGACACACTGTACACAATATGTCTGTTGTTGAACATTCTATTATCACCTACAGTTCTGTCATGGGCCTTGGTGGCAGAGTGGTCTAAGTACTTCATCTACTGTTTCACTAAGCTATCAACACTACAATTGTGAGTTCAAACCCTGCATGTGGTAGGTGCATTCATTTCCACAATCTAATTGACGTGGAATATCAGTTTTTCATGGTTCTCTCCAGTTTCCTCCACCAATAAAAACTGACCGCCACTATATAGCAAATAGTTTTTGAAAGTGGCATTAATCACCAACAATCAATCAATCATCTTTTCTGTTGGTTTTTTGTGCTTTTGGTTGCTGTCTTATAGGCATAAATTATACATGTCTGTTAAATCATATTGTTATAGAAAAAAGCCTTCTTAATGAGTAAAATAACAGTCCTATTTAGAAGTTCTTCCATTAAGACATTATGGCTGGTTATCATCCTCCTTCAATAATCAAGTTCCAATAAGATATTACTGTGTACAGGTAACTTAAAATATTTCTAAAAATAATAAATAAACAGTGTGTGGAAGTTTAAACTGTAGCAGAGGAAAGGTATAGGACTAAAATATTGACCATAGATTGTTTGAGATAATCCTCCATATTTATCTCCATGACTGATCTAGAACCACTACTACATGTGAGGTTAGAGTGGCTACTATCAGACTCCATGATAGCAGCACTGCTGGGGGTAAGGTTCAGCTGGTAGTTAGTTGTATTTTCTGGTGGGACACTGGATATTGTAGTACTGGTCAACAGTTCTGCTGGCATGTATATATCTGTTATTCCACTTGGTAACTCTGAAAATAGCATAGCACATTTTGATTGAATAAAACTACGCTGTACATAAAAGATTGAAAGTTCCCATACAGTCAGGGGTACTACTTGTACAAGTAATCTTTATTTACTTGAAGAAGTAAATAAAATATACTTATACAAGTTAATTATATTGTTTGAATAATCTCCCCTTAATTTTTTTTTTACAATCCCACAAAAATTCTCAAGTTTTGAGATGTAAAATCATGCCTTTAACAATTTTTCTCAGGTTAGCTCATAATTTTTGATAAGAGTTCAATGTTTTATCTCATTAATTCAACAAAGAAACTGATTGAGCAAAGATCTTAAGTATTTGCCCAAGGCCTTCAAAAATTGCTCCTTGGGGGCTGGTAAATGAGCAGTGTTCTAAAGATAACAGACAAATGAGATTTTCATTGTCCATGAAATTACACTTAAATGAATAGTAAAGACATCTGCAAAGGACAGACAATTCAAAATTCTGTTAGAGCAAAGAAGTTCTAAGAATTCAAGAAAAGAAGATAGGATGACTTTTTTACTTGTATAAGTAAAAAAATCTGAATGTCTAAGGGACATAACTAGGCCAAAAAATAATTTACTTATACAAGTAAATAAAATACACTTCTATAAGTATCCTACAAATTTACTTATATAAGTATATTATAATTACTTCTTCAAGTAAATAAAAATTACTTGTACAAGTAGTACCCCTGACTGCCATAATGAAGAAGAGATATATAAGAGCAATGTTATAAGAAGTGAAACACTAAGGTGCAAAATAAATTATTAACTCTAAAAAGGTGTTTTAAATTGCTGTTTGCAAAATAAAGATACCTGAATGCAGTCTTTACTTCAGGTACTTAAATTTGGGGCATTTGATAAAATTCTGCAAACTCACAAACCTGCATGATTTTAAAACTTATGATTGTGAAAGTCAATTTATTGAGGAACCTGTTTCTATCTGTACATGAAGTGAGGGTACACAAATTGCACCTATTTTGACAGTTTTTTCACCTATGTTTATTTAAGAAACAGACAAAAGTTCCATTCTGTGTTTATTTTAAAGATATATCCTTATTTACTATAAAGTTCCATCATAGAAAAATGGGGTTGAACCTTGTTATGCATTTTGTATGAAATGAATGTCTGTGAAATATTCTAATTTTTCTCAATTTTAAAAGTAGACTTTTTGTAGAAGTTCCTCGCAACATTTCCGTAATTTTACTTTTTTAACTGGAGACTTTATCTGTTGATATATAATGTGACTGTTTTGTATATATTTAAGTATATTTAGCTATGTTGAAAAACATGCATAATAACAAATTATAAAAAAAGAATTAATGCAATTTGGGTACTGTGACGTTAAACAAGCATTTAGTGTGTCAGAAAAAATTAAATAAAATATAAATTAAGTTAATAAGTACCCAATGGATCATCAGATCTCCCGTCACTTTTTGATCTTTCCCTAATTGTGATGTTGGTGCTGGATTCTAAGATTGGCAGTGAAGAATTTTTCATCAATTCTGTACTATCAAAATCTGGATCATTATTAGAAAACAACTCCTTTGAACAATGCATTGGTTGATGCTGACCTGTTTCAGGAGCTGGTTTATGTTCTGTTTGTATAACACGTTCTGATATCTTAACAGTACTTCCTCTGACAGGGGGTCTCACCTCAGAAGAATAGTCTCTGGATGTCCCAAACATTTTCCCATTAGGAGTTCGTGTATGTAAACTTTTACACGCATTTTTATCTATTCTTTCTACCATTTCTGATAAATTTTGATTGCCTACATTAAAGTCATTGTTAACATTCTCTGCATTTTTTTTTACGCTCTCTAATTGTGCTTTATACTTAAAGAAGAAACCATCAGTTATATCAGGACTGGCACTTTCTCTTCTATTTTCAGGGTTTTCTGAATTTTTATCTTTATCACTATTCATATCCTTTCTAATTTTTTCAATCAAACTTGAAATTCCTCCTTTTATCTTATTTTTTCCAACATTTTCTTTGTTTTCAATCTGACTGGTCATTTCTACTTCAGTCTCTAACATATTCAAACCAGGTGAATGATTTTGACTCATTTCTTCTATGTCTTGTCGATATTTATTTTTAACAATGTCATTTTCTGTTAACTGGCCACTGTAATCGCATGAACTGTGCATATGACGAGTGTCAGATTCTAACCTCCCTGCTCTTGTTTTTGTATGTTCCATAGCTTCCCCATCTTTGAACTGCTCTGTCTTGTTTTTGGTTGTATAAGAATCTGCTTCCAACAAGCTTTTCATTGCATCTGGCTGATCAGTTTCTTCATCTTCTTTATCTGGAGAACCATTAAGACCAAACTCATAATTGCCAGTTAATGCTGTTGTTTGTTCCACTTCGTTATCTTCAGTAGGATTCCCAGTTTTATTTGTATTAGGGTCAAATTGTAAAATCTCTGTCAACTTTTCAGTTTGTTCTAATTCATTATCATCTTTGGAGACTGGTGTTTTGTTCTTTTGCATATTGCAAACAATCTCTAATTTTCCTGTCAATGCTTGAGTTTGTTCCATTTCATCATTATCCTTGAACAGCAATGTTTTATCCTTTGAAAGAAGAGAACCAATCTCTAATTTTCCTGTCAATGCTTGAGTTTGTTCCATTTCATTATTATCCTTGAACAGCAATGTTTTATCCTTCAAAAAATGAGAACCAATCACTAATGTTCCTGTCAATGCTTGAGTTTGTTCCATTTCATTATTATCTTTGAACAGCAATGTTTTATCCTTTGAAAGATGAGAACCAATCTCTAATTTTCCTGTCAATGCTTGAGTTTGCTCCATTTCATTATCATCAGGAAAAATCACTGTTTTATTTTTCTGAGTATCAGAGTAAACCTTCATTTTTTCCTTTTCTTCCATTTCATTTCCATCACTGAAATGCATTGATTTACAACTCTGGCTCCCCCCTTTGGAGTCTAGTTTGATTTTGGTATTTATTGGTCTTGTTTGCTCCATCTGATTTCCTTCATTAAATACTATAGTATTGTTCACATCGATGGGCAATTTATGATTTTTATTTACCGCTGTTCCATCAGTTTGAACCAATATGCTATTTCCGGTTGTAAGCGATGTTTTTTTAACACAAGACAGATATTCAACTTTAGATGTGAGGGCACAAGTTTCTTCCATTCCATTGTCTTCTGTAAAGATTGTAGTTTTATTTTCTTTAACATATGAAAGCCCTCCTAACTTTGATGTGACTGTGCATGTTTCTTCCATATAGTTTGTTTCACTGAATAGTTTCGTTCTATTCTCTCTTTCTTGCTCTTTATCTGAATTGGTGATAATATCAATTTTGCCAGTGACTGTTCGAGTCTCTTCCATATCATTACTTTCTTGGTACAATAATGTTTTGTTGTCAACGTTTGATATATCTATATTTTTTGCCTGTTTAGGCAATTCAATTTTTTGTGTAAGTACATTTGTTTCTTCCATACTATTATCAGATATCTTTGTGTCTTCTTGTTTACCCAGAATAGGAAGTTCTATTTTGTTTGTAAATACAGTTGTCTGTTCCATATCATTGCCATCTGCGAATAAACACGTTTTGTTCTTTTTATCAAGACCAAATGACTTTCGACATCCAGCAGGATTGACACCACTTAGTACATTAGTTTCTTCCATATCATTATTCTTATACAATACAGTTTTATTTTTCTCAAGAAGAGTACTTGACTGTAGGAGATCAATTTTACTAGTTAGGAGACCAGTTTCTTCCATGTCATCAGACAAGTTAGTTTTGGCCATGTCAAAGGTCCTGATACCTTCCACATAATTCAGTTTTCCTGTTAACATTTCAGTCTGTTCCATGTCAAGTCCCTTGTCAAATATCTGGGTCTTTTCTGTCGCATTCTCTCCCACAGTGTTTTCATTCCCCTTCATTTTATTAGCAGACGCTCTGATTTGTACTGTCGTTGGGATTTTTAATTCCATTCCATTATTCAAGAGAAATGTATTTTGTGATTTCTGATTAGGCAGTGCACCAAAATTGATTTGGCTTCCAATAACCTCAGTGTCCTCCATATTGTTATCCTCCCCAAAAAACACTGTATGGTTGTCCATCTCAGTACCCCGCCCAAAAAACATATTATTGCTGCTTCTTTCTGATATCTTCTTTGATTTCAAGAAACTAGGTACTTTAACAGATTCTAGAATCAATGATTCTTTCTCACTATTTTGAATACATTTTGTGAGAACTTCGGTCTCTTCCATATCATTTCCATCAAACACAATTGTCCTTTCTTCGTATTTATCAGCTTGTGACTCGGATGCTTTGAAGGTCAACTGTTTTAAGAAAGATAATCCATCCACTTTTGAAACTGGTCTCTCCCCACCATCAAGTGGATTATATGATTCTGTTGTTATAGGTTTAAATGCGGATCTGTCGCTGATACTGGTGAGAGGTTTACGTGATGTTACATTTGTGGTGAATGTTACAGAGGCTCCTGCTGTTGTTGTCACACTTGTACCTAACACTGAGTACTTGTTTATTGAGGTATTTATCAATGTATGGAAATCGGATTCTTGTTCCACTTTATACATGTTGTTGCTGTCAGAATTGGAAAACTTCTTGTCTGGTAAAAATAGCTTCTCTGAAATACTATTAAAGAAAAACAACTTAATTTAGTGCAATGTACATGTCTGATTGGACATAATAAAGAAAACTGTTCATCACTTATTTTTAGGATAACTTTCACCGATTAATTATAGAAAATGTTTCTGATGACATGGAACAGAACATACAGATAATGTTTTACACATATAAATACGCTTTACTTACATGTATATATTATTTGATTGATCACAGTTTAAACACACATCTGTACAAATGTACCATTCTAATGGTGCAGCAGATAATTTCATTTTATAATCATTTTTCAATTATTTTCATAATCTCTGTCAATGCTTTTAGGTCTCAACTGAATATCTATTGACTGATTTATGAGGAAATATAAAATAAATGTTTGAAATTACAATTATGATTAAGATTATGTATGTCAGGCATTTACTAATCCTCCATATTGTTTTTGTCTGGGATTATTGGGTTTCCTGCAACTGTGTTGTTCTTTTTACATTTACAATCTGTCAAACTTAGCCTTTGTATCTTACTGTTCACGTTTTAGCTTTCATGTACTGGTTATTGTATTGTCTTTCTACCAGAAATTCTGTTTTAACACTTTTGTCTGCTCAATTTTAACATTTAAAGTTTTAAAGCTACTAATTATTTTACACAAGTATATTTACTTTTCCAAAACTGGTTTTCCTATGCTTGGAAGAAATGATTTTCCATCAAATTTATCAATGCAAAAAGATGCACCATAGTTGTCACCAAAGTCATCCACAATAGGTTTTTCTACATTTGACTTCTCAAAACAGTCTGTCATGTCCATATCATCAGTTTGCAATATTGTATGGTTTGGACCACTCTGTATGTATGGAACATTCTCATCTGGTAATGGCAGTTCTGATTCCTGTAAATGTAGATAGAATTGAATAAAGGTCACTTAGTAAATGACAACTGAACCCAGCGATAAAAAGTTTAAAAAAAAAGTTAAATGAAACACATAAAATATGTCGGAGGAAGGGGGATGGAATATTTTTTGACTGTTCTTGAAATAAAATTTGATCATTTCAAATAATTGACAGACCTTGTTCCACTTGAAGATCTGTTGTGGCCAAGCTATAAGAGATTGGTTACACATAGGGGCAAGCTCAGCATGTGGCAAGATACAAAAAAAATGGAAGAAACTTGTGGAAGTCATATGTTTCATTCATAATAGAGAGGATGATGATCTAAATGTAACAGCCATTGAATGGCACTTGTTAAGAAAATAGTATGGCAGATAAAGGCTTATAATGAATAAATGGATAAGGACATAAATTCATTGAAAGTATATATATGAGAATATATCCTTTGGGAAAGACTTATGCAGAATATATTTGCCAGCATGTGTATTTGTCTGTTACTGTCAAGACTATGAACCAATTTTGTCTATTTACTGTTATTCTTTATGCAAAAGTGGCAATGATTAATTAGTAATATATCAACATGCAATCAGCAGGCAAGACTCTTGACATGGGGTGGAGCCCACAAAGCCCTTGCTGAAAGAGGACACTCAGACCATAGCTTCCTAAAAGGATGTGGGTTTGCCAATTTCTCATTATTATGAAAAATATTTTGTTTGGGTAATTTATAAACTTTTTACCTAGCACAGGTACATTTTTCTAGTTAAAAAGTGACACAGGGAAAAATTACTGTAAAAACGAACCCGAATCACATACACTCTCACCAAAATAGTTACTATCAAGGTTAATTGGTTCTCTCACAGTTGAACTATAAAGACCAGAAATCGGTCAACCTTATTGAAGTTCTTTCTAATGTTCATCTGATTTGCATAAAAAAAAAAAGAGCAATAAATTATTGTTAATAAAAAAAAAAATTTTAAATGAATAAATCAAAAAAGTTTTTGAGAAGTAACTTGGACATAACCAAATTGTTTACACAAGTTCATGCATACATGTGCCCAGGTGTTAAATTTAATTAGGAATAGGAAATCTTTCACTATCAAAAATTAGTTCTCTGACAGTTGAACTATAAAGACCAGAAATCCGTCAATCTTTTTGAAGTTGTTTCTTATGTTCATCTGATTTGCATCATAAAAACTTGAGCAATAAATTATTGTTTATAGATTTTATTTTTAATAAAATGAGAAATCAAAAAGGTTTTTGAGAAGTAAAATAAATAGAACCATATTGTTTACATAAGTTCATGCATACATGTGCCCAGTTGTTATATTTAGTTATGAATAGGAAATCTTTCACTATCAAAAAAAGTTTATACCATTTATATCATGTCCATCTGAAGTATTTGCTTGAAGAAATAATGTAGGAAGAACTAATTATACTAAATGATGCATATCAAAAAGTCAAAAGATTTCACATATGGCAAAACAAAATTCATGCTTGTTTCTTGCATCCCGACTGTCCCTGTCTCAGACCCTAATTTCTTTTCGTGCATTTACAGAAAATTGCAGAAAAGTTGTTTGAATCCATCAGAAAATAAAGAAAAAAGCACATCTCAAACATTGACATGTTTATTTTCAACAGTTCTACTACAAGAATAAAGTTTATTTTTGTCTTCATTCTGTTTATACCAGTAAGCTATATGAAATACATTATTAAAAGGTAAAATAAATAGAGAATATCATATGGCTTTTTCAATATCACACCAGTATCAACCTGAGACTCCAATATGACCCCAAGAGCGCTGCTCGAGGGATTATATTGGTTGAGGGTTGATAAGGTGTGTGATATTGAATACACTTTATAATAAACATGTTGGTTTTCCTGTTTAAATTGTTTTACACTAGTAATTTCGTGGCCCTTTATAGCTTACTGTTCGGTGTGAGTCAAGGCTCCGTGTTGAAGGCCGTACTTTTACCTATAATTGTTAACTTTTTTATACATTGTGACTTGGATGGAGAGTTGTCTCATTGGCACTCATACCACATCTTCTTATTTATATGTATCCCAAGTACAACTAATCTCTCCTTAGATATTTTTCATGAGACGTGACATAATACCGTGACTGATATTGATTACGTGACGTCATACAGATTAGGGGTTTGATAAAGACTTTGCAACTGTGACTGATATCGATATCATCACGAATGGCTGATACAGTACGATTGTCATCAATTGTATTATACATACAATTTACCTGTATTTACTACTAAGTATATAATAAATATTTTAATCATTCAACCTAAATTGACATGTGCAAGTGTCTTTGCAATATTGAACCATATTTGGAGAAATGGGCTAAATGTCAATCACTGAATCACACAATTACCAAAATAAGATGTTTTAGATTTCTTCTCTCTTAAAATGTTAAGTAATGAACATTTGGTATTGGTTTCGAATATCCCTATTTCTGAAATTTACCTGTATCTCAGAACGACACGAGTGGCCCAGCTTGCAAATTTTCAAAGTCCAAAGCCTGTAATTTTGGCAAAAATCAGCAGTGCGGAACCAAACATAAACTCACTCTGTAACTCATCATAGTACACTCACATACTAAAAATCAGCTCAATATGTGTAGGTGTTTAGAAAAAAATCAATATAGCTGTTATTTTCATGAAATTTTCAAAAGTCCAAAGCCCATAATTTTGGCAAAAATCAGCAGAGCAGAACCAAACGTAAACTTGATCTGTAACTCCTTATAGTAGATTCTATGACCACTATGTGGCAGGGCCATAAAATACTTTCCCTACCTACCTACCCTCTTTTTTCTACTTGGAGGCAGGAATCAACCATATTTTTTTTTTGGCCTAATTTACTTTATCACTGACATTTCAACATCTCACATTTGGTATTAGCAAATGTGTACTTATTAAAAAAAAAGTTAACTTCATATTAGTGTTATGGCAGTAATAAAAAGTAAAGTGCAAAAGAAATGGGCCAGATATTTCAAACCTCAATTGAGGCAGTGTAACATTACAGAAATCCTATCAATGTACAAGTTCACAGAGTGATGATTGTTTTCATGACAAAGCCATTGCCCTTCATTCCCCAGTTATCATATTGATTGCCTTTAGTTAAAGGGGCATTAGCTACGAGATATATAAAAAAATAAAATATGATTTTTTTTTTTGTTCAATCTTTAATGAAAGTGAAATAGTGAAATAATAATTCTCTTTTAGCAGCCAGTTTGGTTCAGTTTTGTCAAAATAAGCAAAGAAAAATCGCTAATGAATTATTCACTTGCAAGTGAATAATTCGACCTCATTGAATCTGTATTCATGTGACCTTTAATTTAACCCCTTAGCTAGAGTTGGGTTACGCATGAATTAGGCATGTTCAGTTATTAATAGGAAAAGAATGTCAACATTGAAAGTGAAACAAGTGTAAACCATTTGATTGACTGATTCGATCCACAAAAACTCATTCTTATACAGGTAAACATGATGATTAGCATATATTTGTAACCTATAATATGAAATCAAACAGACCTAGAAAAATCCAATTGCACCAGTTTGCTATCTATTTATATCTATATTTATGTTTACATTGGATTATATGACCGTCTGCAGTCTTCGGAGGTCATTTTAATGGTTAACTAGATGGCGTCTAGACTAAAATACAAACAAAATGCTGATACATATTATCCAGCAAATGCATTGTAAATTGTTTATTTTAGACTTTTTAAAACTGGGATATATACGTTTTAGTATGTTATAAATCAAATATGAGAATTTGAGTCAAATCAGACTTGAACATGAATTTGATAGCTAATGCCCCTTTAATAGTCTAAGAGATTAAAATTTGATTGAAAAAAAAACAATTCAGGCTGGGTAAAAAATAAATGAAGCCATGCTGCAGACTCCCTTCGGTTTTTTAAACTACATCTTCTTTCAATCTGAGAGCCATCTCTGATACATTTCAAATCTTTTTCTTCTAAATGGATTTGATGTAAACTTACAATTTGTTCTTCTGAGGGAGAGTTGGTCTGTATTGGTCCTGTCAACAACTTATCTAAACCTAAAATACAAAACATTTTACTATCAAATAAAACAATGAATGAATGTTTCATGAACATAATTTCTTTGAAGATTTCTTTACCAGAAATGCGTTTTAGACATTTATGTAGTAGAGAATTGATAAGAAGTAGTGAATTCGTAAACGATAATCAACGAGCGACTTTAGTCGCAAGTTGATTATCGTTTCCAAATCCACTACTTCTTATCAATTCTCTAGCCTAACCCATTTCTTTTAAAACGACTGTCTGTTTTACGTTTTGACAATGAATCAACGATATTTCATAAAAATAGTTATGTATTTTGTCTTTTTTATTCTATAATAGCTGGAAATGATTATATCCACACGGTTCGCATCTATAATTAGACATTTGACAAGTTAACATAAGTTTAAGATAACTTAAATGGGGTGTTAGCTCCCCTTTTTAACACCAGATTTTAGTTTTGTATATACATATTTCATTTAATGTTTAATCATTACAAATTATTTATATTGAATAGATTTTGGTATATTTAATTTATTCAAAAAGACATATATTAATATACAGAATTTATTTATCTTGTTTTGAAAAGTTAAAAAATGTTAATTACCAAAATTTAGAACCTTCAAAATTTATATATATAATATTTAGCAACATGTTTTGGTTAATTGAAGACTAAACACCGTTAAGCCGTTCTTAGTCCAAAAAATATTGATAAGGTAGATGCCATAAATCTGCCATTTCATAATGCTCAAATTCATGTTGCTTTCCTAATAAAATTACGATTGTGCTTACGATTTAAATTGAACAATTATATTCAAATCTGTTTAAACTGTTTCCGTTTCATTAAGTTACGATTATTTTAACGTTATAATTTCATTTGGCATATATCGTTCACCGGTAAATAAACTAGTTTTATCTGAGGTACGCATTCTGAATCCCCATCAGAATTGCTCTTGCTACGGATGTACAATGAATAATTATCTTGATTTCATAAATTTACCATCAAGCTGTTCATAGCTGTGATCGTCTAGTCGTTGGTAACGAATGTCATAACGGTGATATTAACAGTGCAAAGTTCGAACCTTGTATCCGGAATGAAATTTTTTCATTGTAATTTTTTTTCTCGATAAAAATAGTTTTAATCTTAGAGGTATTATATACTTCATTTTCATGTAAAGGCGATGATTTTGTTTCTGGTTTTACAGTCAAAGAAGTAGTTTTACGGTCGTAGCTTATATATCACACTTTACTCAAATTAGAGTCCGTTCAATGTTGACGTGATATAAATCAATTTGAAAAGAACATGAACAAATCCAGACATAGTATATATATTTTGTTAGATAAGAAAAGCGAATTATCTCTGAGATAGAAATACAGTTTATTGACATGTATTGACAGTTGTGCGCTTTAAGAGTGTATTTAAATAATGATTTATGTGAGCAATCGTGGTATAGTGGTATCATGCATAGACTGAAGACTCTACTGATTATGAAGAAAATACGCGCGAGTTCGAACCCTTCATATGCCACTCGTTTTTGAGAGGATAAAAAATCGTAAGTTAAAAGTTATGAAATAAGTTATCTTAAGTTAACGAAGTAGTCAGTGGATTCTTGAAAAATAATCCACTGTAAGAACAATAGAATGACGTCAGAGAAATGGGTTACTGTCATATAAATTGGAATTAAAATAATGATAAGTTTGATTGAAATTATGTTTTTATTTGCTAATTCTTTTACTAAGACTGAGTGCACAATATACATGGGTTATATCATAAATCATTGGTGGAAAGATTCAAATAGTTGTGTGTAGAATTTCAAGTTCTTTTTGTTTTCCATTGAGATATGGTAGTGAAAAAAAAATGATATAGCACTAACAGTTACATATAGTTCTTCATTCTTCAGAAAGATAAATCATTTTCATACCCAATACTTGAATCCCAAATCTCAATGCAAAATCAGCTGTAGGTCTTTTGCATACAGTGTAAAATTCTGCAGTTTTAATGATCAAATCCATATACATTTGTATCCTATAGATAATTATAATTTTACTACAATAAAAAATATATGTATAATGAAGGAAAAAGTGTCATCTTTGATTCAAATCATCGTGAAAGGGGAATAATATGGCTTATTTGTAGATCTTTTCTTGTTGATCATTTGTGCTATTTAAAGTTTCCATTTATCTATTACAGTTTTCAAGATAAAATGGGGAAAATTGTTATTAATCATGTTAATGGGCAACAACTTCAATAAGGAGTTGACTAGCAATTTTGGTTTATGTTGAATTATTTGTAGATCTTGTCTTGCTGATCATTTTTGCTTCTTAAATGTTTCTATCTATCTAATCTAGTTTTTTAAGATATTACATATTGCATTTTAATCCAATGTTCTATTTTTAGCCATGTCCGCCATCTTGGTTGACAGGTGGGGTCATCAGACACATTTTTTAAACTTAATACCCTAATAATGATTGTGGCCAACTTTGTTTAAATTTGGCCCAGTAGTTTCAGAGGAGAATATTTTTGTAAAAGTTAAAGGACGATGACGGATGCCAAGTGATAAGAAAAGCTCACTTGGCCTTTTCGGCCAGGTGAGCTACAAAGCAGGATGTTTCCTACTGAGAGGTTGGACAATATCTTTCATAAACTTTACCTTGAATTTCACCTCTGCTGGTATGCTGTGGAACATCAGGCAGTCTGAAAATATCCAGTGAATAGAAAACAAATTATAGACTGTGGCAGTCCAGGAGACAAATGAACTAAGAATGACATGTTGAAAATGTGTTAACTAGATTTTAAGTGTCTAAATATTTGAAACTACTAGTAAAGATGTAGAGTAGCCAATATTAGATTTAAGACGGCAAAATTTCTATGTTTAAAAATACAGAACTTTGAGCTTGTTTTACTTGGCATTCTGTTTTTTTTTATTTGAGTGTCCTATATAATATTGGCCATCAAGTTACTGGCAGTGTTCCTGGCAGCTATACCATTTGTAGATCAATCTTTTTATTCAGCAAGATGCAACATGTGTCTTTTTTCATTTTACTTTGACATCTGGCCTTTTTTCAACACAATTATTGACTACTTTTTCATTTTTTGTCGTGCAACCACTATAAGTTTGAACAGTCAATCACATCACACAGCAAATGTGGTGCATACTGTTAATGTCCATTAAAATTACTGTATGTTACATCGAACTATTTATCTTATGGCTCTGAAACAATATGTATTGTCTGTTGAGAATTTGACATTGGCGATAGTTAACTAGTTATCGCCTGTCTGCAATAGGGGTGTTTCAAAGCTTGACATCTAGTATGGATGCTTGTTTATTATGGACAGTATTTTGACACCTAGATGTCCTTTGGTCTGCATGTGTTGTAGAATTGCTGTCTCATTAATGTTTAACTTACACTTCTAAGTATCGAATAATATTTTCCATTAAGATTTTTAAAAGATAAAAAAAAAATAAAAACAGCATCATTGATGTAATGCTTACCTCTCAAGTTCTGGACTAGAATCATCTGAAATAAATAAAAAAATTTGAATTTTTTTTTTTCTTAATCTTGTTTGATTCCTTATTAGATGATATCTGTTTACAACATCAGGAATTATTCCTCTTACAAACATATCCTTCAAGTTTTCTACTTGAGAAACTTTATTTTATTCCAACATTTAATAAACTTTAGAATAGTTTTATGCATAAATTACAACATAAGTATATTGTCCTGTTACATTTTTATACCATTTCATTCCTCAAATAACTTATTGAGATCTGGTTTTATACACATTGTCCTCACATTGAGAAAAAAATATAATAATAATAAGAAAAGGACTGCAGTCACTCTTAATACTAAAATCAAAAAATTAACATAAATATTATAACTTATATAAACAATGTGAGCCAACAGTAGATATACAATCTAGATGTGCATGTGTATTTTATGATGGATAACAATTATTTAAATATTACCTTCCGATTCAGGGTCAGGCATCCATCTATGGGGAGAGTCTCTTGGAAATTCTCTGAAAAAAAATGATATAAATGCTTGGATATTGGCCTTGAAACAACATGTATATTTACAAGCATTTTTGTTCATCCCTTTGCACACCAGCAATTTTTTTGTTAAGTCATACCTTAAAAGTCACATTTTTATATACCTGTTCCAAGTTGTCGTTGGATTCAAAATTGTTTTTTTGGTAAATTGTATTGTATAAATCAGGCTGTTGGTTTTCTCATTTGAATTGTTTTACATTTTATGATGTCTGGGCCTTTTATAGCTTGCTATGCTGTATGGGTTTTTTCTCAGTGTTGAAGGCTGGGACCTATAATTGCTTTTATCTTTTTCATTTGAACTCTGGTTGATAGTAGTCTCAAATATAATTGTGTTTATCTTTGTCATTTGAACTCTGGTGGATAGTAGTCTCAAATATAATTGCTTTTATCTTTGTCATTTGAACTCTGGTGGATAGTTGTCTCAAATATAATTGAGTTTATCTTTGTCATTTGAACTCTGGTGGATAGTAGTCTCAAATATAATTGCTTTTATCTTTGTCATTTGAATTCTGGTGGATAGTAGTCTCAAATATAATTGCGTTTATCTTTGCCATTTGAACTGATGATATGATGATGTTGTAACTTGGAGAAAATTGACTTACTTAACTTGGTAAGTTTCAGCAAAGCTTACTCTTCTTGATGATGATATTCTTGCTTTTTTTCTTGGTATTACCTCTGTCACCTGTGTAGCAAATGCATGCATTAATCCTTGTATTATGAATATTAATGTGATTATAAATTTAAATTTTTATTAGTCTCGTTGAGGAAAATGTAGTAAATATTCCCTAAAATAATTTTGTAAAGAGTTTGTAATATTTATTCATTTTTGTATTTCTTTCTCCATTTTTTGGAAGTACTCACAAAACTTTCCTCATTTATATAGAAGATTCATGAAGAAATGTGCCTTCATGTCTCCTCCACTTAACAAAATATTTTGTGATGCTCAATTTTAAGCTTTCCATTTTCTTAAATGAAATGTTGCTCGTCTTTTAGTCTCCTAGTTTATGTCATGTTGCTGTCTGGCTTTATTTTGACAAGGACCCTTTATTACTTAAGTATCTTATTATTTATTTAATCACTTTTCTCCTCGTGAAGAAAAACAATTTCTTCCTAAAATCATGAATGATAATGACCCCTGTTTTGGTCTATTCTGGGTTTCTCTGCTTCAATCTCATCAAAGGGCCATAGCCCTGTAATAAGAAGAAGCAGCGAAAGATTGTTGATAATCTGTGTATCACTTTTTTCATAAGCAACATCAATGATGTACACTTATGACGTCATGAATTTTCTTTTTAACTGTTAAAAACCATATCACTCGATTGAGATGGAAAATTATCCTACAAAAGGTCAGAGGAATTTTTTTCAGAAAATAGCGAGTAAAGTGAGTTGTGTTGTTATAACATTACTTACAGCTTGATTGGTATCTATATCTAAGAGAGGAGTCTTGGTCTTCAAGATCTGAAATGAAAAAATGATCAAAATTGTATTTAAAGGATAAGTTCTATTTCTAAGTGCAATACATCTCTTATAAACAGATTTTTCTATTGCTAAAATGTAATATGTAATCTTTCTACAAAAAGCATACAAGTTCTTTTTTACATAAATGATTTTTTTAAATAAAATCATAATTGTATATTTTTTCTCCTAACTAAAACCTACACTGATTTTCCAGATAGAACATGTATAAGGTTTGTTATTTCAGCCTAAAAGCTTTGCAGATCTTGACAAAGTTTGCTTTTTGATCAGGCAAAAAGCTTTTCCTTATCTGTGATCAAATTTGTTAATGTGAAAGGATTTCTGATAACAGATAGTATAGTGTTATCCATTAAAAGGACTCCCAACACTTCTATATTATCTGTTTTTATGTACAATCAAATTCTGTTCAAAAACTTAAGTTTTCCAAACAATTCAGGATTCATTATGTATAATTTGACAAAACAATACTTTATACAATTTGTCTAGGTCCACTAATAATAGACTACATTGGTTACTCAAAGTTTGCTGTAATAAAGTAAATAGTAAGTATGTTCACACATTACATTCATGAACATGTAAAATGCAAAGCAAATCAGGTTCATGTAGAGTATAATTCAAATTGTGTTTTTAATATCAGCTATTTTGAGCTCAAAAATCTAAAATCCAAAATGCTAAAACCATTTAAAATGTATTCGACATTCAAAAGAACTACAAATATACGTTAAGCTTATTTCTATACACAATTTATGCAACATGTTAGGTGACTTACAGATGATGATCTTCGTCCAGATCTCCTTCTTCTAAATCTCTGATCTAATGTATCCTCTTCCATTTTTACTATTTAATACATAGTGCAGTATTATTTATAAATTCATCTGAAAAAAAAGTTTCTTAAATTACATGAGGGCTATTCCAAGAAAAAAATGGTAAATAGGGGGGTGGAATTAGGGTTTCTGGTGGTGGTCACCCTTATTGCATTTTGCAGAAAAAAATTAAATTGTTGCAAATAAAAACCATTATCATGATTATTGGCGAAATATATTGCAAAGAATTATAACAGTTTGACATCGTCCATCTTGTTAATTTTTTTCAGGATTCTCCAACTTTTCCCCTTATCAGTCATCACTCTATCAATTTAGCACTCCTATTTTATAATAGCTGGATGTTTTATCTCCATTTCTTAACGATGTGCTGAAAAAGAAAACTTTTTTTTTTAATGAAAACAACTGCAAAAGATTCAGGATCTGCTTACCCTTCCAAAACACCTGAGTCTGAGATCGCCCCCAGTTTTGGTGGGGTTTGTGTTGCTCAGTCTTTAGTTTTCTATGTTGTGTTTTGTGTCTTATTGTTTGTCTGTTAGTCTTTTTTTCTTAGCCATGGCGTTCTCAGTTTATTTTCGACTTATTAGTTTGAATGTCCTTTTGGTATCGTTCGCCTCTCTTCTTCATATCATATGTAATTTGTAAATAGGTCACAACACTAAAACATAAATCACTCAAATACCCGTTTCGTAGTTGATGGTGCTGTTTTGCACCTTAAAAGCGGGACTATTAAGAAGAGTTGAGTTCTTTTATGTGTCATTAATTTCCTATTTGGTTTGAAATACAAAAAAACAAACAATGTATTTCTATCTATGTTGACGTTTGAAGTTTGGAATGACCCGCTCAAACAATAACGCCATCTGGAAATAAAAGGGACAATACTCTCCGGTGCGTTCTGAAATTGATGTATAAGTGACTGAAATTATGCACTGATAGACAATTAAAAAAAATAAAAAGTAACTTTCCATTACAGAAAGAGAATTAACCATTGGAGACATTCGAAAAAATAAAACATTCAGTTACAAAGATTTTTTCCAAATCAGTAGAAATTGCCGCCTTTGCCAACAAAAACAAACTTTAAAAAAAGAAGAAATGAGAGTGTACACTTCAATGACTGTTAAATTGGGTGATTATAGGGAAGTGCCTAGGTATGGATAATGAGCTATTTAAACTTTTGAGCTTTTTAATTTTTATCATTTGACTGTTAAGGTCAGACTGTATTTAAACTTTTAGTACCTTGTACGGTGGTGGAGATACTAACATACTTATGCTCTGTGGGGCATTAATCAACATTGTATTCAACAAAGCATTTTTACCTTTTCGATATTGGCAGAAATTATGTTAGTTTTGACAGATTACCGGCCTCTAAATAGAGTGATGTGTATTCTGGTTGTTATTTTAGTCTTACTGACTAAAGAAACGTTGTCTATTTATAACTCTTTAAAAGATAAAAGAAGTGTATTTAAAGTCGACATGTCACATAACAATAACATAACAGCTCTTTTGTTGCTTTTGGAACCCAAGATTTGGACTTGACTAGCTTTGTTTCAGTATAACTCCGAATACTCTATTCTCATTTTGTAACTGTTGTTTTGTACTTTCTGATCCGATGGGTCAAGATCATAATCATAAATCATTTTACTCTGGTTTGTTCTAATGTTGTACCAAAGATGTATATATAACTGTTGCACCACTGTCCCAGATTAGAAAGCTGAGAGGATCGAGCATTAAGAAACCGTGACGTGTAACCACGTCACATTCTTTGTGTAACTGTCCCAAGCTAGGTTCCTGTGTTTCAAGTGTCTTTGTTGTGAATGGTTTTCGCTTTCGTTATTTTATAAGCTCAAATCAGGCGGTTGGTTTTCTCTTTCGATTTTTACACATTTTGTTATCCCAGGGAGAGAAACTAGCAAAACACCAAAAGCCTGGAATAAACCACCTTTTTATCATACTTATGGAGATAGCATTGATTTTTTTACTGAGTACACCTCTACCATATTCGGTCAGGGTATTCTTCCAACTTACTTTATAGTCTTGGCATTATCCATTTGTAAAATCTTTTCTCCCTTGAATGTCAGAATTTTATCACGCCGGATGCAGTATAAAGGCATTCTTTATTTTTGGCGCAAATGAAATACAACCCTGTGGCGCAAATGAAATACTGCATTTTCAAAATTGGCGCAAATGCAATTGACAGGAGAAACACAAGTAATAAATTGTTAGTTTAAACAATATTTATTCAGATAAATCATCTCAAAACGATATGATACAATTGAAATAAATATAAAGGATTCAGAAACAAACAAATTTGCTTTTACAAATCTGTCTCATATTACACAAATAATACACTTATTGAACAATACATAAATATAAATACTATCATGCTCTGTAATAAATATATAAATATGAAAAAGGTGGAAAATACAATAGAGAAAAAAAAAATAAACATGAATTTTTGTGATGTATACAGTGTGAAATGCTTGGGTTCCTATTGAATGATGAAGCAGTAACATCAAGGGTTAAAACGTTTGCTTTTGATAATATATTTCTGCACCAAATTAAATATATGACTATTTTGCTCATCTGAGAGTACCATTGATCCAAAAAGCAAAATGTCTGTGTCAACTTGGACACGAAGAACTGAAACAGAAGCTAATAGTTCATGTCTTAAATCAGTGTATATGGGATAAGATAACAGGAAGTGAGAATTTGTTTCTACATCACCACAACGACAGTTTGGGGAGTCTACTAAATGCAAAGGAACAGGTGAGAATTCAATGAACTTGAATCCATTCTTAAGCGAGCATGAAGAATTTGACCAAGACGATATCCTACATAATAATACATTGGGACATTACTAGTTTGGGTACGAATTTGTTTTTTGAATAATGGTAGAGATTCACATTTTCTTATGTTTAAGTTAAGAGTGTTCCATAGTCTTGTTGATCTATACTGCAGTCTGTTGAATTTTTGTCAAATCCTTTTTAAACATTTAAAAAGTGGTGAATTTGTTTGCATACATCTGGTTTAGGTTCGTGAAACTTAATTCTGAGTCAATGTTTAATATTACATTTGCATTCATTTTATTCCCGTTTCTGTAAATGAATGTTTTACGACTTTGAGGGATGGGAGTACAAAAGTATAATGCTTTGCCTCTGTTCATTTCTAAAGATGAATGTTTCTTTGCATTTTCTTGAGGACTACAAATCTGACATATGGCTTCCTGAAATTTTGGTGCCAAGATTCATGTTAACATGCTGTACTGTGTGATGCGTTGTTACGTATATCGCTCATAAACTTTCTTGTTCGCGTTTTCCAAGGAACTATGAATTGGATACCAAGCTGCACACGAGCATGTCATGCCGTTTGATGCGTTTTCACACTCATTGCTCATCAAATTCCTTTTTCCCAAATACTTACATCGGGTATGTCACGAGTGAGCAATAGCTCAAAGCACATCTTGGTTAAATCTGTTATTTTTTTTTTATTTCTCTATCGTAAACAAATAAAAAAAATATATCATTTATGAAAATATTTTTGAGAACAGAATCCTGAATAGAACACCCTTAAACATTTCAATACAGAATACTGTAAGGAAAATTCCAATTTTAATTCGCTGTTTTCTATTTTCCTCATTATTTTAAAGATTGTTCCGAAAGCGTATAGTACGCCTATTTTTCCGTAAAAATAGATTATGAATCAAAGAGTCAAATATTGTGTTTTGTATGTCCAATAGTCATAACTTCTTGACAGCCGAAACTTGATCTGAATGAAGATAGAAGAAGATGAAAATGTTTATTAAAAATCCACCAGCTATACTCGTGTATGCGGCTGCTTTGTCAAAGTCTGAGATGCACGGTAACACACCTTCTGGTCGAAACTTTCCCTTAACAAGGGTACTAATTAAGTAGTTTAAATGGAGACACCTAAGCTGACCTGAGATTTCCTTTGGCGAAAACCCGGAATTTGAATGTTTATATTTACTAGTAATTTTAATCTGAACTTTAATACTTAGAGTTAATTTCCAGTACAGGATAACAAAGATTTCTTTTCATCAGACTCATCTTGAACTCAGTTTAATTGTTATACTATCCTTATTTCCGTGACTTCTGAATAACTCTGCCCTATAATCATTGAAGTAGATCTCTTCGTTTATCCAATGCTTGTCTAGCCGATTTTTAAAGGCATTTATGGAGGGGGCTTTGGTAATTTTATGTGGCAGTTTATTCCAAGTTTTGGCTTTTCGTACAGAGAATGAGTGTTTTCGGATATTTGACTGAAACCTTTGGTGTAGGCCTACCACTTTATAACTATTTACACCAAGATGTAGGTAAATGAAATTGGATACCCTGCATTTATCATGCTTTTCAATAACATATGATAAAATCGCTGAAAGACACCCTCCTTAATTTTTGAAAGCTATCATTCTGCATTGACAATAATATCTTGGTATAGATTAGACACATCCATTCGGGCTAACGCCCTCAAGGTGTATATAATACTTGTTCTACTACTAACTCTTTGTTGTTTCTGTCAATTTAAAAAAAAAGAAATTGCTTCCTTATCATTGTAAACATTTACAATTTAAAAATTTGATTCATATCCCCTCTTATTCTCCTGTATGATAGTGTAGGTAAGCCTAGTTTTTTTTCGATCTCTCTGGATAATTTAAATCTTTGAGGCCTGTTAGCTGTTTAGTTATCCTTCTTTGAACTCCTTCCATTTTGTCAATATCATTTTTCTTGTATGGTGACCAGACTAAACTTGCATAATCAAGGTGGGTTCTTACCCTAGTTTTATAAAAAATGGTGAAAAATGTCTAAGTACCCAAATATTTAAAAGTTCTTCGATTCCTGAGAACCCCAAAGATTGAGTTGGCCTTATTGACTTTTCGAATTATATAGTTTGTTAATGTGAGTTCTGAGTCAATTAAGACTCCTATATCGTTTTCCTCTTTAACCTTTGTTATTTGTTAAATTATAACTGGGTGTTTAATTGGTTGCGGCTTTCTTCACGACATATTTTCATGTGCTTGTATTTTTCGGGATTAAAATTTTAAACGCAATCAGGGACTTTCTATACTTAGTATAGAAAGTCCCTGACGCCATCTATAGCTCAATTTTGATCCAACTTGTTTATGTCATCTTGTAAACTATTCCTATCTATCGGATCTTTTATTATTTTAAACATCTTTGTATCATATGCGAATAGTTAAGCATCTGAATCTACTTGGTCGGGTAGGTCGTTTATCATAATCAGTACAAACAGCAGAGGGTTTATTTTGTTGAACTTGAAAGAAATATATTCTCATGGAATCAGTTTTGTAAATTTCTATAACTAACGGTTTACTTTTGTCATATATAGTGCCAATTTTGGTCACTTCTATGAGTCTTCTATGTCTTCTTTGGGTGAACATTTTTATTAGTTATATAGCCAAAGCCGCCATTCTCTTTTATTCAGTGTTTTCCAAGTGGTCCATATGTAAACCGGAACTACCTGAAAATTCTTTAAAACAGAACAGAGTTCTTGAAATACTATTGTATTTTGATTCCAAAATAGAAATATATATGGTAACGGATGCTGTAAACGATTGAAATACGGTTACCTGCAATGAGGTATCGAACGCAAAATTCCGGATTTACAGTACAATTCTATTCCAGAATTGATTTGTATTGTTTGCAGTGCGCTTGTCCCAACTCGCTCAATCAGAGGGAACTTGTCCGTGGTTCACAGTAAGTTTTATTGAATATAAATGGAAAATGTCAAAAATTTAAACAGTTAGGAAAAGCTCACAACCTAACAAGTAGCGAAAGAGATACTCCAAGTTGTCGGGACAAAAGACCGACAACAGAGACAGTGGGACAAATTTTATTTTTTTTAAATCGAAACCGTCGGAATTATATTTAATTATTACATTGCCTGACATTTTGATAGTATTTAATCAAATTCATGTCGATTATACAAAGTTAACAATACAATTTAAGAATGTAAGAACTGTTAAACAATGTTTTTTTTCTACTTCCGTTTCAGAGATAGTTGATTGGTGCCATGACAACATGAAAATGTCAATATGTTATATTCGTTTTCTTTGATTTCTGTCAGGGACAAAAAAGATAGTGAAATAAACATACTTCATTTCATCAATGAAATTGAGTTTTACTTGTCCAAGCTGTGAAAATGTTTTGCAGTGAAAGTAGTGAATATTTTATTATTTCTGATAACCTTTTTTTGTAATTTTTGGGAATATATAGTTGTTTATTTAAAATAAATGTCAAAAAGGTAATTTAGTGACCTAAAATGAATAGATGAAAGTTGAAGAAAAAATTGATTGGTTTCTTAAGTGAAAACCAAGCCTTATACAACTTTTGGTCTTTTCCTTTTTAGGGGTTCCAACTAAACCTAGCCCTAACCTGGGCTAACCCACACCTAATTGTAACTCTAGCAAGTCTTAATGAAAAAAACTATAAACTTAAACAAACCCTTACCTAAACTGAAACCCAACCCTAGAGTACAATGACCAGTAAGTTAAAAGAAAGCCCAATTTTTTCATAAGACTTTCAAATCTTTTATTTCTAATACCCTCTTGCAATACAAAAAAATTTAAATCAGTGGAATGAAAAATACAGAAGCATGTATACATGATGAAATAATGAGATAATCAACACGGTTGAAAGACTTGTTACCATCTAGATTTCTTGTTGTTTCTGTTGTTGGGTTGCTCTCTTGATACATAACCCACATTTCCTCATATTAACTTTTGGTACACGAAGCTACCAATATATACATTTAGGAACCATGGTTATACAAATGCTATATATATGTACCAAAGAAATTGCATAATTATTTTTATGTTATGTTAATATTCCTTCTGTTGTAAATGTGTGCATACTATTCCAACATTTGTCCAAGGAATGAAATGTTGTCAGTTTTGTATTTGAAAGTTGTAATAAATTATTCCATAGCTGTTTATAGTTTCCCAGGCCATAATCTTGCCGGTGAAATGACGATTTAAGTCGCCAAAGAATTTTGAAAATCGCTAAATCTCGCCAGCCGACTGACTTCATGGCGAAGTCAAATCGCTATGAAAATCGGTAAAAGGGAGACAACCTGTGAATTACAAGTCTCCCAGGTAAAAAAAATGGCGACTGACAAGGAAAATCAAGGTTTTCGAAACAGCCCAGGACTAATAATGTTGACGATCAAATTAAATAATCACAACGGCGACTTTGAACATCCTTGGATATAACATTAAAAACTATTCCAACGGAAAACTGACAGTCTGTTAAAGTTATCATTTTACAATGATTTTTATCTGAGGATGTTGCGTAATCACTCAGCTGATTTGTTTTATTTTTATTGATTACGAGTCGATCAAATTGTACTATTCGGTGGGTTAAGGGTGGGAATTAACGGTAGATTTATTATATTCATTGAATAAAAATTGAAATATAAAAGGTAGAAAGACAGCTGATGGATAAATGTGATTGCAAACGTACGACACTCGACCAGCTGTGATCAGCAGTGGATTTTTTTTTCACGACCATTTCGTTGATAGGGAAGATATCTTTAAAAAATGATTGAAATTAGCTCTTTATCGGTTAATTAATATATGATTGACAGATATTTTCATTTATAGGCTTACAATCTTTAATGAGAATCTCAATTTACAACTACATGTAACATGATGTCCTGGACATTCAATAAAGTTTTACAAAATAATGACAAGTGGTGATATAAATTAAATTCCCAGCCATTTGAAATTCATCAGGTAAACTGGGAGTCATATTTTTCTGGACATTTAAAAAAAAATTGAGGCATTTGCACATGAATTTAATGCACCATAAAATTTCTAGGCTACTCCCTCATGTCCCAAGCAACAAATTTTATTTAAACTTAAATTCAAGTTAACAGTACAAATGGTATCATTGAATAAATAATAACTATATTGTCTAAACCTTTTTATTAAGAACTTTCTATATATACATTTTGTACAATAACATATAAAAACTGCAAGTATATTTTTTATTGCATATAAAACAATTTCCTTAGTGATAAGCATGAGAACACTATGCAACCGAAACAGTAATGGAATCTCACTTCTCCAAGAAATTGACCACTTCTCCCTTCTCTCTCATGGAAGGAGAAGTTCTCCTTCTCCAAAATCCTAGATTAGGCCCTGGTTTCCAGTATATTTACAACACCCACACACTTAAAGTACCTTTCCCTTTTATTTTTGATCTTAATCTTTACATTAAAAGTCCTTCAAATATTGCACATTTTTGTCATAGATTGTTTATAATATAGCCATTGGGTAAATATTTTTTGCTTGGACACAGTAATACATTTATAAGAGCAGAACAAGTATGCTGTAACCCGTACATTTTATGAATGTATTTTAAAGACTGCTATTAATAAAAAAAAACTTTATAAATCTGTCCTGGCTAGCTCTTCTAAAAAATCTTTTGCTGGTACATTCAGTTTTACTTGCAAGATTTTCTGTATTAAACACAGACTTATACTGTACCTCAGTTCTTACAACTAATGTACATTAGTATGAACAGTTGTTCAAGAAATCTGAAAAGCTTTACTAAATTCTTTATGATCATTTGCTAATTAAAGGAGTAAATGTTTATTTGATTATGCAGCAGTGTTTTATATACTATTTTATTACAGACAAAACTTAGCCAAAATGTAAGGTATGAGAAATAACAATTTAATGGGATCATACTGGACTGCCATCGCAAGAAGAAAGATTAACTTGTAATGGAAGATTCCTAATACAAACAAAAGATAAAAATGTCAGACAATGGATCAGGTGGTACACCATCAGAACACAGTGAAGGTAGTGATAACACAGAAAGAGATTCAGATTATGAATCTGAAGAAGAAGAGTAAGTCTAAATACTTATTATAATTGTTGCAACCTTGATATTTACACAAGGTTATATATTCAAGGTGACTGGTCACAGTTTTACTTTTTTGCCTTAGCTTTATTTTTGTTCCACTTGCTAAGATCTGAGTTACACTTCACCCAGTTGTTGCCAATGACATAATGATGTCACATGACCTTGTACCAATTCTTATTTTGAGTCTAGACCACAACTGCTGTATCAATTAAAATAATGGGAAAAAATGAAATACATTATGTATGTTGTATTTTTTCAAGACAATAAATACCTGCATGATCATGACAAAACTGAAAGCAAAGGAACAGTATCTCACTTGTTTTTTTTTTTTTTTATCTAAGTTACATTTAACTGAAGCAAAATTTCACACCTTGCTGCAAGCTAAACAACTGCTGCAATGAATACATGAAATTTATTGCTAGATTATTGATACATCTGTGCATTGATTCTCATGTATATTACATATTTCTGTGCTGTTAGGTTTGATCTCATTCATGCTTTAATTTGTTGTTTCTGAAGGATTAAAGTAATTTCAAAATCCAATGACTATAACTATTCTATCATTCTCCTTGTTAGTGGGAATAGTTGGGTGCTCTGCTTATAGTAAATAATCAAACTAAATATACTTATTCCCCTGCCCAAATGGAGTGTGGTAAACAGGTTAATGTTTGTCCATCCTTCCATACATGTGTCTCTCCATAACACATTTTTGAATATTTGTTACCAAGCTTCATATTCAATTGGGTAAGCTTTACTGTGTGAAACATTTTCAGATCTTTGACTTACCATATCTTCTTACTTATATCTTCGTCTTTGCAACTACAAATTAAAGCTTCTTGATATTATGTACCAGACTGCAGATTTGTTTTCTTTTCCAAGTGACACATTTTAAGATCTGTCATTTATCTACTGTCTGTTTTTCACAGATATTTATGATCTTCATATTTTCAGATCTGTCACCCACCTACTCTATGTTTGCCACATACATGTACGCTCTTCATATTTAATGCACATTCGTCCTAAACATGCATGCAAAATTTGCCAATGAAAGTTAAGCAACCAACAATCAATCAATCCGTTTGATACACATATAAGAATATATGCTTTATGTATTTATGTATATAATGTACCTGTCAAGATGATTTTATTAAGTCACCTTTTGTTACAAAGTTATTTATGTTTGTTTTGATTTGATTGCCTGGTTTTAAACTTTTTAAAATTGTATTTTAGGTATTATAAAAGGTTTGTTACAATAAAAGTATTAACTAACAGTAGTGCATGTTTCTTACTAGACATTTATTTCTACACAACGAAGTTTGATCCATCACACCTTTTAATACAAAGTACTGTACTTAATCTACCAGTAACAATTTTCCAATGAATATTTAACTAGCAACTTTTTCAACATTTTTACTTCCTGTATTATTTGTACCATTAATTCTGTTATTTACACCATGCAAGAATAAGGGAAATAAGCAAAAGCTTTGAATTTGTTTAACCTGTGAAAAAAAATATTTTAAATTTGAAATGCTCTAGTCAAATTTATAGCACCTATTGTGAAATTAAGTTAAACCTTTAGGTTTTTTTTTATAATGTAAACTGAAAAAGCTTTGTTAAATACTGAAAGAAATTAACAAAGTTTGGATCTGAAACTTTCTTTGTTGCCACTAGATAAATGTTATTCTTCAAAGTTTTATGTAGAAAATTAAGTCAAATTAAATGTTATTTTAGTTTTATCTTGAATTCCTTAAAAAAATCTACTACTATAGTAGAACTTGCACATAACATTAATTTCAGACAGCTAAATGATAAGTAAATTATAGACTGTAGTGTATTTTAATCATCTTCTATCAATAAGAGTAAAACATATTTCTTTTCTTTAACAGGAATAAAGAACAATTAAACATACAATGGACAGGGTATGGTAAAAAGACTCCAGTCATTACTTTTAATGCAGATGTTGTACTCAATAAAAAGACAAATCAAAGAACAGTTGGAGGTACATTTAGATAAAGAAAATCATTTTGTTGTGTTCACTTTACATTCTTTATGAATGTTTATATATCTTTTTCATGATATTTCTTTGCACATATGGGCTCAGCATGTCTGTCTAGTACAAATCTGGATACATTTCATATTGCATTACCATTTTTTTTGTCCTGGATATGCATTTAATTTGCCACTGGGAGTTTAACAGCCATCCATCATCATCATTTTTTTCACATATGTAGCCAGTACATTTTTAATTTCAAATTATCAATAATTGCTATAACCAAGAGTGGATTTGGTCATATAAATGTTGCCTTAAAAATATGTTACTTCATTTATTGACAACCGTTTATTTACATTAATACATTGTACAATGTATCTAGATTATCATACTTTTACAATTTGAAAAAAGGTTGTAACAAGTAGAACACCTATATTTGATCATGTTTTGAATTACCTCGCATACGGCGCATAGAATAATAATGATTTTGTGGCTTGGTCTACTAATTTGGGAAGTTGGATATTTTAAAAATATACCCCACTGTAGAAGTTAGGGATTTATTGTAATCACTTTGTCCATCTGTTCATCCAACAAATTTTTTCCTCACAAATTTCTCTTATACTACTATAAAACAGAATGACTTTATATTTGGTCAGCAGCTTGACAAAGATGAGTTGTAATGTGTGAGCACTTTTTTGGCTTGTCAGATTACTTCCTCCTGTTTGCTTGAATGAGGGCAGTAAAATTGACACCAAAAGTATTAACATCAACACTAAATTCCTAAATAGACGAAAACAAAAAGGCACTGATGAATTCTCATGAGTGTCAAAATGAATGAGAAATTTAGATTTTCATAGTAAATTGGTCAAATAAAAGTTACATTGTAAGCAATACAAGTTGACTATATGTTTTATTTCAGAACGATACCATTTAGCCTATAAATTTGGAGGGTCAGAAACTAAAGTTATCAGAAACATTCTGAATTTCCATGGCTTTCACGAGGTATGTTTAATATGAAATGAAGTTTTAGCATTGCTTCTTCAACTACAAATGTCTGAGAGACTAAAACAATAATCCTACTTTGTTCTGTAGCAATTATTAATTTCAGACAATTTTTAATGCAATTTCCGTTGACACAACTTTTCAAATGTCAAGGACATATATGTGAAAATATGGGTTAAGGTCTTGTAATTTGGCTTGAAATTGAAATGGCCTTCTGCTGATATATTTGTTGAGATATAATTATTTTATATATAAAGATTCTTGTTATGAGTTAGTTGGTACATGTGTATGTCCCCTTAAAGCTTTTAAAGACATTAGTTTCATGAAACTTAATTTTAAGAAGGTATTATAAATAATGAGTACTTCTGTGTTTTAGGTTCATCCAAACAGTTCTGATTTTAATGTTATGTGGACTGGTTCTCATCTCAAACCATTTACATTAAGAGGTCTCACAGAATTTCAGAAAATCAATCATTTCCCACGCTCATATGAAATCACAAGGAAAGACAGATTGTTTAAAAATGTTCAACGAATGCAGCAAATTAAGGTAACCCATAGCATGACACAAGAAAAAAATCAAATGTGTGAATTTTGATTGTTTGAATACAGCATATTTGACTAATCTTTTGTGAAATCACCTTTTCATAAATTTTTAGAAAAAATACAATTCCATATTCATGATTGTAGAAAAATCATAATTTCAGTTTTCAGGATTTATTGAAATGGTTTGTTTTTTAATTTGTGATATCAGATTTATATGGGTAACTAAATTTTTAGACAGTACAATAGTTGTTTATAGCTGGGTTTTGTAATTCGCTTGACTGATGAATCACAGAAGCAAAAAATGAGTACTGTACAAAATGAAATACTTTCATAGCATTAATACATCAGTATTTGGAAAGTATTAATCTGTATAATATTTAAGTTAATTTTTATACCCCCGCTTTAAAAAAGTGGGGGTATACTGTTTTACCTCTGTCTGTCCATCCGCCAGTCCGTCCCATGAAAATTTTTCGTCGCATCTTTCTCGGGAACTACATCATAAGGATTTCTGAAATTTGGTTTCAGGGTTTTTATAAGTAAGCTATACTGTGTGATGCATTTTCAGATTCATCACACAACAACTTCCTGTTTACCGAACACTTACATCATTTTACACATGACATCCAAGTTGAAAATTTTCTCCACATTTTTCTCAGGAACTACATTACAAGGATTTCTGAAATTTGGTTTCCGGGTTTATATAAGTCAGCTATACCGTGTGATGCGTTTTCAGATTCACCACTCAACAACTTCCTGTTTACCGAACACTTACATATTTTTACACTATTAAAAGTATCAAATTGCGGCTGGGGTATCATCAGTGAGCAGTAGCTCACAGTTTCACTTGTTTATTTTACTTTTTTCAGGGTGTGAAACATTTCGATTTCATTCCACCAAGTTTCATTCTTCCCAGTGAATATCAAGACTTTTGTGGTAAGAACTTATACATATTATATAATAAGATTAAAAACAAGATGACATGTCAATCTTCTCCAAATTCATGTAGAAATAATTATAATTTAATGAAATGATACTTTAATAAGATAAAAATGTTAACTGAAACTAACAGTGTAGACCGTGTTTCTTCGATTACATAGATAATGACATCATAAATAAAATGCATAATAACATGAACAACATTGGGAGTGATTCTGGATTTCAGCTTACTTTTCAGCAGAATTTATGTAAGAAATTTGGTAAACCTGCTAATATTTTTTGTTCAGGCCTCAATCATGAAGACAATGAAATATGGTATTTCTGCTTTATTTTTCTGGGTGTCGTATATGATTTTTCAAATGTCAGTGAACTAAGTAAAAAAAAAGAATGAGTTTTTTTTTTGTTATTTGAATCAAAATTATTTAAATAAGTAAGACTGTTTTACATGGCTAGCCGACTGCCTTCGTCCTCCTTTGCCGGTAACACCTACCTGGTATTACCTATGAAACACACTCGTAGTGTTTAAAATTGAAAGTCAGTAGATCCTAATTTATATCTCAACAAATTATCTGACTTTAATAAATCACTCTTTTGTTTATTTTGGAGTTACTGTAAAATGTGAAAGAATTAATTATTGATAAATGTTTTAATATATGTAATCTTGTGAATGTGTTTAACCCAAGATAATTGGATTAAAGGATTGAGATAAGACATTGAGTCAATTTAAATCAATAACTGTTGGAACAATTATTTATACTGTGTAAGTTTAATAAATTATACAAGGGTAAACATTAAATAACAGATTCTTTCTGGAAGGAATTTTGTTTAAAAACATTTTGATATATACAAATTTTCAATAATTTTTTTTCCTTTTAATGTCTTTGCAAAATTTCTTATTTTATTGATGTGTTGGTGTCATTGTTCATTATTTGACATCCATTTATTTTACAACAAACACTTACTCATTAGTTGGCAGATATTGATCAAATTCTAACACAATGTATTTTGCAACAAGGAAAGGATAGTATAGATTTTGGGAATTGAGGCCCACTGTTTAAAAAAAAGTGGAACAAAGGGGCCCTAAACAATGTTTTTACTATCATGTCTGGCATTTATTTTTCATCAGATTTTGATGCAGTTTTAAAGGAATTTGTTTTTAAAATTCCCTTTTCCGAATCAAAAAGAGGTAAGAGAACCTACTGGGGTCATTCCCCTAAATTTCTAATTTTATTGTAATTTAAAAAAAAAACAGTGTAACAGGACTCATAAGGGGATTTCTATTGATTCTTGATGAAGCAATTATAGCACATGACAGTTATATATAGATACTTAAATACAAACTTGGTTTTAAGAAGCTATATATAGATACTTAAATACAAACTTGGTTTTAAGAAGAAATCTTTTCAAATATAACAGGCCATAATCTTGCCGGCGAAATGACGATTTAAGTCACTAAAGAATTTTAAAAATAGCTAAAACCTGCCAGCCAACTGACTACATAGCGAAGTCATGAGGATGTTGCGTAATCACAAACCTGATTTGTTTTCAGTATTTTTATTTAATACAAGTTGATCGGTTGTACTATATGGTAGGTTAGGGTGTGATTTTATTTCTATTCATTGATAAAAATTAGATTGAAATGTAAAAAGTAAAAAAAAACAGCTGATGGATAATTTCACATACGACACGTGGTCAGCATGTTACAGCAGTGTGTTTTTTCTATGACCAACTCATTAATAAGAGAGATATCTTTTATAACAGAAATAATAAAAATTAGCTTTTTATCAGTTAATTTATATGTGATTAACAGATATCTTCATTAATAGGTCTACAAACATTCACAAGAATCTCAAATTACAACTGACATGATGTCCTGGACATTCAATAATGTTTTTAAATTATGACAAAAAGTGGTGATATAAAAGCTAAGCTATCAGATAAACTGGGATTTTTAAAAATAAATTGAGGTAGATGCACACAGTATTAATGCATGATATACTAGCAACACATTTCATTGAAATTTAATTCAAGTTGACAGTACACATGATATGACTAAATAAATAAAAACTATATTGCCTAAATATTTTTATTAAAAATCTTCTATACATACAATATCATTTATCTTTTGTTGTTCTTACTGTAGATACAATTTTATAGCTCATTTTCTGTGACAGCACCTTTATTAATCTGATTTAATATTTTACAGCTTGTTTCCTGAGAGAGAAAGGAACATGGATAGTTAAACCAGTTGCTTCATCCAGAGGTCGAGGTGTCTTCCTTGTAAATCATGTATGTGTTATAAAAGTGTTATATTGTAAAATTAGATGTAGTTTAATTTCCATTCACCATCATATTTATTTCAAGTTTGATTTCCAGTAGATCTGAAACAGATTTCTAATTCAATGTTCGCTGTTTTGAGACTCTTTTTACAAAAATTCCTTCTACAAATATTTATCTTAAGTTATACTGAAATATTTTGACCCATTTTGAAATGTGTTGCTGTAATATATGTTTATCAATAGCATAGTGTTTCTTGACGGAATTGTTGCTTGATTTAAGGTTTTTTCTCAGGTTAGTAAGAAGCAGAACTTTTATCAAATTGAAAAAAATGAAAACATCCATTTTAAATTTCAGAAGTAAAAGGTATTGGATAAGTTTGCATTTGGATTTTGAAATTCTGATTTATAATAAATACATGCACTTGAATTTTATATTTAAAAATGATTTGAATTGTACCTTTTTCAGCCTGACCAAGTTCCTCTTGATGAGAATTTAATTGTTTGTAAATATTTGGCCAATCCATTACTGATAGATGGTAAGTTTATCTATTACAACAGTTCTGTTCTGGTGAATTTTTGTGCCTAGATTTTCATTTTAAGGTATTATGAAATAAAAGGATATCAGTACATTAACATGATATCAAAGTTGGATTGTTTGTCAAAAAATATTCATTTTGCAATGACAAAGGTTGTATTGCTGTTCTTTATCTCAAATATATGAATGAATCCAACTGTCATACCTTATACACTTCAGATAGAGGAAATAGTCTCTGTTACTCACTTTTGAATTAATTAATCATATTTGGTGAATGTCAGATAATTGAAAAATTATGAAATGTTCATAATTTTACAGCTAAAATAAATGTTTACTCTTTGAATTTTAAGTCCAAAATCTATAATTTTTAATGAGCAGTAGGTGCCTACGAACCCTTCAATGTCAAGTTTTAAAACTAGCATTGCACCTAAACCTTGAAACCATGTAAAATCAGTATAGTTTATTTGTTTATTCTGCACAAAGTTTTAACCATTGAATTAAGCAGAAGATTGTGAAAATTCAGTATATGAAAAAATATTTTAAGTGTAAAAATTTTGACAGTGGTATGTTACATTTGCAGGAGTCAAAGAAGGGTTTGAGTAGAAATTAAGGGATGCAAAGAAATAAACATTTCAATCTCTTTGATTTAGTTAAGTTTAAAGGGGCATTAGCTGTCAAATTCATGTTCATTAATTTGACTCAAATTCCCATATTTGATTTATAACATACTAAAACATATATCAGAATTACCATGGAGATTATTTGGCCCTGACCCCTCAGTCAAGGTCTATTGACTTTGAAACTTTGCTTAGTTTACATGTATTAGTTTGTGATTAGGTCAGTTTATGGGGAACCACTAGTGGTAGGTCAATGATATTTAGTATGCAGTTGTATAAGCATTGGCATATCTCATTTCCATGGAGATTATTTGGCCCCGCCCCCTCATTCATAGTCTATTGACTTTGAAACTTTTGCTTAGTTTTCATGTATTAGTTTGTGATTAGGTCAGTTTATGGGGAACCACTAGTGGAAGGTCGATGGTAATTGGTATGCAGTTGTATAAGCATCGGCACATCTCATTACCATGGAGATTATTTGGTCCTTACCCCTCAGTCATGGTCTATTAACTTTGAAACTTTTGCTTAGTTTACATGTATTAGTTTGTGATTAGGTCAGTTTAAGATGAACCACTAATGTTAAGTCAATGATATTTGGTATGCAAATGTATTTCACAATTTGCAAGTTTCATTTCCATGGAGATTATTTGGCCCTGCCCCCTCATTCATAGTCTATTGACTTTGAAACTTTTGCTTAGTTTTCATGTATTAGTTTGTGATTAGGTCAGTTTATGGGGAACCACTAGTGGAAGGTCGATGGTAATTGGTATGCAGTTGTATAAGCATTAGCACATCTCATTTCCATGGAGAATATTTGGTCCTTACCCCTCAGTCATGGTCTATTGACTGAAACTTTTGCTTAGTTTACATGTATTAGTTTGTGATTAGGTCAGTTTAAGATGAACCACTAATGTTAAGTCAATGATATTCGGTATGCAAATGTATTTCACAATTTGCAAGTTTCATTTCCATGGAGATTATATAACCCCATCCCCTTATTAAGGTTCATTGACTTTGAAACTTTTACATAGTTTACAAGTTAATGTTTGTGTTTAGGTTTGTATAAATGGAACGACTTATGAAAAGTCAATGGTATTTGGTATGCAGTTGTATTAGCATCGGCACATCTCATTTCCATGGAGATTGTTTAGCCCTGTCCTTCAGTCATGGTTCATTGACTTTGAATATTTGCATAACTTACATGTTAAAGTATTGCTATTTTAATTTCAACATTTGCATTATCAAAATAACAAATAGGCAAGACATATCTCTTTGTTAACAGTTTATTTTATATCTCATAGCTAATGCCCCTTTAAAGATATAAGATATTATACTTTCATATGTTTTTGATTTCCCTTAAAACATTGCGATAAGATTCTGTATTTACAATGTTATTTTTTCATTATTTGTAGGATTTAAATTTGATGTCAGGTTGTATGTTTGTGTGACTTCGTATGATCCTTTGACTATTTATTTGTTTGAAGAAGGTCTTACAAGGTAAGTTTCTTCATAGATGTCTCTTATTATAACAAGATAATTTATCTTCCTTGTAAAGATATAAGATCTAAAATACTTGTTTAAAAGAAGTGAAAGTATATTACATTTTTTTAAAAAGTGAATTTCACTCTATTATACTTCAATTGTTAAATGTTTATATACTTATGCATGTTTTTATGGTAATTTCAGATTTGCTACAGTGAAATATGAGAAGAGCAATAGACATATACGCAATCAATGTATGCATTTAACAAATTACAGTGTCAACAAGAAAAGTGATGATTATGTCAAGTAAGTTTCACATTTTTCTGTGATGAAAAACAGTAACAAAGAAAAACATCAGTTTTCCTATAAAATTCTCTGTCTTAAATATATTGGCACCAGAAGTATAATTCTGCAATTAGTTCTTGACTGACAGAATCAAACTTATCAGAAAGATTACTTCAAAATACATTTGAAAAATTACATCATGTAAATTCTACATTAAGCAGTAGCAATAATTACTATTAAAATTAGGAAAGTTACATTTAAATAGAGCTATTGCGTCACAGATGTTACACAAAGATTGCTTGTTCAATTCCGAGTAGATGTTTCTGGTTATATTAGATTTTTTTGCACCTGTTTATAACAGGCCAGGGCATATAGTTACTCTTGTCCCTCCTTGAGTCATTCAGTCATTATAAAAATCAAACAGATACACAGAGTTATTTTGAATATCCCTGGAGATATTGATCTGATTTTTGGTTCATCAGTGTAAAATGATGACTTGCAAATCAAGCTTCATTTGGTACAACAGACTTTTCTCAGAGTTATGGCCCTTGGCCTTAGAAAATTTCATGAAAATTGTACTTGTCAGGAGTTTTTTAAAACCCGTTCAGATGTGGATGACCTGATGACTTTCAGACCTAGTTTTTTAATCATGCTTGTTGACAGAATTTTAGTAGATTTACTGCCCTTGAACTTTGAAAATTATATGAAAATTGTACTTGTTCCAAATTTTGTTTGTACTATGGCTACAGATCAGGAGCTGACATGAATATGAATGTTTTCTGTTTGATGTGAGGTTTTATGATGATTTTTTATACATGCCACTAATGTATTTGTAAATATTTTGTGTCTCATTGCAGAAATGATGATCCAGAAGTAGAAGATTATGGTAACAAATGGTCATTGGGTGCCTTACTACGTTATTTGAGATCACATGGGAAGGACACTGCAGGTAAGTTACCTGAGATTACAATACAAAGGCAGCAATGCAGTTAATTTGACTGAGATTATATTGTAAAAAGTACTATTGGTGAGGTTTCTGAAATCAAACAGGTATTTAAGTTAGTAGAAATTGACTGCAAGGACCCTACAACTGAAGTTCATAAAAATGAAATATCAGAAGAAAATCGAAAATAAGTAAAAACAAATGATATATCAAGGACATGTTTGGTAAGGTTCCTACCTGAGATCACATACACTAAAGTTAGGGTACTGAAGATCACTTTATAAGTACAATGTTGGTTAAATATGATGGATCACATGGAGAGTTAAATACCTTTAAATTCTATAATGTTATTTTTACAGCGTTGATGATGAAGATTGAAGATGTGATCATAAAAACAATTATCTCAGTAGAACTTCCAATAGCCACTGCCTGTAAAATGTTTATGCCTCATAAAGGAAATTGTTTTGGTAAGTAAGCATTGGTTATAATATTTGATTGGAATCTGATCAACCTATAGAAATATTTAAAGGAATTTAATAAATGCCAAAAACCACAATAATAATTGTAGAAATAAGTTATGCAAACCAATTAAATTTTAATGGACAGTCATACAAAATGGATATTTGTTTATTTGTTTTAATTAACCACATTCATTAGAAAGTTGCTGTACCAGTTAGGAATCAGACAAGCAATTGTTTTGAGTGAGAATTGTTTGACCTTTTTTATCCACAGGTAGCTGGTACTTTTAAACATTGACTTTTTAGAATATAGCTAGAACATATTGAACTTTTGATCATTTGTTTTTCTCTATATTTATTGGAAATTTTGAGCTAATTGTATGAGAAAATGAACTCTTTTTTATACGATCGCAAAAAAAATTTTGTGGTCGTATATTGGTATGACGTCGTCGTCGTCGTCCGGCGTCGTCCGAAGACACATTGGTTTTCGCACTCTAACTTTAGTTTAAGTGAATGGATCTCTATGAAATTTTACCACAAGGTTCAATACCACAAAAGGAAGGTTGGGATTGATTTTGGGGGTTATGGTACCAACAGTAAAGGAATTAGGGGCCAAAAAGGGGCCAAAAATAAGCATTTTTGTAACTTCCAGACATAACTTGTGTGTTAGTGTATGGATCTCTCTGACATTGTACCACAAGGTTCCATATCACAAAAGGAATGCTGTGATTGATTTTGGGGGTAATTGCCTCAAAATTTTAGGAATTAGGGGCCAAAAAAGGGGCAAAAAACAAGCATTTTTCTAGTTTCATGACAATAACTTGTGTGTAAGTGTATGGATCTTTCTGAAATTGTACTACAAGGTTCCATATCACAAAGGGAAAGCTGGAATTGAGTTTGGGGGTAATTGCCGAAACGTTTTGGAATTGGGGGGCCAAAAAGGGGCCAAAAATAAGCATTTTTCTAGTTTCCAGACAATAACTTGTGTTCAAGTGTATGGATCTCTCTGAAATTGTACTGCAAGGTACCATACCACAAAGGGAAGGCTGGGATTGATGATGGGGGTAATTGCCTCAATATTTTAGGAATAAGGGGCCAAAAAGGGGCAAAAAACAAGAATTTTTCTAGTTTCAGGACAATAACTTGTGTGTAAGTGTATGGATCTTTCTGAAATTGTACTTCAAGGTTCCATATCACAAAGGGAAAGCTGGGTTTGAGTTTGGGGGTAATTGCCCTAAACGTTTAGGAATTTGGGGCCAAAAAACACATTTTTGTCAAGCCTTCGACTTTTGTCGAAAAAGCGAGACATAGCGATCCTACATTCCGTCGGCGTCGTCGTCGGCGGCGGCGTCCACAAATATTCACTCTGTGGTTAAAGTTTTTGAAATTTTAATAACTTTCTTAAACTATCCTGGATTTCTACCAAACTTGGACAGAAGCTTGTTTATGATCATAAGATAATATTCAAAAGTAAATTTTGTAAAAAAAAAATTCCATTTTTTCCGTATTTTACTTATAAATGGACTTAGTTTTTCTGCCAGGAAACATTACATTCACTCTGTGGTTAAAGTTTTTGAAATTTTAATAACTTTCTTAAACTATCCTGGATTTCTACCAATCTTGGAAAGAAGCTTGTTTATGATCATAAGATAGTATCCAGAAGTAAATTTTGTAAAAAAAAATTCCATTTTTTCCGTATTTTACTTATAAATGGACTTAGTTTTTCTGCCAGTTAACATTACATTCACTCTGTGGTTAAAGATTTTAAAATTTTAACAACTTTCTTAAACTATCCTGGATTTGTACCAAACTTGGACAGAAGCTTGTTTATGATTAAAAGCTAGTATCCAGAAGTAAATTTTGTAAAAAATAAAAATCCATTTTTTCCGTATTTTACTTATAAATGGACTTAGTTTTTCTGCCAGTTAACATTACATTCACTCTGTGGTTAAAGTTTTTAAAATTTGAACAACTTTCTTAAACTATCCTGGATTTGTACCAAACTTAGACAGAAGCTTGTTTATGATTAAAAGCTAGTATCTAGAAGGAAATTTTGTTCCATTTTTTCTGTATTTTACTTATAAATGGACTTAGTTTTTCTTCCAGTTAACATTACATACAGTCTGCAGTTTAAGTTTTTAAAACATTTATTAGATTCATAAACTATCCTGGATTTTTACCAAACTTGGACAGAAGCTACTTACAATCAAAAGATAGTATAGAGAGGAATATTTTTATCAATTTTTTTCCTCATTTTTGCTTAGCCTGTGATTAACAGCAAAAAGTAGGCGAGACACTGGGTTCCGCGGAACCCTTACGAATTTTTCTAGTTTCCAGACAATAACTTGTGTTCAAGTGTATGGATCTCTCTAAAATTGTACTGCAAGGTACCATACCACAAAGGGAAGGCTGGGATTGAGTTTGGGAGTGATGAATCATAAGGAGGTTCAAAAAATATGGGGGGGATTTATTTTTTTTTTCCTTTTTTTTTTTCTTTTAAAATTTTCCATTTTTAGTTGGTTATTTCTGATTTATATTTAAAAGCAAATAATAATGATATGGTAGGAGATACACACCAAACAGGATGTGTAAATTATTATATAATAAGTATTGTGCAATAGCAAGAAATTTTCAATTGCACAGTATTGCACAATAGCAAGAAATCTTCAATTGCACAGTATTGCGCAATAGCAAGAAATCTTCAATTGCACAGTATTGCACAATAGCAAGAAATATCCAATAGCACAATACTGCGCAATAGTAAGAAATTGTCAATTGTACAGTATTGCGCAATAGCAAGAAATATTTAATTGCACAGTATTGTGCAAAAGAAGATACTTCGTATAAATTGCTTATTTCTTGACCAATTTCAATGGGGTTTTATTCTTGAATTTTTGGGGTTCTTTAATATGCTGAATCTAACCGTGTATTTAGTTTTTGGATTTTGGGCCCCGTTTTTAAATTGGTCCACATTGAGGTCCAAAGGGTCCAAAATTAAACTTTGTTTGATTTCATCAAAAATTGAATTATTGGGGTTCTTTGATATGCCGAATCTAACCGTGTATTTAGATTCTTAATTTTTGGTTCCGTTTTCAAATTGGTCTACATTAAGGTCCAAAGTGTCCAAAATTAAACTTAGTTTGATTTAAACAAAAATTGAATTCTTAGGGTTCTTTGATATGCTGAATCTAAACATGTATTTTGATTTTTGATTATGGGCCCAGTTTTCAAGTTGGTCCAAATCGGGGTCCAAAATAAAACTTTGTTTGATTTCAACAAAAATTGAATATATGGGGTTCTTTGATATGCTGAATCTAACCATGCATTTAGATTTTTGATTTTTGGGCCCCGTTATCAACTTTGTCCACATTGAGGTCAAAAGGGTCCAAAATTAAACTTTGTTTGATTTCATCAAAAATTAAATTCATGGGGTTCTTTGATATGCTGAATCTAACCATGTATTTAGATTTTGGATATTGGACCATAATAGGTGAATGTCTAATTTAAAATTTTTAAATTCTTAGACGTGACATTCATTCTGTGTCAGAAACCTATGCTGTGTCAAATATTTAATCACAATCCAAATGCAAAGCTGTATCAAGCTTGAATGTTGTGTCCATACTTGCCCCAACTGTTCAGGGTTCGACCTCTGCGGTCGTATCAAGCTGCGCCCTGCGGAGCATTTTATTAGATTCTATGATATCCTACTACTGTAAAAGCAAAATTCAGTTTAAGACAATATCCTTTTAGAATTTGATGATAATTACAATGACATTGACTCTGTTCTACTTGTACTATGCATTTTTCTGTACTGGAATAAATTGTTTCTATTTTCTTACAATACAGCAATTCACAATTTATGTATTGTCATCATTGTAGATCTTAATACACATCTACATATGTTATTTTATTTAACTATCATATTATCTACATATATTTTTTTTTTTATATATTTTATGACACTGTATTTCAGAACTATATGGTTTTGATGTTCTTGTTGATGATAACATGAAACCTTGGGTGCTAGAAGTCAATTTATCTCCGTCCTTAGCTTGGTATGTGTGCTGTTTTATCAATGTTCTGTGATTTGTTATCCCCTTACCTGTAGGAGACTGATAAATCATATATATGTTTGCATTTAAAACAGTTAATTTTCCTCTGAATAAAAGAATTTTATATTATGAGAATCACATATAATATATAGCAATGATAAAAAAAGATTTATTTGTTTGAACATTTGATACAAAGAAAATGAAATTTATATTTGTTCATATACAGGTATATAGTGCTAATTCTGCATTTCATTGTATTTAAACTTACATTTCTCTTGATAAAAATTCTTATTGGCAGTTTTCTTCTGAGTAACTGACAGCTTAATGAAGACAACAAAATGTCTCTGTAAAAACAACCTTTACATAATTTTTAGAAACAATAAACATCAGCTGTTAGGATCCATTAGCTGAAAATTAAATATGTATTATCTTTTCCTTTAAAATATGTTTAACTTTATTTTTATTTCTAGTGATTCCCCATTGGACTCCAAGATAAAAACAAATATGATCTCAGATCTACTGAGTATGTCAGGTTAGTATAAAGCTGTTTAAGCTTATTATCATTACATAAGAAGACAATATATTCATCAATGAAAGTTAATATTTCTGTCTTTATTTTGTTCCTAGTACAAATAAGACTGACACTTAATGTATATAAAAAACATACAATGAATTACTAAAAATATTTGACAGTAGCACTGACCACATCAACCACCAACATCTGACTCAATACATTCAGAAAAGAAAGCTAAAATTTTGTGAATTTTGAATACAAATTGCACATTTTGAAAACCTCTATTTACTGAAGCATAATGTTAAAATCCCAAACAAGATTGATTAGCCAAATGACTGTATTTCACAAATGTTTCTACTTCAATGGGATTTGCCTGCTGAAATAGCATTTTAGTACATTTGAATTAGTAAAGTCAGAGAAATAAATTGTATCCATGAAAATAATTTAAATTTTGTTTTTATTATCATTTTAAAAGGATTATATGTCATGAAACATTATCCTTCAAGAAGTTTTATATCACGAAGCATTATCATTATCAAATATTGTCATTGGAGGGATAGTTTGTTATGAAACATGGAATTATATATCATGAAACATTATTATTGTCCAACATTATGATTGAAGGGATTGTTTGTCATGATCCTATGATGAGAACTTTACAACAGAGCAGAAGAAATCAAGATGTCTCCTCCAAGATGGGTGCCAGAGCAAAAGTAAGATCAATTTACTTGTAATACTGACTTGCTATGATTTGTAGTAGACACATAATTTTAACCTATAGGTTATATGAACCTTACACTGTACGAGATGAAGTGGTTTGTCACAGATCATTTTAGCGCACATAGCTAGTTCCTAATAAAAATAATTTGATGATCAAGAGGAGGATTTTAAGTTACAGTCAATTTAAATTACCAAACTTTTATTTTCTGTATGTTTTTTTCCTGAATTAATGCATTTAAGCGATAGTAGGGATCATTATTTTTGAAGATAATGGATTATATATTCTTTCTTTTAAGTTTATTTAGATAAGAATTCTCTTTTCTCCGGTTTGTATTTTTTATAATATAGCTGAAACATTTTTGATATTTTAAAATTTAAAACTGACAGTTGAAAAATAAAATGTTGTTTTTATTCAAAATAAATTTGATATGAACTTCTTTTAAAATAAATTCATTATGAATTGACTTCAGTTATTTGAGGCCTTAAGGGTAAGTTCTTTCAAGCTAAACATTATTGGCTCTAATGGTATAGAATTTCTTTTAATTAAAATGGCTTCTTATTAGCTAGAGCCATGTAACATTTATGCCACAGTAATCAATATTCTGCTCTTGCAGTATTAATAAGGGAAACCATTAAGTGAATACAAAATTGGATATGAACTCTTTCATATCTCAATGATATTTTATTGGAACTATAAAATAAAAAACTGCATACCAGCTTACTGTTTCATTTTTAAAATATTGAAAAATATGCATGTTATTGTATTGATATATTATATTTCATCCTCTACTGAACTCCAAAAAAATAAAAACCTACAATTTCAGCATTTTACAATGCATAAATGTTAACTTTTGTAACAGCTAATTTGAAAAGTTTACTTCCTTTATGTTATGATATTTTTCCAACTGTAATTTGACAAGTATTGAATTTTCATTTAAAAATAACGATAAGTTGAATACACTGGAAATGTAATGCTCAGGTAATTTAGGATAAATTGTTCTGAATTGTCAGAAAGAGAGAATAACTGGGAAAATAACGGTGAGAAGCCTATATAGACTATGTTTCTATATAACTTTTACTCTGACTTGCAAATCAGATATATCAAATTGTAAACTTACATGCTGCTTTTCAGTGGTAGTTCATTCTTATTTCTTAGCTTTTGTAATGAAGATTAGAAAAATAATGTCACAAAATTCAACTTTGAAAAAAAACAAAAAAAACAAGTGATTAAATGAAGAATTTACAGTATTATATACATTTTGATATAGCTGATTGAGTAACATGTATTTATGTATAATAATGAAGAAATTCTATTATGTAGCAAGTTTGTTGCATGAGTATTTTCTTTAATTCGTGAAATGTTTTGAGCACCTTTTTTATTCCCTTAATTTCAACCTTTTTAAAAATCTTTAATTTAAATGTTATATTTAACAGTCAATATCTTTTTAATATCCCATGACCTACTGGCACTGATATAACAGTTTCTTTGTAAAAGATCTCATGTCCGTTGCATGACTTTCAGTTTCAAATCTTCAACTTAGTTATTATTTCTTTGTTCTCTGGTTTATTTTGCAATTAGTTATATTCCTAAATTCGTTAACAGAAATATTAATTTTGGCATTTTTTTTTATATCTTTGTGTTTATGTCTGTTCCCATTAACCCATACTAAATAATTTCAAAAATGTTAGAAATTTCATGATAGAAAAGGAGGTGGAAGATACCAACAGGACATTCAAAACTCGTTAAAGTCAAAAGTAAAACTGACAATACCATGGCAAAAAAAGACCGACAAACTGGTCTCATTTCTTTATTGTCTTCAATTTTGCTTAAATTTTGCTTAATTGCATTTGTTATGAAAGAGTGCTCAATTGCTAACTGACCACTAAAAGCTCAAAAGCATTATCTCCAAGGAGAGAGTTTATATTTTAAACACATGTAGAAAAACACATGTAGAAATATAGATGTTAATACATAGACATGCATGTTTTATTAAATTTTGCATGCAAAAATGTTAGCTTACTTTTCTATACTCTTAAACCAGAGCTTAAGTCTTAATAATATATATGTACATATATTGGATAGATTGAATAGAGTTTTTGTGTTTATATTAATACACAGGATCGAAAGAAGTGGAGACTATCTGCTGAAAAGTTGTTAGATCCGAAGTCAGATAACTCGGTAGACTGATTATTTAAATCTTTGGTACACTGATTAATACTGAGAAACATTTTATAAGTATTTGGAAATTTTGTTGTTAAAATATCCTACATATATATTTAAGAAGTGGCAGATTTAGAAATTAAAAAAACTTAAGGTACCAAAAATCTTATGAAATGAGGCTGATTAAAAAAAAAGGTAATTTGCTCAAAACCATCAGGATATTTATCATTGCAGTAACTCTATCCCTTTCAAGTTATAAACTGTTAAAAGCTATTGAAGTCAAAATTTCCTTATTTGGCACTTTTAGAGAAATTACATCTATTGATTTACATGTCTAATGGGCAAGTTCTATTTCAACAAAAACAGTTTTCAGACACTTTTTATTACATTCTGAATTATTGATTGTTTGGCAGAAATATTTGAATATCAAGATAACATAAAAAACACTACTTATGAAATGAAAAGTTTCTTGGGATTATTTGGTGTAGAATTTCTTTGAAAGCTAAGGCTTTGGTATATGACACAGTTTCTACTTTGCTTTATGTTGTGTTCTGTGTTTATATATACATGTATAGGTATAATTTTTTATATGAAAATGTTTGTCAGCATAGCAGCAAAAGAATTTTATTTGTGTGTTTGCACCTGTTTGAGAAATATATTTTTGCCTGTTACAGTCAGTGAGAATGGCCAGAGATGCATACAATAGTGTAAATATTGATTGGTTTTGTGTTTAAATAATAATAACTGTTTCATGTTAACCAAGTTAACAATGTCAATACATGTAACATTCTGTTATCATGGTATATTACCAATCTTTTGAAAGTACTGTAAAACAGTCAATATTATTGTTGTTCCCGTACTAAATACTTCATGCTTGGTGAGGTCTATTTAAACAGTGTGTATAAATTGTAAAATTTGATAAAGAATAGAACAGTAAGTTAACTCTTTAGACATCCATGGCATGGTTTATGTAAAATTTGATAAAGAATAGAACAGTAAATTAACTCTTTAGCCATCTGTATGTTTTTACAGATATAAACTTGGTGCACATGTTCATTATGATATAAACTTTTAATAATCCATGCCAAAATTAGAGTTTTGACCTAGATTTCATGGTTCTTTGCACAAGGAAATGTTATATTGTGAGTGGAGTGTGATGTCCTGTAGACACATAAGCCCTTGTAGCTGTAGGCATATAAAGAAGTTCTAGGAGAACAGAGGCAAAGAACTTTGTCTTGAAATGATTTAGTCACACTTGAATGATGCTTCTGTCAGCAAACAATGCATCCTTTGAGATGTTGAAGATGTCCATTCAGTTAGGGTGTTGTTTTGTATATGTACATTCATAACTATCTCATTAAGAGTTTGTTTCAGTTTTGATGTTATACAAAAGTCTTTAAAATGCTTGAAGACATTGCATAGCTTTTGGGTTATTTTGTTTAAATTGTGGTTATAGATTATTTTCTGCTTAATTAATTCACATGCATTTACAGTTGCTTATTTTAACACACAATTTATTTCCAGTCAGCACGATATCGCCCTTCATCTGCTACCAATGCGGTAAGTCATGTGACCTCTGGTGTTTTGTAATATCATAAAAGTTGTCTCTTTTCATACATATTTTGTTGTTATCAGAATTTTAGCAATTTTTTAAAAATGCTTGATTTTATTGAAAGACCAACATTTGCAAATATTTTACTGGTATAGTTCAAGCAAACATTGATTGTAAAAATTAAGCTTTTTACATTTTGCATAAGGCTATCACTGTAGGATTAATCATTTTCCCCTATTCTCAAACCCAAATTTAATTATTTTTGATGCTCCCGCCGCAGCAGCAGGGGCATTAAGTGTTACCCTTGTCTGTCTGTACGTACATCTGTACACCCGTCTGTCCCAAAATTGGTTTATGTTCTCTAGCTTTAGTTTGCCTCAACCAAATGTTATGAAACTTATACACAATGTTTATTAATACAAAACACAGATCAAGCTTCATTTTGGGTTGTGTCACTTTTACTGTTCTAGAGTTATGTCCCTTCATAATGTTAATTCAAGCGGGGCATCATCTGTGTCCCATGGACACATTCTCTATTTATTTCTCTTAATTGATTTATTTGAAAATTTGATTAATTGTGGTGCTCTTAGTTGCCACCATTAAGAAAAATGAAGTTATAGTTTAATAAGAAACATACTGAGTTACTGACCACAGATTTTCTATGAAAAGACATATAATCTATCATCAGCAAAGTAAATGAGTGTTCAAAATATTCAAATGTTATTGCATTTGATACAATGTAAAATTTGATGTGAAAATCCGACATTTCAAACATTTTAAAATGAAATATTTCTTTCTAAACATATTGAACCCCAGACAAGTCCATTGTATGAAGAGAGACTATCGTTACCTCAACTAAAACACACGTCATTTCATACTCATAAAATCACTGTAATCAGTGGAGCTTTAGAACAAAGTAATCAGAATGGTGATTGAATTAATTCTTTATGAAATTTGTTGAATTATAAATCTGATTTTATTACTATAATGTAAAACTAAGAAGGAAATAATTATCATTAAGCAGCTAAGTATATTTTGAACTGTTACTTCCTATACAATTTCAATTGTTACTGTTCATAGATTGGTATTAACTGTAATTGTGGTGTTTTAAATTGACAACATTAAAATACATTTTATGAGAAGATGTTTATCATGAAATTAAGTTAAAAGAAGCAAAAATATATCCAGTGTAACACTGTGCAGAGAAATAATCTAAGTTTGAAGAATTTTTGACTTCCAATTAACAATGATACAATTATTATAATTATATTTGCTCACAAAAATTCTAATTTATAACATATGTATTGTGGGTTTTTTTTTATATCAGGAAAGCTCACTTCCAATCACTGACTTTGATAATTGTTAACTGTGAACAATTTGGTTAAGAAGCAATATTTTGATTTGCAGAAAAAAATAATTTATCATAAAACAATCTAGATGAACTAGGTAATATTGCAAAAAAAATCAAAGTAAAAATAATTTCTGAAGAATAGAAAGTGTTTGAAATGTATAAAGAACATCTGACTAAATTTTAAGAGAAGAACTGTTACACATTCCAGTAGAAGAAAGTGTTATTGAAATAGAAAGATGTTATATTTCAGGATTCTTGGTATCAGTTACTGAGGGTTTGTACATTGATAGAAGTTCTGTAACATTTGGGCTAATATCTAAGCAGACATGGTGTTATTGTTTTCTCATTTTGATAATTAAACGGGAAACAAAAGTTAATTAATTGTTTGTGGTGCATTTATCAAATGATTTGTTTTAAGGATTCTGGTTGAAGATGGATTGAGGGGTATATTTCATTAACCGAATTTGTCACAGAAGAGTGAGGAAAGCTTTGATATCGAATATCAAAATTATTCACTACAAATGTACAATTACAAACACATGGTATATGGCTTATGATCAAATGATGCAGAACTAAAATTAATCAATAAACCTGTGGAGTGAATTATCTAATAGGCTGTTTCCTTCTGCATGCTCTAAATGGATGGGTAAAAGGGGCTAATTTAATTGTTGATAGGGTTTCAAAATGAATGTGAAAGGTTAAGGACTCTGCAAACTTTTGGAAGATTTAGCGATAGTTTTGAGCGATTCATTTTATATTTTTCATGTCTTTTATCATAGTTCATAAAATTATATTATGTGCATATAAGATATGAATTCTTTTTAATGACAAAAGTAAAAGATATTTAAAAAGCACCAATTGCATATAGATATTTTAAAGCTTATTTTAGGGGCTTTTATAGTTCCTTTGGAAAATTTCAAGGATTTACATAGAGGTAGAAAATTAGTGTACATCTATGTCGCTTTGCCTGTTAGCATGATGTTCGCTCGTGGCAGACAGCTATTTATAGGAACTTATAGAACTGTTGTCAAACGGTTGGTTGATATAGTTTATGAATTAGTGACTAACAATTTGGTGTAAAATGGATCTTTAGCCTACCATCAATTTTAGGAAGACATTGAAACTGTGAAATAGCTTTTATCACTGCATGGTAAATAAGTCAACAGTACTCATTGCCCTTTCAGATTAAAATATATTGAACTGAGTGGTATAAGCCAATTATTATATCTTTTTCAATATTTTTTTAATATTTTGACTTTTTTGCACTTATTTTATGGGTATGTTTGTACATGTATATTGAAAAATTATCCTTTTGTTTTTTTCAGGGAAGTGTTTTATTATGATAAATTTCTATAATTTTCAAAATATTTTCTTTTCAGCAACGACAGCGACCTCAATCAGCTTCTAGTACAGGAGGAGGAAGGAATAACGGTGACAAGAATCAAAATAGCACTGCTAACAAAGGAATGGCAGGACTGAATAGTGATGAAATAAAAATTCTCAGAAGAATCAAAGAGGAGGATCAAAGAAAAGGAGGCTATGTGAGAATATTCCCTACTGCTGATTCTTGGGATATCTATATGTAAGTAGTTACTGTACTTAGTTACTCTACTTTTGTTGTGTGATTGAAGTAAAGAAATTTCTTAATGCTTTTTGAAAGGATACCTGTAGGGTGATGTTTTTTCTCTTGACAAAGTATTCAATGCACATAAATAAGTACTGTACAGTTGTAGGTTGGTTTTATCTTGACAAAATATTTGATGCATTTGTAGGTTGGTGTATTTCTCTTGACACAACACTGAATCTACCTAATAACTGTTACCTGTAAAAAAAGTACACGAAGGAAACTTGTATTGTAATAATATTAACAGGCAAATATTTGCCACCATTAGTCAGTGATTTTACGGTTAATGACATTTCTAGTCTTATTATTTATTTTCAGCTAAAGATTTGAAATGTATAAACATTTTTTTGAAGGAAACAAACTGATTGTGACAGTGCAGAAAAGACATAGATATGCAAAAAGTAGAAATAACAACACTTTTGAAAACTTAATTAGCCTTGTTCCAATAAAATAATACATAAGGGTCTGTAATGGATGGAGGGGAATGCTATTCTGTTTCAGTAATTTTCTGCTGTATTTTCCTGTTATCAAAGATGTTGTTTATTCTGTAAAATTTCATATAGACATAATTTCTTATCTGGGTTAAAAAAAAATGGAATAGATTGATTGATTGATTGGTATTTAATGCCACTCTCAACACTATTGTGCTATTTCATGGCGGTCAGTTTTTATTGGTGGAGGAAGCCAAATTGCCGGGAGAGAACCATGACCTTCGGTAGGAAAACTGACAATCCTAGTCAATTAAGATTGGAGTCGAGTGCACCTGCCCAGTGTGGGATTCGAACTCACAACCTCAGTGTTGACTGGCTAGTGATACAGTAGTTCCATGTAGACTTAAATAAATTTTTAAGATGAACAATATACTTAAATGAAGAAGGTTGTTTAAAATATTGATGCATTGAAATCTGTTTGTAAATCCAAAAAGTTTTGATGAATGGCATATGATTGCACTCATTTAAAAATACTTTTATGTTTATTGAACTTTCTGTTTATTTTTTTTTTTGTGGGGAATATAATTGTTGTTTTGTGTAATTTTGTTAGTTTGTGAATTCTGTATTTTGCACAAAATTCTGTTTTTTTTTTAGGAATTTTTTACAGTTCAACACTACCAATAACTTGATGGTTCATCAAAGATTATATCCAGAAAGGTATTTATGATCAGTTTTGAACAAAATAGATGTATACTATGATAGAGGATTGCATTTTAGGATTTTGTTGAAATTTTGTATACCAAATTTCAAGGTGGAATTACTGTGAATTCAGAATGCTTTTTAGATTTGAAATATGAGTTTTTATTTTTGAGATATCTATCACATCACAGTTTTCATGATAATTAAAACACTGCAAACATTTCTGAACTCTTTATCGCTCAAATGTCGGATTTTTTTTCTCTAAAATGTCCTCTGCTGCTAGATATAAATTTTTATACGCCCGTTTACGGGACGTATTATGGTATACCGTTGTACGTCCGTCTGTCCGTCCGTCTGTCCGTCCGTCCGTCGTTAACATGTCGGACATTAACTCAAAAATGCTTTAACCAATTTGCTTAAAACTTTGGTGAATTGTTTATATCTATTGACGTGAGCTCCCTTTCGTTTTTTATAAATTTTAGATATTACGTTTCCGAGTTATGGGGTTTTATTCATTAAAAAAGGGGGATTTTCCAGTTTTCGGACAATAACTCAAGAATGCTTTCACCAACTTGCAAGAAATTTTGGTTAATTGTTTATATCTATTGACATGAGCTCCCTTTCGTTTTTTATAAATTTTAGACATTACGTTTCCGAGTTATGGGGTTTTATTCATTAAAAAAAGGGGGATTTTCCAGTTTTCAGACTATAACTCAAGAATGCTTTCACCAACTTGCAAGAAATTTTGGTTAATTGTTTATATCTATTGACATGAGCTCCCTTAGGATTTTTATAAATTTTAGATTTTACGTTTCCGAGTTATGGGGTTTTATTCATGAAAAAAAGGGGGATTTTCCAGTTTTCGGACAATAACTCAAAAATGCTTTCAGCAGTTCTCATGAAACTTTGATGAATTGTTGATATCTATTGATGTAAGCTCCCTTTAGCAATTTATAAATTTTAGATTTTACATTTCCGAATTATGGGGTTTATTCATTAAAAAAGGGGGGATTTTCCAGTTTTCAGACAAAAACTCAAAAATGCTTTCAGCAATTCTTTGAAACTTTGGTGAACTGTTTATATCTATTGATGTAAGCTCCCTTTAGAATTTTATAATTTTTTTTGTTTTTAGTCTGACAACAGATTTACTAAGTATTGGGCAACAGCACAGTGTATTGCACAACAGCAAGAAATCTTTAATTGAATATAAACTCAATTCATATAACCAACTTCAAGTTCTTTGACTACATTTATTCAGAAACCTATAATAGATGTATGTCAAATATTTAATTACAATCCAAATTCAGACCTGTATCAAGCTTGAATATTGTGTCCATTTTTGCCCCAACTGTTCAGGGTTAGACCTCTGCGGGCGTATCCAGCTGCACTCAGCGAAGCAGTTTATTCATCTTGACCTGCCCAATAAATTTGAGAAAGAAACAAAAACACATTTTACTATACTTGTTCAAACAATTTTTTCATAATGGAGGATATTTTTATGATTGTAATATTTAAATATCTGTTTTTTTTTCAGACATAAGACTAGCGGTGTATCATCCAGTGGTAGATCTGGGACCACATCTGTTGGTGCTAGAGCTAAGTACGTCTTTAAGTTAGTTCTTACTGCTTGGTCTTTATTATAACTGAGGGGATGATTTAAATTTCTGGATACCAATATCTTCCAAACATTTCTTAATTCTAGTGTGCTATATATAGATACGTGATATTCTTAGCCAAAAATATGATTTTATTTGAAGCTTCAACTAAATATTGATTAAAAAAAGCATGTTTCTGCAATTATATAAATATCTTGCACAAAATATTATGTTAATGTGAAAATTGGACTTTTCTCATACATAGATTTTTCAGACAATACATTTTTAAATGCTTGTAAAAAAATTGTTATTTGAGAGACCCTGTCTTGAATTTCATCTAATCAACAATGGTGTTTCCCAGAATTTTTTTTAAACTTTAAGTTATATAGTATGAGAAGAAGATATTGGTTTCCAGTCAGTGGTGATAATATTTTTCACATTTGCACATGCTGATTTTTTATTCGTGAATATACAATTCACAGCATAGTAGTTTTTGCATAGCATAGCAAAATGAATATTATTTTTTTTTTATATATGTTTGACTTTGATAGCTTAAATACCAGTCAATGAAACAAATAGTTGATTTAAGGAATTAATTGTCCCATCAGTTTTTATTGTACCTCCAATGAAAGCTGCAGACAAAGTTTTAACTCTCTGGTGATGTTAATGACATTATCATCATTAATAATACTAAACCCCTAAGCACACTTCTGTTTTGCATTGCTAAGATATGTTTTTTTGTTTTGGTGTGTTTTATGAAGAGGTACATTTGAAAAAAATGGTACTATAATGTGTTTTGACATATCCATTGATTTCTGGTTGAAACAGTTAATTAGTTCTTGTTCTCTTGTCCACTGTCAATGGTTTTGGATTAATACTTTGCTCAGAAGTATTCTTATTAGATCTGATTATTAAGAAGTACAAATGTACTAATGACAGACCATTTATTCTTTAGTATAATTTTGCATTAGCATACATGGATTTAAGTTTTGTGCAGTAAAATCTATTGTCTCCTCATTCATGCTTCAGTGAGCTCTTTTTAGCTCACCTGGCCTATAAGGCCACGGGAGCTTTTCTCATCACTTGGCGACAATCGTCTGTTGTCCGTCGTCATTGTCAGTTAACTATTATTAAAAACTTCTCCTCTGAAACTACTGGGCCAAATTTAACTAAACTTGGCCACAATCATCATTAGGTATCTAGTTTAAAAAATGTGTCTGATGACCCCACCTCCCAACCGAGATGGCAGACATGAATAAAAATAGAACATGGAGGTAAAATGCAAGTTTTGCCTATTATTTTGAAAACTGTTATAGATCGAGAAAATCTGACTGGGGCAAAAATGTTCAGAATGTTTAGCTCTACCTTTGTTTATTTTGGTCAAAACTGTCAGACAACTTCTTATAGGAGTTGTTGCCCTTAAATGATGAATTTTACCATTTTTACAACTATTAAAATTGAGAATGGAAATAGGGAATGTGTCAAAGAGACAACAACCCGACCACAGAGCAGACAACATTATCTTGGAAATTATAATAGATAAGACAGAAACTTTAAATAGCAAAAATGATCAGCAAGACAAGATCTACAACAAGTCAACATGGCAGAAATCTTCAGTCGACTCCTTTTTAGAGTGATTGCCCTATAATGATGATTTTGACCAATTTGTTTGCGTTTTTGCCTTATATCTTAAAAACTTTATTAGATCGATAGAAACTTTAAATAGCAAAAATGATCAGTAAGACAAGATCTACAAATAAGACAAACAAGACCAAAATTGTTAGTTGACTTCTTATTGAAGTAAGTGTCCTTTAAGGCGATTTTTCCCATTTTTGCCTATTATCTTGAAAACTGTAATAGATAGATAGAAACTTTAAATAGTACAAATGATCAGTAAGACAAGATCCACAAATAAGCAGTAATGGCCGAAATCTTCAGTCCACTCGTTATTGGAGATATTGCCCTTTAATGATAATTTTTAACATTTTTTTGCATTTTTTGCCTATTATCTTGAAAACTATAATAGATAAATAGAAACATTAAAACGGAAAAATGATTAGCAGGATAAGATCTACAAATACATGAACATGACTGAAATTGTAAGTTGACTCTTAATGGAGTTATTCCCCTTTAATGATGATTTTTACTAAAAAGTGACCATTGTTTGAGATGCAGGTGAGCGACACAGGCTCTTAATAGCCTCTAGTTTGTTGTCCCAAAAATTGTTTTTGGATAAGATGTGTTTAAAGGAGCACTTATAACAGACCAAATATTTTCGGAATGCTCTATGTCTTTAATTGAATTTCTTATTTTTAAGAAGATTTTTTAAAATACCTGAATCCTTCAACTTGCCTTTTTGTCGAGCCTGCGACTTTTGTCGCAGAAAGCTCGACATAGTGATAGTGATCCGACTGCGGCGGCGGCGTTAGCTAACTTCTTTAAAGCTTTATATTTTAGAAGCTAGAAGACCTGGATGCTTCATACTTTGTATATAGATGCCTAATGATACGAAGTTTTTGTCTGTCATATGTCCATTGTCCTTGACCTCATTTTCATGGTTCAGTAACTACTTGAAAAAAAAGTCAACATTTTTTGTAATGTTAATTTCTTTCTTATTATGAGTAATAGGATAACTATATTTAGTATGTGCGTACCTTGCAAGGTCCTCAAGCCCGTCAGACAATTTTCATTTGACCCTCGACCTCATTTCATGGATCAGTGAACAAGGTTAAGTTTTCGTGTTCAAGTCCATATATCAGATACTATAAGCAGTAGGTCTACTGTATTTGGTATATGGAATGATTGTAAGGTGTACATGTCCAACTGGTAGGTGTCATCTGACCTTGACCTCATTTTCATAGTTAAGTGGTCAAAGTTAAGTTTTTGAGTTTTGGTCTTTTTTTCTAATACTATATGCAATAGGTCAACTATAAATGGTGTATGGAAATATTTTATGATGTACATGTCAGTCTCACAGGTTTTATTTGACCTTGACCTCTTTTTCACGGTTCATTTCTCAGTGTTAAGTTTTTGTGTTTTGGTCTGTTTTTCTTCAACTTTAAGCAATAGATCAACTATATTTGATGTATGGAAGGATTGTAAGGTGTACATGTCTGTCTAGCAGGTATCATCTGACCTTGACCTCATTTTCATGGTTCATTGGTCAGTGTTAAGTTTTCATGGTTAAGTTTGTTTCTTAGATACTATAAGCAATAGGTCAACTATATTTAATGCCTTAATTGATTGTAAGGTGTACATGTCTGTCTGGCATGGTTCATCCAACCTTGACATCATTTTCATGGTTCATTGGTCAATGTTAAGTTTTCTTGTTTAAGACTGTTTCTTAGAAACAATAAGCAATAGGTCAACTATGTTTGGTTTATAGAATGATTGTAAGGTGTACATGTATTTCTCGTTTGGTTTATCTGACCTTGACCTTATTTTCTTGGATCATGTTAAGGTTATGTGTTACTTGTAGTAAAGCTTTGTATTTATGACTATCAACATAAAATCAATGGTTAGTAAAGAAGGCCAGACATTTCAGTGTGTGCACTCTTGTTCTTCAAATTGACAAGATATATCTGAGTGCTATTTTATTGATTGTTTGATGCTTAATTCATATAATCTTTGTTGTTTTAGCTGCCAAGGTTGTACTTTATAACACACTATATAAAACTTTGACACAAAGTATTTGATAATTTATGTTGATCACACATAGCGAAAAAAAAATCTAACAGAGTTTACACATGTTACAGAGTCAAACTTTTATAAAAAATCTTTCTGTTTGATTTACATTAAATGCAAAATGAACTCCATAATTTCAAACAGTAGTTTGGCATCTTTGACGCTATAACCATACGTAGCAGTTGACTTGCATTTTACCCTTTTGTACTGCATTAGAGGGAAAATAAGATCTTATAAATAACAGATGAAATTGGTACATTTCAGATATGACCCAAGGTAATTACTAGAACTGAATAGATATTTTGCTAGTGGCATGTCAATCAAATACTTTATTATGTTGGTAAATATGTAATGAAAAAAATATTGAGAAACATGTAAATATATTGATTTTGGTCAAGTGTAGTTGTAAAACTTAAGGCAAGAGGGTAACTGTTTACTATTATGATAGATAAAATCAGGTAATATATTTTTTTACTATGCCAAGTTTTGTAGTGGTAATTTTATAATTCATAAAAAGCATATTGCATTTTTTCTATAACTGATAGTTACCTTACATCTACTGAATTACATATTTCCATCATAGTATAGTAAATTTGATCAACTGAAAGTATAGTAAGAAAGGAAAATTGTGTTTTTGAACAATTTTCTGTTGTGTGCATGTTATCAGTTCCATACTGATCGTCATAAACCAAATCAATTGGATTTTGCTAATGTTAACAGCTTTCAATGATGAACATACAAATTAATTAAGCATGATGAGTGATTTGTGCAAAATATGAGTATACTTACTTGTGACATACAAGTAAACATTCAGTAGCTTGATCAGTGTGAATTGATTTTCAGAATTTCTTCTATTTTCCGCTCAAAGTAAGTAAAATACTTCCACCAATCGGCAGATCTAAAATTAGATGCATACTCACATTATCTTCTGTTCATTTATAACTGATTCACATTCTTTCAGCAAACACCATAAATTTCTTGCATGTAATAAGTTGCAGTATTTGCGGTAAATATTTTGAGTTTGTAGTCAGAGTATACTTAGTTATGACATGTAGATGTTTCTTATCATTATGCTTTAGCTTTTTTTCTTGGTGGATATAATTATGTTGTTATATATACATTAGGTATAATTTTATACTACCATTAAGTTTATATTCCTAGTTTTAGCTATTCCACTCTTTGTATGAACTTATTTCACTGGAAAATAACTCTGCCAATTAAAATATTTTCTGACATATTTGCAAAGAAATGCAAATTGAGTAGGGAAATTAGGTAAACAGAATAATTATTGCTTTTCCAAACAAGAAAGATTTCCAGCATGTCGATTTCCTTTTTTCCCCACACATGAATGTACATTTGTTGTATATCATATTTTTAAAGTATTTTTGATACACAGGTAGATTTTAGACATTTTCTAACGTGAACCCTGAAATTTGTATTGTCTGCAATTTGAAAAATCTTAAAATACAAAAGATATATACCAAAGGGCAAAGAAGTGAACAAGTGTGAATTTGCATCAAGAGAGAAGTGGGATATACATATATTAAATTGAAACAGCAGCCCAATGAAATAAAAAACAAAAGACATCTTTCCACAACTATACTTTAATCGTTTATTGATGATATTGGAACAAAAATGGTCCCTATTATAGAACATGGTTTAATCCAACTGAAATTAATGTGAACAGCTATTCCTTGAACTCATATCACAGATTAAATGATATAATAAATGTTTCTCTTTAAACCTACTCCAAAATATATTCACCTGACATGGGTTTATATTTCTGGTTCTTAATTTTTCTATGTTATGAGGCTATGTTTTTTCATGCCTATTTTTCCATCACTTTTGGTCAACTTTGGATTAACAGATTTTGATTGCCCATAGTGTTTTTTTTTCATGTTCATCAATTCTGTCAGTATCATCTATACCAGGTGAACCATACATAACAAGCTCTAAATAGTGTTTTTGTAATGTTCATCAATTCTGCCAATGTCATCTATACCAGGTAAACCATACATAACAAGCTCTAAATAGTGTTTTTGTCATGTTCATCAATTCTGCCAGTGTCATCTATACCAGGTAAACCATACATAACAAGCTCTAAATAGTGTTTTTGTCATGTTCATCAATTCTGCCAGTGTCATCTAAACCAGGTAAACCATACATAACAAGCTCTAAATAGTGTTTTTGTCATGTTCATCAATTCTGCCAGTGTCATGTATACCAGGTAAACCATACATAACAAGCTCTAAATAGTGTTTTTGTCATGTTCATCAATTCTGCCAGTGTCATCTATATAAGGTAAACCATACATAACAAGCTCTAAATAATGTTTTTGTCATGTTCATCAATTCTGCCAGTGTCATCTATATCAGGTAAACCATACATAACAAGCTCTAAATAGTGTTTTTTTTTCATGTTCATCAATTCTGTCAGTGTCATGTATACCAGGTAAACCATACATAACAAGCTCTAAATAGTGTTTTTTCATGTTCATCAATTCTGTCAGAGTCATGTATGCCAGGTAAACCATACATAACATGCTCTAAATAGTGTTTTTTTCATGTTCATCAATTCTGTCAGTGTCATGTATACCAGGTAAACCATACATAACAAGCTCTAAATAGTGTTTTTTCATGTTCATCAATTCTGTCAGTGTCATGTATACCAGGTAAACCATACATAAAAAGCTCTTTAGAGGTTTTGTTTTAAGATTATGTCTAATAGTAAATTAAATTTGTACAAAATATATTTTATTTTGATATGTCCAGAAGCTTAGAAAATTTTAAAATTTAAGTAAATGCATTTAGATTTACAATTAGCTTAGGACTTCTCTTTGCATTATTTATGTAAATACCCATGAACAGTCGAGGAGACATACTCCTGTGTCCACAGTTAACTAATACAATTCAACCTCTATTTGTACAAATTAAATTATTTGTTTTGTTGCATTTTTTTAAATACCAAGTGAAAACCTGGGTGTCTTTTACAAGTGATATAGTCCTACTATCTTTGTTGTTGTTGCATTGAAAATTTAGAAGTCATTGTATATTTGTAGTATGTAATTATTGTCTTGGAAATTTCTCTGTAATAGAGTGACTTTGTAAGTTATCACTACTCCCACCTTAACAAAATACTGTTTTACACATTTCATTGTAATGACATGAAAAAAGAATCTCATGGAAATACAGTAAAAAAATTGAAATGCATTAGAATGCATTATGATTAGATTGAATTATATTTATTTCTCCACTCTTGGAATTTATAAGTTTATAACTGCTAAAGCTAGCATATTCAAAATCTCAATATTTAAATATTTTTAGGGAGAAATTAAACAGGTGTATAATAGTAGATCTTGTATAGTTCATTTCCCGTGCTAATGACTGTTTTGATGTAGATTGGTGGTCTTCCAACATTTTGGATAATGAAATAGCAAAAATTAATCTGTCTAGATCTTTAATGAAATATGCAACTTTTGAGAAAGGAATGCAATTTATTTGTAAGATTTTGCATCTAAATAAAGAAAATTATGTGATTTATCTTATTATTATGCAAATTTGTTTTAACTGAGCCATACAGTTTGTTTAAGGGGAGATAACTCAAGTTATTTAATTGTGTAAAAGAATGTAGAGTAAACTATCTATTTTGTTTTATACAAGAAAAAGAAAATGGTGACCCCAAGTTTTATTTTTATATTCTGAAAGCCAATCATAATAGTTCTATAATTCTACGTTTTTTTTTTAATTTAGACCCTCTCCATCTACCTTAAATCAAATGTTCTATGTTAGCTGATTACTGATGGACTTGTTGATGAAGTACTATGAATTAACCTATCTTATTTATTACACATACATGTGATATATGCTATTTGATGCTGAAGAATTGTTATTCTTAACCAAAGGAAAAAAAGGTTCATGATTTCTTTTAAAAAATTTCAGTGTCTTTTCATGTTCAAAATTGGCATTTGATATTTGTGTGAGATATTTGATTCACTTATTTTTACAGAAGTGCCTATTCCTCACTGAGTGGTACATCTATCAAGTCAGATTCTGAGGTTAGATATTTGCAATAACTTTTCAGAGCATAAACATATTATCTATTTATTCCCATTGAAATAAATTGCATAAAACATTCCAATGCTTTCTGCAGCAGTTTATACATGTATAAGTGACTAACATATTAGATTAGATATACAAAAGAACACAGAAAATGCAGGACTACTAATAACTAAGTCTAAAGTAGATGCTTTCATGTTCAGTTGTGATCAAATTAATAAACAAACAAATTACAAATGGCAAGTAAAGGCAATCGGTCCTCTAATCCTCAGACAAGCAAAGTACAAACTAAAGTTTTACTTTCCAACCATTCTGATACAAAAAATGGCTATTCATATTTATATCTTAAAATTGTACATGTCTTCATTAGCAAAATTTATCCCTCTGGTAACCTGTATATGATACTTGTGAAATTTTGTAATTAAGTTCTTTTAAAGTTCTTCTTATTTGCAAAAGAAAAGTTCCAATTCAGAGTTATTAACTAGTAAGCTCCTATTTCGGTAAATTTTATGTTGGAAAACACATTATGTTACCAAGGATTATGTCTAGAAAAGTTTTGGAAAAAAAAGAAATAACATAATTTAAATGTTCAATGAACATTAAAGATTATATCTACGAGACAGCAACCCAACAATAAAAGACATTATTCTTATGAAGTTGATATGTGGAGCTCTATCTTAATTTCTATGTTAATCAGCCATGAGCAGGTATTCATATTAAACCATTTATTTGAGGAAGAGTTATCTTTATATATTAAACCAACAATGATTGCTAATTGGTATTTATTTTACATGCATATTCATGTGCTTATTTAAACTAATATGTAAAATTCTTATCTGAATTGTAGTATGCTGAATGTTATGCTCAGGCCATACTAAGGACTAGACAGTATGAAAGGAAGTTAGGATCTGGCAGACGTGGCAGACGTAGGAGGAGAAGAGGTATTTAATTTATAGATATGATGTCTGAAATTCATTTCTAGTTGGTGGAAATATTGGTTTGCAAAATATGGCCATTATTTTTCCTCAACCATAATGCAGATAAGAGCCATACTAAAGTGAACCTTTTTGCAAGAATATCAAACAATATTGTAAACTTTATACCGTTGTCAAAAATCTACTGCTATCAAATTATTCCGTGTTTTTTGTTTTATAAAGTTTTTGTTGGCGTTTAACTTGAAATATGGAAGAAAATCAGCATTTTATTTAGAAAGATTTAAAATCATTAATTGGTTTTTTAAAAATTCTGATTTAAAAAAAGTGCCAACAATAACAAGACAGCAGTATGAACATGTTGAAACCATACACAACTACTCAGGAAGGACTTTACTGGGAATAATGCAATATTTTCCTGGAAATTCAAACAACTTTTTTTGTTATTGAAAAAAATAAGTAGTAAATATTGTGTTTACTTCTAACACAGGGCGTGCTATAGAATAAAATATTATTAATCAAATATTTTTAAGGATTTGTGATTCGTTAAAACTTCGTTACTCAGTTAGCACGTCAACCATGACTGTTGTGTTTAGCTTTTGGCAGGTCAGAAACAACATATTGCACAGGGCATACAGCATGTTGTTGATTAATAATATAACAATTGTAGCCTTTGGTTGAGGTCAATACGATATTATATCAACCTAGATATAATAATATATATATAAACCTTGTCTCTGTTTTTTTTGCATGGAAAAATGTTGATATTTAGTTTATGTGGAGGAATCAACATTTTTAATATCTTTTTTATATCTAGTGAGAAGGAGACCCAAGTTAGCACAAGGTGTGGCTGAAGAAGATGGCGAAGAAGAGGGAGAAGATGAAAAAGATGACAAAAAGTCAGATGAAGAAAATGATGTAATTGATGATGAAGTCAAAGAGTCTGAATCAAAAGATGAGACCAAGAAAGAAAATGTAGTAGAAGTACAGGTTGAGAAGTCAGTGCCAAAATCTGATCAGGGTGATGTAGGTAAACCTCCAAAACCACCAACTACCAAAATGGCTGTCCATAAGGAAGTACCAATAGAAATACCAGTTGAGGAGGAACGTCCTCCAACTCCACCCAGAGAACCTAGATATAATGTGGTAGAACTGCTGCAGAAAGGCTGTACACTAAGGTAATAATGGAAATCTGTCATAGGATTTAAGGATAGGATATAATGTGTCTAGCTAAGACTTCTAATGTAATAGTTAAATTACAACCTTAGACTTCCTAATTTATATAGAATTCTACTGATTCATAGTTATTCCCTCAGAACCAGTTCATGCTGATTAATAATTAATACCAGCTATTTTATGAAATATTAAGTAGATTTTTTTGCGAGAGACCGACATGACATTAACCAAAATAACAGAAAAACTGGTATCTGAAAAAAAAAAAAAAAACACACAAAATGTGTCTCCATTATATTTAAATGTATTCAGTGATATCTGGTCAAAATTTAGTAATGTAACCTAAAGTGCATCCACTAAATTGTATGTATATTTCAGATGCTCAACAGTCAGGTACAAAACAGCACTCTTTTCTTAGAGATTGCAAGTGACACACAGTCTACATAATCAGGAGTATTCTCCCTTTGTTCATTATAGCCTTATTATATTTTCCTGAAAGCAATGCTTCATATCATATGCTTTTATACTATAAGGAAGAATTTACTTTTGTATCATCCCATTTAAAATTTCAGGCAATTTTGACATAAGATAGATATAAGAAGATGTGGTATGAGTGCCAATAAGACACTAAAATATCAAATGCACTCAAATTATTATTTAAAAAAAAATCCCCCAATAGTTATCCAAGAATATATGTCACTTTGATATAAATAGTATTATTCTTTTAAAGCAGCTCTTTGTTTCATGTGCATTTTGTGTAATTTATCCTGATGTCAGTTTCCTGGTAAACGATAATTTGCTGAAAATATTCCATACTGAGGTTACCTGCATCTTATGTTAACTAATATACTCTCTTATCTGTGAACTATCTTACTTTGTAATATACAAGTACTTGAAAATAGCACTCTTTTATCTGTGGACTATCTTACTTTGTTATATACAAGTACTTGATATAGCACTCTTTTATCTGTGCAGAAAATACTTTAGTTTGTAAATAGTGTAGAAAAACTGAGCATTTTTAGATGTTTAAGGCAAACTATTCTTTTCATAAAGTTTGCACTTGCAGAACTTAGAAAAATAAAAATTAATTGAATGGCACAAAATATAATGTGAGTCACTTGCATGATAAAGAGTAGTCTATATGTATTTTCTGTTTGCAGTACACTTCAAAGTGCGGGTAGATTTCTTTTATCCTTGGTTTTGTGAATAACAAATACTGTAAGCTAATTTTATTATGAAGCTTTCGAGTGATATACATTAATATGTATAAAAAACAAACCAAGCAAATAGATTAAAGTATCTAATTAACAAGTATTACCAGTGTTGATGTTGTTATGCATACTCCATATTTTAAATAATTATACTTTAGTTCATATATCAGTCAAAGTGCAGCAATAGCTTTCTTTATGCTTGTGGAATTAAGGTGTTTTTTAATTGTTATTTTTGTAAATATTTGACTTGATTAAGGGGGATATATGTATGGTTTATTTCATCAACTGCAGGTGTGTCAGCAATTTTTGTCTCACCAAAAGTCAAAGAGATTATATTGATTGACTTTTTTCATACTTTACATAGTGTAACATTTATGATAAGACTATACTACTTGGAATGCAGTGTAATTAGTTTTAGAAAAATCTCATTTCCATTGAGGTTGTATAGCCGAGGACATTCTACAACAGTTATGGTCTATTGGCTGTTATTTTTTTTCATTCACATATTACATGATTTTTTTTAGAAAATTAAGACAGGATCTTGACATTATAGTAATTAAGGAGTTCTTGATAAGTGATATAAAGCCCATATATGCATATGCTTTACCTGTAATATGATACGTCCATAAAATTACCTGAATTTCACTTTTGCTTCAAGCATTAGAGATATATATTAAAAGTTTATAAAACATTTAAAGAAATTGTTGTGCCATTATTTTTTGCTTTATCTCTTACTAACTAAAATAGGATCCATAAGTGGTTTTGACCTGAAATTAATTCTTATGGGTTGTTCCAGAGTTTCTTGATTAAAAAACAAATGAACTGTCTTTAAGATCTTACAATGTTAATCAAGTTTGCTTTTACAACCTTTATGAATTTACCCTTTAACAGCAAAATTGACACTTCTTTCTTATAACTTAGTATATGTATTATCAATAAACAAATATAACTGAACTTATAAAATTGCTAATATGTTTTGTTTACCTTATATCCATATTCTACATTATTCCTTGTTGAAATGAACCTGTTTATGTTTTTTCAGTAAGGTACAAGCTAGGTCAGCATTTGCCATGTATTTAGTGAGGGTACAACAAAGATTGGTGACAGAGGGAAGTCCATCCAGTCAGGATGATTCAGATGCTCTCAATGAGCAGATGGTAAGATTATACTGGTAGATAGGTATATTCATAAATTTTGTAATAATTTTGAAACACTATCAGAAGCCTTTTGAATGAAAAAAAAACTCAATTTAAGAAATTGTATATCTCAGGTCAAACAATTACCAGGACATTCATGCAGCAATCTACACCCTGGATATTGTAATGTCATTTGTATCAAAATTTTATGTTCAATAAGTTTGTGTGATGTCACACACTAAGCACTGTATCAAACAATCACTTTCATTATACTGAGTTAAGAAAGTTGAATTTTATGAGAATAGCAACTTTCTACTGTTTTATCTCTATATTTCCTGAAATAAGATGTTTTCTCAGAAAAAAAAAAAATCTATTTTATGATTAACTTCATTGATTCATATTTAGATTTCTTTAAGATATCAATTCTCGGAAAGTAAATGCTCAACAATCATATAACTTTGAGTAATGGATGCATTTAATGGAGTAGAACTGCCTTTCATAAAAAGTAAATCGCTATAATGGCTGTTGAAAACTGCATAAGTTTATGTCAAGTTATACATCCATTCTAATATTATTAAGTGACCCACAATTAATAGGAGAGGTTAACAGACATTTCAAGAAAGGCTACTGTGACTTGCATTTTATGCCCCTTCAACTTGAAAAAGTGTTATATGTGAATTAACCTCTCCGATACTTAGTATCCTACAATTTAAAATTTTTGTATTAGGTTGTATCTAGATGATCAAGATAGCCTTCTATCAAAAGTAGGACTGACATAGTCTTACTTTATATCATTTTCACGGAGACAGATAAAAATTTATGTCTGATTTCACTTCTAGGAAGACCAAAAGTTTATAATTCTGACCTACATTGCTTGCTAAACTGCATTTGAATAGTTTTTATATGACCGCAAAAAAATTAGGGGCCAAAAAGGGCATTTTTGTAACTTCCAGACATAACTTGTGTGTTAGTGTATGGATCTCTCTGACATTGTACCACAAGGTTCCATATCACAAAAGGAATGCTGGGATTGATTTTGGGGGTAATTGCCTCAAAATATTAGGAATTAGGGGCCCAAAAAGGGGCAAAAAAAACAAGCATTTTTCTAGTTTCATGACAATAACTTGTGTGTAAGTGCATGGATCTTTCTGAAATTGTACTACAAGGTTCCATATCACAAAGGAAAAGCTGGAATTGAGTTTGGGGGTAATGGCTGAAACGTTTAGGAATTGGGGGCCAAAAAGGGGCCAAAAATAAGCATTTTTCTAGTTTCCAGACAATAACTTGTGTTCAAGTGTATGGATCTCATTGAAATTGTACTGCAAGATACCATACCACAAAGGGAAGGCTGGGATTGATGATGGGGGTAATTGCCTCAATATTTTAGGAATTAGGGGCCAAAAAGAGGCAAAAAACAAGCATTTTTCTAGTTTCAGACAATAACTTGTGTGTAAGTGTATGGATCTTTCTGATATTGTACTACATGGTTCCATATCACAAAGCGAAAGCTGGGTTTGAGTTTGGGGGTAATTGCCCTAATTGTTTAGGAATTTGGGGCCAAAAAGGGGCAAAAAAACACATTTTTCTAGTTTCCAGACAATAACTTGTGTTCAAGTGTATGGATCTCTCTGAAATTGTACTGCAAGATACCATACCACAAAGGGAAGGCTGGGATTGAGTTTGGGGGTGATGAATCATAAGGGGGTTCAAAAAATTTGTGAGGGGGATTTTTTTTTTTTTTCCTTTTTTTTCTTTTTTTCCTTTTTTTTTTCTTTTAAAATTTTCCATTTTAAGTTGGTTATTTCTGATTTATATTTAAAAGCAAATAATAATGATATGGTAGGAGATACACACCAAACAGGATGTGTAAATTATTATATAATAAGTATTGTGCAATAGCAAGAAATTTTCAATTGCACAGTATTGCACAATAGCAAGAAATCTTCAATTGCACAGTATTGCGCAATAGCAAGAAATCTTCAATTGCACAGTATTGCGCAATAGCAAGAAATATCCAATAGCACAATATTGCGCAATAGCAAGAAATTGTCAATTGTACAGTATTGCGCAATAGCAAGAAATATTTAATTGCACAGTATTGTGCAAAAGAAGATACTTCGTATAAATTGCTTATTTCTTGACCAATTTCAATGGGGTTTTATTCTTGAATTCTTGGGGTTCTTTAATATGCTGAATCTAACCATGTATTTAGTTTTTGGATTTTGGGCCCCGTTTTTAAATTGGTCCACATTGAGGTCCAAAGGGTCCAAAATTAAACTTTGTTTGATTTCATCAAAAATTGAATTATTGGGGTTCTTTGATATGCCGAATCTAACCGTGTATTTAGATTCTTAATTTTTGGTTCCGTTTTCAAATTGCTCTACATTAAGGTCCAAAGGGTCCAAAATTAAACTTAGTTTGATTTTAACAGAAATTGAATTCTTAGGGTTCTTTGATATGCTGAATCTAAACATGTATTTAGATTTTTGATTATGGGCCCAGTTTTCAAGTTGGTCTAAATCGGGGTCCAAAATTTAACTTTGTTTGATTTCAACAAAAATTGAATATATGGGGTTCTTTGATATGCTGAATCTAACCATGTATTTAGATTTTTTATTTTTGGGCCCCGTTATCAACTTTGTCCACATTGAGGTCAAAAGGGTCCAAAATTAAACTTTGTTTGATTTCATCAAAAATTGAATTCTTGGGGTTCTTTGATATGCTGAATCTAACCATGTATTTAGATTTTGGATATTGGACCATAATAGGTGAATGTCCAATTTAAAATTTTTAAGTTCTTAGACCACATTCATTCTGTGTCAGAAACCTATGCTGTGTCAAATATTTAATCACAATCCAAATGCAAATCTGTATCAAGCTTGAATGTTGTGTCCATACTTGCCCCAACTGTTCAGGGTTCGACCTCTGCGGTCGTATCAAGATGCGCCCTGCGGAGCATTTTATTACATCTTAGCTTATTTCCCTGTTACTCTTAGACCTACGTTTCAGTCCTCTCACATTAAAGTTTACTCTGTCATCAATGAATAGATATGTTTGCTATGTTGGATTAGATTTGTTTGATAATTTCACTTAACTCTTATCATTGGTACTTTCTTTGTTCCGTTATACAATATAATTGTGAAATATAATTATATATTCATATTTGAAATTTGTTATAAGAACATGATGAAAATTTGTTTATTTTTCATTTAATGTCTTTTTTTATTAAATTGACAATAGGGATTAAAAAATTGACTGTATAATGAGGTGTCAAAGATTTCAGACATTGTTTGTTAACTTTATATTCATTTACAGGACCTTGTCTTAAGATTTTTAAAGAGGGCAGCAGTAAATTTGCAGCAGCCATTCAAAGTTGTTGTTCCAAGTAGAAAACTTCCACTGAATGACAGACGACGAATTCTAGCAAAACAGTTGGGAGATTTTGTTTACATTTATAACAAGGTTTGTTTACTCGACATAACATTCTTTTACTCATGTACTAAACTTGTACACAAACATATATCTATATTCAAGAAACACAATTAAAACTCTAATGTTAAGTTTTTGTTCTGGTTGTGATAAATTTCTATGATGAGACCTTCATGTTTTTCTCTGTGTAAACAGTAGTCTATGGAAAATGTTCTTAAAAAGATAGTATATAGTGTGGATTCATTGTTATTTGTGAGTAACACTTTTTCATGTATTTCGTGGGAATAAATCAACATCAAATTTCATGTAGTGTTGTATGCAGACTTTGTCAAAAACAGGAAACCAAGTAATCCACAAAAATAGATGAAACCACAGTAGAATAATTAGAAGTAGCATTATCTTGAAAATTTAACAACCTTTGACAGATAAATGTTTGAATGTCTCTAATTAGTGTTTCCTCATTACTGACACTATAAGTGTTCTTGCATGCTGAAGATATTAAGAACTAACATTCTGAACTTTCTAACAAAAGCTTGCCTAAATCATTTGCATGCATTAGGACTTTCTTGCATGATTTGTTTTTTATGAATAATTCCAAATATGCTCTGTTGCTTTGTTGTATAGTTAAAATTTTCATACTTCTAGTAATTAATTCAAACAAAAAGAATTTCTAATAGAATTTGGTTTTATTTGTAGTTTCATTTTTAAAGTATGTTATTAAGAAAGTGTTTTTTGATATCATTTGTACATGTAAACAAACCTATTAATGTCTTTACTAATAAAGGGCACGGTGATTCTTATGAACTTTACAGATTTTTAGTTCAAACATTTATTAATGACAATTATACACAGAAAATTATTTTTTTTAGTTTTAATCTGTAATAGAAAGTAAGTTTGAGTTGGGGTTATTTAATCAACAGATAACATTTTAATTAGATACTGCATTTCATATTTCTATTAATTCTATATCCTATTTGCCTCCATTTGTAGGACAAAGTAATTTCCACTTAGTAGTAAAAGTAAAAGATTTGAAAAAAGAAGTATGCTTGTTTTTTTTGTTGTTCTGTTTTAGTAGAATTTATCGGGTCAACTAAATAATACCCGTTATAAAATTATCACCAGTGAACTAAAAATTAGTTTACTTCAGAGTATTGAAAGAAATGATAAGCATGACCAAGTTTTTTTATTCAATATGAGTGGAAATTCTTTGTAAATATGTCTTCAAAGGACTCATCTGTCTATTTTCTCTGTAGAAGTAGAGGCTTATAGCTTTGTACTATGCACACAACTTTTCATATATTTCAGCTGGTCAGACAAGCTCATCAGGTATGACATGGGTTATGGTTCTTGAACATATAACTGCTACTTCATAATGAGTGTACCCAATTTGTCTGTTTTAAAAATATTTGCATGTTTGTAGTTTATCTAAAAAATATTACTATAAAATTATTTTCTTTTGCTGGAGGGATAGAAAGGAAGACTAAAAGTATGTTCAGATTAAATTGAACTTTGAAATAGTTTTTAATAAGTTGGCACTGATAGATGTATAGCTTTTACTTATTGATATAACATTTAAATAGTCTGATAATTTAACATGCCAAATGTTTTTCTGTAACCTTGAACATATCATTTGCTGGCTATTAGTTTCTGCTTGATTATAATGTTACATATAGTTAGTATAAACTTGTTTGTAGCACTGTTGTAACATTTTGTAAATGTGTCTTCCTAAATTATTATTCTTTTAATATCTTATTTTATATAAGTAACAAATGTATTATGATTTAAGAAATTCAATTACAGGTTTTTTGTGTTGTGCTGTATGCCTGCATGTGAAATATTTCTTGTTTTTAACTTAATGGTCAAAGGCCATGTGAGTTATACCCCTCACTTGGCATCAATCACCCATGTTTGTTTTTTTATTAGAAATTTCAATAGGGAAAATCTATACAAAGCCTTTCAAATGTTGATTTTTTTTTTACCTTTTCCTTAACCAGTTTCTGCCTGCCTCCAGTTTACCTTCTTCACAATAGCCATTGAATTGATACCAAACTTTTTTCCTTTTCCTTATCCAGTTCATATGTTGTGCTGTTACACCACTGTCCCAGGTTAGAGGGAGGGATGGGTGCCCGCAAACATGCTTAACCCCGCCACATTCTGTAAGTGCTTGTCTGAAGTCTGGAGCCTGTAATTCAGTGGTTGCCGTTTGTTGCTGTATATCATATTTGTGTGTGGGTTTTAGTTCATTGTTTTGTACATAAATCAGGCAGTTAGTTTTCTCGTTTGCATTGTATTATGTAGATGCCAGTTAACATGGATTGGTAGAAATAAGGTACACAATAATGTTTGCTACTGTATAACAACACATGGTTATAGTTTGTCCATTTATCAACATAAATGTTTAAATCCATACCTTTGTTTTATTTTATATGTATATTTTTGTCTAGTTTATACTAAGTAAGGTTGTCTTAGAGATTTTATTTTCTATAGCAGATTTTGTTCAACTATTTGTTTTATTCAAAGTATTTATTTACTCCGTTGGAACTGATCTAACAATGCTTCTTATATTGAAATTACAACCATTTGAACCAAAAAAGGGGAAAAAGTAACTGGTTGTCGGTAGAAAAGAATAGAATTTTTTTTTTTTTTTAAAGTATAGATAGTATTGAGTTAAACAGTATTAAATAAGGCAAGTGACTGAGTCTTATAGCTATGTTATAAAAAAAAATTTGTTCAATAATGTTTGTAGTATGGAAAAAAAATATGGTGGTACATGTCATACATATAATTATAGTTCTTTTCATGTAACTGTACACATATTTTTTTATTTTCAGGAGACAGAACAATTGAAGGTAAAAAGGTTGCAAGACAAGAAAGCAGGAAAAATAGCAGAAGCCTTTCCTAACCAGAAGGAAGTTCTTTGTGAGAAGAAATTTGAAGAGTTTGTCAACACAGCTAGGTACAATTTCATTTATCCCATTACTTTTATGACTTTGATATATTACAATATATAATGGTGGGTAAACATTCATGTAAATTTCACACTGCAATTTCATGAACAGTGTTGAAAGACAGGATTTTTTGCAATGTCCAAAGTAGATCCAATAAAAGAATCCTTTAAGTGTTACTTAAAACTGAAAATGACCAATTTTATATTTTTCTTAAACTCATGCATTTTATTTTTAATTTTTAAGGAATTTACACAGATACGTAAACCCAAAAATATTTCTTTTCTTTTTCTTTATTTGATCACAAAACGACAATATTTAGGCTTTTATGCTTAAATCATAAGAAGTAAAATAAAAGATAAGAATAATTGTTTTTGCAGTGAAAGTGAATTAGAGGATGTTCTTACTACGTATACAAAGATAAACAAATCAGCCAGTATTTTCTTAGGAGGCAATCCTAAACATAGCAGTAGTGATACATCCAACCACTCAAAAGGAACATCTGGATCCTCTACAACTGTAGCAGCTAGAAATCCTCAGAATGAAGGATCTAGACAGGTCTTATCAGGATGGGATGACATTCCTAAAGGTTTGTAATAGGAACTAGTGTTAGGTTAGGTAAAAAAATCAGATGAGTCAATTGTATGATCTAAAGTATAGATTTGTAATCTGCTTTTAGTCTAGGTCATTAAGGATATATTATTTTGCTCCTAGGTAATGTGTTCATGTTAACAAAAGAAGCTGGTCTAAAATAAATTTTCGAAAATATACTGCTTGTCATTGGAAAATATTTTGATTGAGTGATGTAATTCAAAGACATTATATGTTAAATTGTATCTTTCATAGGTTGTTCCAAAAGGCTGTAATTTTTATTCAAATGGAAAATGCTACTAGAAAGTCTAATGTGTGTTGTTTTATTCTCAATATATGACAAATTATGTTCTGAAATACCTATAATATGATAAAAAAGTATTGAAAGATCTTTGTAAGATTGTGTCTGTAATGTTGTGAATAGCAGTGGTTATCAGTACAGCCTATGAATTATGTATTTGAATACCTTTAAACATTGATTAAATATCATGCTCAAACTCATTGAAAATGACTATTATTTACTCTAAGCATATTGATATTATAAGCTTTGTCCTGTAAGTTTTGGATCAGCCTTTGTATATACCTTGATATAGATAGTACAAATGTCACTTGTCACCCAAACAATTATTGCTTGTATAGGACAATAGTAGAGAATGTGTATATATTTATTAATATTCACAGTTATGTACCAGTTAAAGCACATATAGATTTAAAAGAATATGTTTTGGAACTTAATATTTAAAAAAAAATATATGGTATCATATATCAGCTTTCAGTTTTATAGCTCCTGTTCAAATAACAGTCAAATGAAATATATCATCTTCAGTAACAAGAAGTACAAAAATGAATATTGTGTACTCAAAATGATTGCTCTTTAAATATCTGTTAACAGACATTTCATAGTACACTGTTGAACATCTATCAACTTTCTTTTACATTTTAAATGATAATTCACCTTGATTACAGAGCAAATTGGACATTTGTTCCTCAAGAAATCAACTATGTTTTCACCCATTCATTTTGAATATTTGTTTCATGTTAGAAATTGCAAAATTAAAAATCCTTTTTAGACGAAGGTTCAATTTACAAATGATGGTGGACAGGGATTTTTTGACACAGCTGAGTCTTAGCTAATTTTTTGAGAGAGAAAATGTCGGAATAACTGTGAAAACTAAAATTAATTTTTTTTAGAGCTAAAATCTGTAAAATTATTTATATTGCTTAAATACTGTAAAATCTCTTTTATACACAAATTTGTCAAGTTACTTTGTTTGCCAGGTTTTCTAGGTTATTTGAGCTTTGGCATTACTGGTAAAATTAATTAGAAACCTTCCAGCAAATTTAACCTATTTTGAAAATATCCGAAGCAAATTTTGGATTTACATTACTTGTCAAGCATTCTTCTGAAAAATACACAGTCTCTTTAATTAAATAGTACACTACTGTTTGACCAGATATTAGTAGTGCTTTATCATTTTCAAAGTTAAATATAAACTGCAAAGCTGGATCAGCCCAAAGGCATACTAACAGTATTGTATCAACTACTAAACATGTTCATTTCTGTACCTGTAGTTAGTGGCACAGTGGCTTCCACATCCACCAGCGGCACAGCACCTACAACCAGTGAATCAAAATATGGTTCATCATCGTCTTTGGCATCAGAACCGCTTCGGTATCAAACGCCCTCACAATCTTCCTTTGCTAATGCTGTACATTGTTATACTCAGAAACTGACTACAAATAGACCTAGATCAGCTTCTACTAGTAGCCAAAGACCAGGTACATTGAAGATTGTTACATTAGAGAGCCATACTATAAGTAGATATAGATATCTGCTATTTTATTGGCAGATTATCCAAAGTTTAGAATAGAACATTAAGAAATATGTTTGTTGTAGCATCATTATATTGCTGTTTATTTTCTCTTGATAGATCTGTCCTTATATATTACAAGAATTATAAATAGAACTACTGTTCTGTACTTGTCATCTGTTTGCCATTTTATTTTAGATTCTGAATTTTGAGCAGTCTAGAAGTTAGTTTATTATATATCTTTATAAAGTTATAGATTGCTTTAATGATTTTTGTCGATCCTACGACTTTTGTCGCAAAAGTGAGACATAGCGATCCTACATAGCGTCATCGTCGGCGGCGGCGTCCACAAATATTCACTCTGTGGTTAAAGTTTTTGAAATTTTAATAACTTTCTTAAACTATCCTGGATTTCTACCAAACTTGGACAGAAGCTTGTTTATGATCATAAGATAGTATCCAGAAGTAAATTTTGTAAAAAAAAAAAATCCTGTTTATCCGTATTTTACTTATAAATGGACTTAGTTTTTCTGCCAGTTAACATTACATTCACTCTGTGGTTACAGTCTGCAGTCAAAGTTTTTAAAACATTTATTAGATTCATAAACCATCCTGGATTTTTGTCGAGCCTTCGACTTTTGTCGAAAAAGCGAGACATAGCGATCCTACATTCCGTCGGCGTCGTCGTCGGCGCCGTCCACAAATATTCACTCTGTGGTTAAAGTTTTTGAAATTTTAATAACTTTCTTAAACTATCCTGGATTTCTATCAAACTTGGACAGAAGCTTGTTTATGATCATAAGATAATATTCAAAAGTAAATTTTGTAAAAAAAAAATTCAATTTTTTCCGTATTTTACTTATAAATGGACTTAGTTTTTCTGCCAAGAAACATTACATTCACTCTATGGTTAAAGTTTTTGAAATTTTAAGAACTTTCTTAAACTATCCTGGATTTCTACCAAACTTGGAAAGAAGCTTGTTTATGATCATAAGATAGTATCCAGAAGTAAATTTTGTAAAAAAAAAAATCTATTTTTTCCGTATTTTACTTATAAATGGACTTAGTTTTTCTACCAAGAAACTTTACATTCACTCTGTGGTTAAAGTTTTTGAAATTTTAATAACTTTCTTAAACTATCCTGGATTTCTACCAAACTTGGAAAGAAGATTGTTTATGATCATAAGATAGTATCCAGAAGTAAATTTTGTAAAAAAAATTATCCATTTTTTCCGTTTTTTACTTATAAATGGACTTAGTTTTTCTGCCAGTTAACATTACATACACTCAGTGGTTACAGTTTTTAAAATTTTAACAACTTTCTTAAACTATCCTGGATTTGTACCAAACTTGGACAGAAGCTTGTTTATGATTAAAAGCTAGTATCTAGAAGGAAATTTTGTTAAAATTTTGTTTGATTTTTTCCGTATTTTACTTATAAATGGACTTTGTTTTTCTTCCAGTTAACATTACATACAGTCTGCAGTTTAAGTTTTTAAAACATTTATTAGATTCATAAACTATCCTGGATTTTTACCAAACTTGAACAGAAGCTACTTACAATCAAAAGATAGTATAGAGAGGAATATTTTTATTTATTTTTTTCCTCATTTTTGTTGAGCCTGCGATTAACAGCAATAGTAGGCGGGACACTGGGTTCCGCGGAACCCTTACGAATTTTTACCAAACTTGGACAGAGGCTTCTTACAATCAAAAGATAGTATCTAGAGGAAAATTTTTAATAATTTTTTCCCCATTTTTGTTGAGCCAACGAATTTTATAATTGCATCTTCTATTTACATGCATTTTTATTGATGAATTAAGGGATTAATCATCAAGCAATGTAAAAATTATCTTCTTTATCATTTGTTCATTCAATAAATTTATGTTTAAACTCTTTTATAAATCTATAGATTTGATTGCATACTGTATTCATTTTTTACAAGCATAACTTTTTTCATACATTTCAAACGTTTTATTTCATTAACTGTAAATCTATTATATGCATGCCCCTATCACACTGAAAACATAGACAACAGCAAAAGTAGGCGAGACACTGGGTTCCGTGGAACCCTTACGAATTTTTACTTTTAAAGTATCACTCAAGTTTGTCAAACAGTAAGAGCAAGATATTATTATATGCTAAATAGTCGTGTTTAAATATTGAAATTACTTTTCATTCATATCTTCCTTTGGCATCTGATCACAAAGCAATGATAACATGATATAGATGTATAAAATATTGAATATATCTTAATTTTGATCAAGATTTGAGTCCAATAGTCAATATATGCAAGCCATTATCCAAACTTTCCTTTAATTCACTGCTACCTTCACAATCATTTGGATAAAGATGCATTACTGATTGGGTTATGGATTATATTTCTATCATCTGTAACATGAATACTCTCCACAACTGAAAATTTTTTTTTTGACATATATAATTGAAATATTGATTTACTGGTAATTTGTAGGATCTGGGGTCACAACTAGACCCCACATGAGACCCATGTCAGCTGCTCATGCTAGACCAGTTTCTGCTTATGCCACAACAGATCCAACTGTAGGTAAGTCATCACACCTCTAATGTAAGCTGTTGACTTCATATCACCTGTTACTTCCTACTATCACATGTCAGCTTTTTTTATTTTTACACTGACAGCAGCAGTCGCTGGCGAGACACAAGGATCTGTGGAAGCCTTTACATTTTTTTTAGGAGTCAGTCTGGAGTGGGACTTGTAAAAACAACATAGGATACAGTTTTCATTCAATTAGAATTAGTTTAAAATTTAAATGAAGGTTTCCACTTTTCAACACCTTTGATGTGTTCAACAACAACAAAATCTGAAATGGGGGACCATTTTTGGAGGGAGACTTTATATAAATAACACATAGCTGAGAGGGTGATAGAGCAGATTGTTACCCCGAGAAAACATTGTCAACTGAGGCGAAGCCAAGGTTGACAATGTCTTTTCGAGGGGTAACAATCTGCTCTATCACCCTCTCAGATATGTGTTATTTAATTTATTATACTGAATGTTCTGTTATTACTGTCGATTAAATTTCAAATTCAAAGTAATAAACTATGACGTCTTGTACATAACAACCATCCATATTTAATAAAGCGCACACTTGATCAAGCGTCTCCTTCAAGGGTAATAGAGTAGTTGCCATAGGATAGAGTCGTATTTAATAAAGCGCACACTTGATCAAGCATCTCCATGAAGGGTAATAGAGTAAATTAACACCCTCGTATTAGCCAATCAAAATATGACATTTTAACGTGAAGTATAATAAGTAAATATATCCCATATGAAATATGTCAGGACTAGGTGTATGTCAGCTTGCTCACTAATGTTTCATTTATGAAAAATTTATCAATAAGTGAACTTTGTGCACAAATTCCTTAAGAAATTAGATATGCAGAAATTTATAATATTCCTTATAAAACAATTTTTACATATAAGTAGTTTACCTATCATGAAGGAAAAGCCATTTTAAATATGTTGCTTATACTATTCCTAAATAAAGTATAATTTTTTCCATTTATACAGATTCTTACAATGACGAAGCAATACAGAATGCATTACAAAGATTAGCTATACGACAACAGGCACGTCAATATTCACCATATAACAGCACTACAATTATTCCACAAGATGTGGAAGCTAAGTCTCGTATTGGTACAGCAAAGGGCCAGAGGCCATCTGACATGCTTCAGTACAGAAGTAACTCTGTAGAAGACAATTCATATGTTCAGACAAATGTAAACACATACATGCCTGCTGGTAGGACAGTTGATAGTGCCCAACGAGCCTTTGTATCAGCTGAAGAAATGGGAATTAAGTCTCGTCCTTCTTCAGCTTCATATCACAGACAGACAGGTGATCACGCAGGAAATAGTCAGACGGTTCAGTCTAATGTCAATTTACAGAGTGCTAATGCAACTTTTAATAATTTTATAGATACTAATAGTGGCCATAACTTACACAGTGACTTAGCCATGGCTTATAGTCAAGTAACAGGTGTAGCACCACAGAATTATCACACTGCCTCACAAACAAGTAAACAATTTCAACTGTTACAGCAGCAACAGGCACTTAAACAACAGAGCAGGGTTCTGTTAGAACAGAGTAAAGCTAAACACCAGGCAATGATAGCCCAGGCTGTTCAGAAAACTAATCCTCCAAGACCAACCATGAGAAATATAAATGGAGAAATACATATTGAAAGTGCTATACAAAAGTATGCTCCAAAACCACCAATACAACCCTCCCATCACAGGAAACCAACAGGGCAGCACAGAGCTCAAAGGTAAGTCTTTGAATAATGTAGATATGTATACTTGGATATTGTCTTCATTCCAATTCCCAGAATGCACTTTTAATATGCTTTTGGTATTATAAAAGGTATAAACAGATGTGGTGTTGTTCTCAAGCCCTTCACTGCACTTAATGATAACTATTGTAAATGAAAAGACATTGTTAATGTAAAGACAAATTCCTACATGTTTTTTTTTTTATTTAAATGAATTATGTGCAATCAGTTCTTTTCTTTATATTGGAATCAAATTTTATATGTATTTTACTTGTGTGGATGATTTAAAAAATAAATGAAATTGAAATTATTATTGTTCATATTTAAGTTGCATGATTTCATACTTGGATTATACACAGTTTACTTCAAACCTAATCTTATATAGTCAGGGATGATCAAATAATAAGTGCATGATATACCAATATGCTTGTCATTAAAGTAAATGCATTCTTAATCCTTAATTTCTTAATAACAATATTTTTGGGGGTGAGAGTACTGAAGTAACCAATACATGGTTTGTTTGGTATAAACTCTTCAATTTGTTTAAATTTAGTGTCTGTATAATAAATATGAATCTGTGACAACTGTCAAAAATGTGAGAATGATTAATCAAATTCCTGTACTTTATGTAGTAGAATATTACATGCTAGAATATTACTTGCAAGCATGAGTTTTAGTTCTTCAGATGTTTTAATTGCCAGAGACGAATTTAGGGGAGTGGGCAGGGAGTCCGGCCCCCTTATGGAGCTACATTTATAGTTAATGCAGACTTTTTACCCGTACCACTCCAAACGTCCCCCCCCCCTCTTTCTAAATCCTGGATCCACATCTGATTGCATTTATTTCTGATTTGACAATAAGACATCAAATTTCCTGTCTCTTCTCAGATTTAGCCATTGTGATGACATAGAAACAGATGACCTGATTATTTGCACAGAAAAATCAAATCTTTTATTTTTTTTTTAAGGGGGGGGGGGGGGGGGGGAGGTATTTGTCAGAACACTAGAATAGAATGTAAAAGTTTGCAGGCATCTCTCTAAAAATTATAAGAAAAACAGATCCTAACCCAAGTGTAACAAGAAAAGCTTCTCATTTTAAATTGTCCAGTGTTTAAGGAAAATATCGTTTTTAACAGAATGCTTTGGTAATTGCATCAATGCTGTAATTTATAACTAAAAACAATACCTGACTATATAATATAACACTACATGTATATACAAGAAATGCAATGACTTGTACTATTTTTCCTGCAATGCCAAACTTGCAGATATCTGCCAAAAAAGTTCATTCTTGGTACAAACTTTAACATTTTTCATTTGCGTCAAACGTTAAGACTGTCTACGGGAAAGTTGAACTAATTGCTAATGCAAAGAAAGAAATTCTTATAATACAAAAGATTAAGATTGGACTCTTCAAATATTTTACATCAAGTTTTTGGCATTGCAGGAAAATTTGCATACAGACTATTTTGTTTGCATGTTGGCATCACTTAGAAAATATTGGAGCTTTATGGTGCTTATTTATTGATCATAGATTAGTGCTTAGTAGTTTTCTATATTCCAAATATATTCAGTAAATTATATTAACTGCTCAACTGTAAAAGCAGTATGTTAAGATGAAAAAATCAGCCACATTTTGATAACAATTCAATAAGATTAAAAATGTTATAACTTGACCAATTAAAATCAAAATAATTTGTTCATGTCATTCTCTATGCTCTATTTAACATGGGTAGGCATTATATTTGTCAATATTTTACACATTGCTAACGCCAAGTGTAAAGATATTTACAAATATAATGCCTACCCATGTTAAAATGAGTATAGCCAGGACATGAAAGAATTATTTGCAGTTTGCATCATTTCTGAAATGAGGTTGGTTTATTTTCTCTTATGTTGAGGTAATGATTAAAGCTGATTTTGATGTCAAAACTGTACAAATGGTAGATTCACAAAAAAGCTGATAACAGTGGTCAATGTGTTTTTGTTGACAGCTCAAAAACTGCTTGTTCTTTAGTATTGCTATAACCATAAAGCTCTGATATATGTGTGTTGTTTGTGTTGTGGCTTGACACCGCATCATGGTGTGCTTCATATATTTTGTGCTAGGCAACCATTGACAGAGGAATCATTGACTTTTAATTTCTACAACAGCCTCAAGCACAACCCAAATGTTGGATCATCACGACCATCTTCAGCGTCAGGTATTCATGGTGTTTTGTATTATTAGTTACTGTAAATTCAGAAATTATTGCGTGCATTTATTATTGCGATTTTGTCATTTTAGACTAAAATGCGATTTTAATTTTTGCGATATTGAGAAAAATCCTGTTTAATTCATATAAAAAATTTCAAAATGCGAGTTTAAATTATTGCGATTATAACCCTGTCGCATTTTTCGCAATAATAAAAACATCGCAATAATTTCTGAATTTACAGTATTAATATTTGCATTGCCTTATCAAGGTTTCTCAATTTGTTTAAAACTCAACAAAAGTTTAAACCAAATTTTTTGATTCTGATAAAAGTAGTATTTTTGTTCACTGTTATATGTTGCAGACTGACATAAATGTTTATTTTTGCTATTTTGTAAAAGAAAAAGATGACAGGCAATTACAGTAAAAACAAACAATAATGAGAAGCCTTGGAATGTGGCTAGATAATTTCTTATCCTATCCTTTATTGAAAGTTTCTTATGAAGATTCCTTCAGTTACAATATATACATGTACTTTCAATAGCTTTGATAATTTTAACAAAATTAATAAATTAATGTCAGATGATAGGAAAAGTACAATGTGTTACAATTGCTTTAAATTAAAGAAAGATGATTAATCTCAATGATTTTAGAAAAAAAAACTTCAAAATGGTGGGAGATATTATAGATATGGTTAAGGTAGCTAGTACTTGTATAGTAATTAGAAAATGATAATTAAATAAAACCTGTTTAACACATTATTATTCATCCTGAAATTTAACATGTTCATGCCACAAGAATGGTAAACAGGTTTCACTCAAATTCCTCAAAGGGTTCATATTTCATTCAGTTATGATCAAAACTAAGAACAAATATTTTTACTCCATTGAAGTATGAAAGTTTTTGTCTCACTTGCTAAAAATATTCCCCCATTACCTCTATTTTACAGAGAATTGATTCTATTTAATTTGATCTGAGCAACTATGTTATTTGAGGAAAAGTATTGTGCAGTGGCCATTTCTGCTTTAAAAGAAGGTGCAAAATTTATCCACATTGACCTTCACTTTGCTTGCGAACAATTCTATTTGACTTTTCCTGTAGTTTTTGTCCTGTTGGTTCTGTATCAGAATTAAGTATATGTTTACCTTAAGGTTGTTTACCATGAATTGGTGGTCACATTAATGGGAAAGTGAGTACCGGTACACATGGTCATAAGATTGTAACCTTTTAATGCCCACACCGCACCGGAGGTTGCATTGAGTGTTACCCTTGTCCGTCTGTACGTACATCCCTACGTCCTAAAATTAGTTTCTGTAACATTCTCTTACTTTAGTTTACCTCAACCAAATGTTATGAAACTTATACACAATGCTTATTACTACAAAACACAGTTCAGTTAGGGTTATGTCCCTTTATAACGTTATATGCAAGCAAGGGCATCATCATCTGTGTCCCATGGACACATTCTCCATTTATTTTAAATATATGTGAAGTATGGGTTTTTGACCAAGTTTATGCAGTACTCTGAACTTAGATTTGTTATGGTGTGAGAGGGGCATGATGTCTTATGGACACATATGGAAAAAAATTAAACTGGAAATAAAATGTTCTTTTTTTATGAATAAAAGAATGAAAATGTCTTCATTATTCCTCCTCTAAGCAAAGAACAAGCATAAATGAATGATATTTTGTCAAAAATAAGGTCGAAGGTCCGCTGAAGTTTGATTATAAATTATATCATTGCCATGTTTCCATTTAAGTTGTCCTTAATATGCATGAAACAGTTTTCACTGTACATGTATTTGATAGGATAGCTTTTTTTAATGACGGTTTCATCTCATTAATTGTAGACATGAAATTTGTCTTATAAAGTTATTAATCCCATTATATATGCATGTTCTTTACATACATAATGATAATACATTTTTGTACTTAACTTTTTGATAGGATTATGTTTAATTTAGAATAAGAAATTAAAAATTATTGGTTTTTGTCTCGCTTGACAGAGTCAAAAAGCAAGACATAGGTATGCTGTTTCTGGCGGCGATGGTGGCTTCAACAATGCATTAGTTTGTGATTAGGTCTAGTTTGTGGTGAACCACAAGTTGTAGATCAATCATATTTGGTATACAGTTGTATTAGCATTGGCACATCTCATTACCATGGAGATTATTTGGCCCTGCCCCCTCAGTCATGGTCTATTGACTTTGAAACTTTTGCTTATTTTACATGTATTAGTTTGTGATTAGGTCAGTTTATGGGGAACCATTAGTGGTAGGTCAATGATATTTGGTATACAGTTGTATTAGCATTGGCACATCTCATTTCCATGAAGATTATTTGGCCCTGCCCCCTTAGTCATGGTCTATTGACTTTGAAACTTTTGCTTATTTTACATGTATTAGTTTGTGATAAGATCAGTTTAAGATGAACAAAATGTTAAGTCAGTGATATTTGGTATGCAAATTTATTGGCATTTGTAAATATCGTTTCCATGGAGATTTTATATAGCTCCACGCCCTCTTCATGGTTCATTGACTTCGAAACTTTTACATAGTTTACAAGTTAATGTTTGTGTTTAGGTTTGTTTAAAGGGAACAACTTATAGTAAGTCAATGATATTTGGTATGAAGTTGTATTAGCATTGGTGCATCTCATTTACATGGAGATGGTTTAGCCATGTTCCTCAGTCATGGTACATTGACTTTGAATATTAGCCTAACTTGTTAAGTATTGCCATTTTAATTTCAGCATTTGCATAATCAAAATTACAAAAAAGCGAGACATATCTCTGTGATAACAGTTTATTATATGATCTGCGTTAGAGTACCGGTAATCAGCAGACAGTTATATTAAATTTCTTCTGTTCATAAACATTGTTTGGTTGTCAGGATGATAAAGTATAAATTGATTCATTCTTTAGTCTTGTTCAGAATGTTTAAGGTTTAATGTTTAACAATTTAATTGATTGAAAAATTACAAGATTTTTTTCCACAGTGCTCTTTGGGGAAATTAAATATCTGTTAGATTTATGCATCATGTTTAATTAGATTTTATGGCGATTTGACAGTTTTTGTCTAAGAAATTCAATCAAGGCAAACGTTATATTTAGATTACTTAGCATATAAAAATTGTTGACAAGATGATCAGTGTTTTATGAAATTATATTTCATCATAAATGTGCAAAGTTATTTTATATTGATTTATTTCCAACAGAGTTTAAAATGAACAATGAATTATTGAAGAGCAGTCATAGTAAATTTTACTCAAAAGTTGTAAATATTTTATTGCTTGAAATGAAATTGCCATTTAATGTATTTTTGCTTCAGTAACATCACATAATTGTATAAAATTTTATGAAACTACCAATGATTTTGTTACAGATCTAATCAGAAAATTACAACATTTATTTATCACATGATTTATGCATTAGAACTAAATATTATCTTTTGACAGTACTTGAACTTTTACTCTAATGTATTGGTTAAAAAAAAAAAGAATTGAATATAATTTTTACTTTGAAAAAGGAGCATTTTACTTGGATATTTTTTGGACATTATGATTAATTGCTTGGATTGTAATGAAATACATTAAACCATGAATTTTCAAATAGAAAACCCTATCTAACAGATTTGTGGCAAACACAAACAAATACTAAGAAAACAATTTTCTCTTGGATTGAAAGATAAATACAAAATTTATCAAGTGTAATTTTGATTAAACAAGTTTAAAAAAAATGAGGATCTCTACACATATTATTGTGGTACATTGTACCAAAAAATAAATGTAATTGTTAAAGCGTGTGTAACTTTTCACCCAAAGTATTTAAAGTTTTAAACAATCTGAATCTAGGTGTTTTTTTCTAATTAAAGATTGTTTTTATTAGAAATGATCCCCACTGAAAAGATAAAAAATTGAAGGGTAAGAACCTCTCGATTTGTTGGTGATACTGCTTTTCTTAGAAGTTAATTTACTTGCTTAATCCAGGATAAATATAGCAATCTTTAAATGACAGGATAGAGGCTTAATGTGGTCCTCACTGTTTTAACTTTATGTAAGATGAAATAAAACAAAACTTGAATTAAATAGTTATTGTACATGTCATAATGAAAGGAGCTCTGCCATCATTGAAAAGCCAATTTTTAGGTTTTTGATAATAATACACAAATGTTGTATGTTTTTATGCCCCACCTACGATAACAGCATCGGGGCATTATGTTTTTCTGTCTGTGCGTCTGTTCGTTCGTCCATCCTTTCGTCCGTCTGTCCTGCTTCAGGTTAAAGTTTTTGGACTATTTGATGAAGTTGAAGTCCAATCAACTTGAAACTTAGTTCACATTTTCCCTATGATATAATCTTTCTAATTTTAATGCCAAATTAGAGTTTTGATCTCAATTTCACGGTCCACTGAACATAGAAAATGATGGTGCAAGTGGGGCATCCTTGTACTATGGACACATTTTTCTTTTTTTATTTTAAATATTAGTGGCAGAGTGGTCTAAGTAGTTCAACTACTGTATCACTAGCCAGTCAGTCAACACTGAGGTTGTGAGTTCGAAAACCACACATGGCAGGTGCATTCAACTCCAATCTTAATTAACTAGGACTGTCAGTTTTTCTATGGAAGGTCATGGTTCTCCCTGGGTACTCAAGCTTCCTCCTCAAAAAAAAACTGACCGCCACGAAATAGCCAATAGTGCTGAATATGGCATAAAACACCTATCAATCAATCAATCAAATATGAGAGCATAAATTATACAAAGTCCAACCAAATTATTTACCAAAGTGTTTTTCTATTTTAAACTTTCTTCAAAGTATTTTCTAGGTTCTTGCTTGCACTCCATATTTCTCACTAACAGATACCGGTGTGTGTCAAAATTACGTATTTTTAAATTGTTTTTAGAAAAATTTATTTGAAGCCATCTTTGATCCTTAAATTCTGTGTGTATTTTCATAATTAAGACCTTGCAGTTTGAACTTAACACATACCAATTAATAATATTTAGGTTAGGCCAAATAGAGCCATCAGCCAATATTCCTTTTATTTCTAACCAGTTAATTCCCATTGAATATTCACTTAAATCAATTTGTTATTCTAGCACATTTGATTTTTATCTCGCTTCTACAAAGTGAAAAAATGGAGACTTAGGCCTACTAGTTCCCAAGATGTTGGCGGCGTCATAGACAATGTATTAGTTTATGATTAGTTTAGTTGATTGGGAACCACCAATGGTAGGCAGGTGCATATCCAGGATATTGAAAAGGAGGCCCCTGGCAAGCCAACACTTGGAGTGATACATGTACTTGTAAAAAAGTCTATGCATTTATCATATATGTAGCTGCATAAGGGTCCCCCCTGAATCAGCCTCTGGTAGGTCCATGAAATTCCAGTTGTATTAGTATTGGCACATCTCATTTCTATGCAGATTGTTTGGAACCAACCCCTAAGTCATGGTCTATTAACTTTGAAACCTTTTGCTGAGTTTTCATGTACTAGATTGTGATTAAGTCAGTTTATGGGGATCCACAAGTGGTATATCAATGGTATTTGGTGTGCCGTTTTATAAGTATTGGTACATCTCATTTTCATGGAGATCATTTGGCTTCTCCCCCTTAAATATGGTCTATTGATGTTGAATATTTTGCATAGTTTACATGTTGAATTTGTGATAAGATCAGTTTAAGATAAGCAACTAATATTTAGTCAATGATAGTTGGTATGCAGTTCTATAAGCATTTGTAAGTCTCATATCCATGGAGATTGTTATGGCCCCAACCTATTTTCATGGTCCTTTGACTTCAAAACTTTTGCATATTTTACAAGTTAAAGTTTGGTTTAGGTTAGTTTAAATGGAAACATTTATGATTGATGGATTAATTGATTGGTGTTTAACGCCACATTCAGCACTATTGTGCTATTTCCTGGCAGTCAGTTTTTATTATTGGTGAAGGAAGCCAGAGTGCCTGAAAAGAACCAAGACCTTAGGTAGGAAAACCATCAATCCTAGTCAACTAAGATTGGAGTCCAGTGCACCTGCCATTTGGGGAATTTGAACTCACAACCTCAGTGATACAGTAGTTTGACTACTTAGACCACTTGGCCACAGAGGCCTGAAACACTTATGATTAATCCAGGGTATTTGGTATGCAGTTTTATAATCATTGGCATTTATCATTTCAATGGAAGTTATTTGACCCTGCAAATTCAGTCATGGTTCATTGACTTTAAAATTGAGAATGGAAATGGGGAATGTGTCAAAGAGACAACAACCCGACCACAGAACAGACAACAGCAGAAGGCCACCAACAGGTCTTCAATGCAGCGAGAAATTCCCGCACCCGGAGGCGTCCTTCAGCTGGCCCCTAAACAAATATATATACTAGTTCAGTGATAATGAACGCCATACTAAACTCCAAATTGTACACAAGAAACTAAAATTAAAAATAATACAAGACTAACAAAGGCTAGAGGCTCCTGACTTGGGACAGGCGCAAAAATGCGGCGGGGTTAAACATGTTTATGAGATCTCAACCCTCCCCCTATACCTCTAGCCAATGTAGAAAAGTAAACGCATAACAATACGCACATTAAAATTCAGTTCAAGAGAAGTCCGAGTCTGATGTCAGAAGATGTAACCAAAGAAAATAAACAAAATGACAATAATACATAAATAACAACAGACTACTAGCAGTTAACTGACATGCCAGCTCCAGACTTCAATTAAACTGATTGAAAGATTATGTCTTCATCATATGAATATCAGGCACAATCCTTCCCGTTAGGGGTTAAGTATCATACCATCATAACATATATGAGAAGAACATAACCCGTGTCATGCCAACAACTGGTTTTTAAATAAATGTGTTTAGTGCAGATGCAAAGACCCTATAAGTGAATCAATATCAACGCCAAAATATGCAATCTTTAATGACCTGACAACAGTATCGTAACTATATCCCTTCTTAATAAGTCTATTTAAAGGTTTTGTTAGTTTCAGAGGTGAATACTGACATTTTTGTGCTTTATAAAGAATATTTCCATAAAAAATTGGATGTGAAATACCTGAACGTATAAGAAGTCTGCATGTTGAGCTATATTTACGAATGATGTCCTTATACCGATGATAAAATTTAGTAAATGTTTTGACTAGTTTGTGATATCGAAAACCCTGGTGTAATAATTTTTCAGTAATACATACATTTGAATGTTTTGCATGTTTTACATGTTTAAATATTGCCATTTTACTATCAGAATTACAAAAAAGCGAGATATATCTCTATGTCAACAGTTTATTATTTTTTGGGGGATTTTGTAGTTTCTTCAAGAACATATGATTTTTGTATTTTCCAGAGCTGAGTAAAACAATTTTGGTCCAGTAATGCATTTCAAAGAAAGTATACAGACTAGTATTATTATAAAAAAAATAAATGACAACTTGCATATTTATGTCTGTACATTGTTTAGTTCAGTTTTCTAGGGATGTAAATATGTAACAAAATATCAACTTTCAGTTGAATTGCTTTATAATCTTAATTTATTTCAGTTATAGGTACTGATATGTCTTATAGGTATATTTTTCATTGAACTATTGATATACATGTAACAAATTTTTGATACAAGTAATAGCATTTAGTTAAAAGGGAAATAAAACAAAAAATTCCAAGTAAGGTCAACTAAGAGAAATGTGAGTTACATCCTTACTGAATGTACTTTTTAGATATATGGGGAAAATTTCTATAAACTAATGATGACTATGAAATATGTTGCAGTCTAATTTTAATTTTTTTTTTGGACATATTTTCAATTAAAGTTTGAATTAATTGTTTTTCCTTGTTTTTTAGGATGGTAGTACCTCACCCTTTGGAAACCATGCTTGAATATTACTAAATAAAGAAGAATTGGAAAATGCCACTGTATTCCGTCCATGTAGATGACCTTGTCCATTGAGATTTTAATGTGATATAAACAATGTTTTATTAATTTTTTGAATGACAGAAAAATTTTGTAAAAATTAAAATATTCTATTTTGATTTCATCACCACTTTTAGTTCAGATATTTATTTTTGTTTTATTAATTTTATACAATGAAAATATGTTTCAGTTTATCATGTATTTTGCTGTCAGAAAAGATGGTGTTACAATTTTCTGTATATGAATGTTTATTATACAGGGTCTGTACACATTAGAACCTTTATTGATATATTGTGTTTTATATATAATATATATATATATATATATATATATATATATATATATATGTAAAAGGAAGCAAAACACAGTATTGAAGTCTTGCTTAGTTCATTTAGCCTGTTAGGTTTTATAATCAATTGATATCAATCATCCATTAAAAGGTTCTCTAAATCCTTTCGGCCAATTCAGGAATATATTTTTTTCAGAATCACCCAAGGGTGTTTAGCTTTAATTAAAAGATACCACCGATCAGCCTGCAAGGCCATAATAAAACTATGAATACAGTATGGTATAAAATATCATTTTTGATAATTTTCACTGCAGTTATGTAGGGTATTAGAACCTAATATACATTGAAAGTGATTAGTCCTAGATTTTGGGACTCTTCATATCCTTCCATATATTTTTCAGGTAGCATGTAAGCAAATCAGGTTACATAGGGGGTCTTATTTAGGCACTCTTAGAACTATATCAGATGTAAGAAAATAGTAAATATTTATACTATAGACATTCCAAATATTTATAGGGATCTTAACTTTTTGTCAGCCCTGGGACCAACATAACATATCAAAGACTTTACATAACGGTAAAAGTATATTTTTTTTTTAATCTGACTTCTGCTATTTCATTTGTTTCTTTTCTGCTTGTGAATCTGCTGTTCAGTTTAAAGCATGACATTTTCTTTATTTTTATTTTTTTTATTTAAAAACTAATATTTTAATTGTTACTAAATAGATATCTTGATTGCAGCTCATATTTGAGTGAGGCAGGTATGAAAAAATAATGAAGACTTTTATAGTGAAAAATTTCCTTAAATTTGAATTTTAGGGAATGCTAAATTTAATTCAGTGATTGATTTTTTTTATTTTGATATGATTCAAATACACTTCAATCTCCAAAAAGTGATTTAATCCAACAATAAAAAGTTGTAACTTTAAATTTCTATTTAAATGCCAAGCATCCAATTTAAGTTATTTGGTGTATTGATTAGAGATTTAGAAACAAAGCCATTATGTTACAACTTCCTGCATCAAGTTGTGATAGCAGATAAATGTCATCAAAGAAAGATTTTAGTTTGAGCAGTAGTTACTTTTTGGTGGCCAAAATGATGTTTATTAATATATATGTTTTTATTTTAATTTTTATTGATTTCTTTTTTTTATAATTATAATTTTCAAGAACTTCATTCATTAATGTTAGTTTCATTTGCTTAAATAAGTTAGCTATGCAATTCATGGAACTCACTTTTACTTAAATTATGCATGTTACAAGCAACTGAAAAGAAATGAACTTGGGACATACTGTGAACGAAAATCTACAAGGTTTAGGTATATATTTATTGAATGTGTATATGTCATATTTTTAAATGATTTATGTTTTTACTGTTTTGACACTGTTGAACTGTGATAGTGTATAACAACATTGTAGAACTTTACAATTTTACTTATCAAATGTCCATGTTAATTTATAATAAAATATAAATATAGATTTTGAGTTCATATTTTTACAAATCTTGATATCTTAACACAAGTGGCATTGACACTTTTACTAAGTTTTGTCAATTAATTTATCATACAGTTTTCAAAATTGAGAAACAAGACTTAGTTGATACTTGATTTTCATATGATGAAGACATAATCTTTCAATCAGTTTAATTGAGGTCTGGAGCTGGCATGTCAGTAACTGCTAGTAGTCCTTTGTTAATTTATGTATCATTGTCATTTTGCTTAGTTTCTTTTGTTACCTATTCTGACATCGGACTCAGTCTTCTTTTATCGCTGTGTGTTTCTTTATTCTACATTGGCTAGAGGTATAGGGGGAGGATTGAGATCTCACAAAACATGTTTAACCCTGCCACATTTTTGCGCCTGTCCCAAGTCAGGAGCCTCTGGCCTTTGTTATTCTTGTATGTTTTTTAATTTTAGTTCATTTATATGTTTTGGAGTTTAGTATGGCGTCTATTTTCACTGAACTAGTACACATTTTTATTTAGGGGCCAGCTTAGGACCACCTCAGGGTGCAGGTTTTTCTCGCTGCGTTGAAGACCCATTCGTGGCCTTCGGCTGTTATCTGCTCTTTTGCCGGGTTGTTGTCTCTTTGACATATTCCCCATTCCATTCTCAATTTTATTAGTAATTGAAAGTAATTTTCAATTACTATCATTAACAATTAACAAGTGTAATACCCAAACATTGAAGGTCACATGCAGTTTCAAATTAAAATAGTACAAAAAAAAATAATCCCTTTGAACACTACAGTTGTAAGATTTCATTGCAAATTTTTGACATTTCTGTTGGATAATCATTAGATTTTCAATGGGAGGAAGATGCAGCTTTGAATGTTGCAATATTTGCTTTCACTTTAAAAAAAAATAGCTATAATTGTTTCCACTAGGGTCTGTGACAGATAATGTGTTTAATATTTAAGTTCTAATCTTAGGGAAAGTGACAACAATTTATTTTCACCAGAAATTAAAACTTCACTAACAAAACAACTGGGTCAAGATGTGCATTTCATTTCAGGTAGGCGGTAATGGTAGCCTTTCCCTCTATTCCTCTACCCATATTGTAAACTTGGATATGGATGATGGCTTGTTTCAAAGCTGAGACTATTTCACATATGTGATTGAATTTTCTGAATATGAAGTGAGATGCATTTTTCTGTTAATTAGCACACCCTGAAAAAGCCTTTTGTTATGCTGTTTTTCCAGGTGAAAAATCCCTTTTTTCACACATTAAGTTCTTTGCATATATTAAATACTCCATTGCTTTTACACCTTCTGCTCCCTAATTCAGCACAAATGGTTTAGCTCCGTCACTTGTTAAAATATGAAACATGTCCAATATCACTGCACAGAGATTTTTGTTTACACACTATTTTTGAGTTCCTCCATGTGAGGTGCATTAGGGATATTGACCAAACTCCCTTCTATGACATGGAGAATAAGATGATGATTTTTATACCTATTACTGTCAGAACAGTAGATGTCTCCTTAGAACACTGACAAGTCTCATATACCATACCACATAGAACAGTAGATGTCATCTAAAGAACACTAACAAGTCTCATATACCATACCACAAGAAACAGTAGATGTCTACTAATAAATGCTAACAATTCTCATATACCATACCACATAAAACAGTAGATGTCTTCTACAGAACCCTAACAAGTCTCATATACCATACCACATAAAACAGTAGAAGTCTCCTAATAAAACCTAACAGTCTCATATACCATGCCACAAAGAACAGTAGATGTGTCCTTATAGACAATAACTAGTCTCATATACCATACCACCTTGAACAGTAGATGTCTCCTTATAGACAATAACTAGTCTCATGTATCATACCACATTATCTATACTAATATAGATACTACGAGTAGAAAAGGAAATGTTCTACTTGAATGGAACACTTATCCTGCCATACTGGATACTTGATATCATACGCAAAACTTTATAATAACTATTCTAATTTTATTAACAAACTAATATACTAAGACACCATTGTATACACAGTATACTAGTATCATATTCACAATCAGTTCTAAATCTATTATACTGAATACATATGAAAATAATAATAAATGTATCATTTGGCTTTCTAGGGGGCTACTCATTAAAACTTACAATAATACTAATTAAAATAATCAAATCAAAAACATTACCTACTCAACATAATTTTAAATTAATTAAAAAATAAAATGCCTAAATTATGCAATTTTAAGAACCTGCAGTAGAGCCCTGACAGGTGAAAAATTTATTTTAGAACCTGACTGGTAGAACCCAGACAGGTATAAATTTGAAAAATGAGAATACCTGCGGTAGATCCCAACAGGTACTTTTAGAACCTGAGTGGTAGAGCCCAGACAAGTATGAATTTTGAAAACTGAGAATTCCTGCGGTAGATCCCAACAGGTACTTTTAGAACCTGAGTGGTAGAGCCCAGACAAGTATGAATTTTGAAAACTGAGAATTCCTGCGGTAGATCCCAGCAGGTACTTTTAGAACCTGAGTGGTAGAGCCCAGACAAGTATGAATTTTCGAAAAATGAGAATTCCTGCGGTAGATCCCAACAGGTACTATTAGAACCTGACTGGTAGAGCCCAGACGGGTATAAATTTGAAAAAAAGAGAATTCCTGCGGTAGATCCCAACAGGTACAAAAACTAACTTAATTATCACCCTTAAATAAAACAAAGCCTTAATAATTTATAAGATGTATTAATGAATTGGGGGAAAATAATTTCCCTGAAATGAAGTAGGCCAAATTGAATGAAAAACATAAAACTAAAACAACAAAACACATATTGTTATGAGTAGCCCCTTTTAAATAAACATATAAAAATTAATACACATTAATTCATGACTATTTAATTTTTAAAGGTGCAGCTGGGGAAACGGCGGGTGGGCTGAATTAATTTTCCACAAGTAAAAATATGACTGCTAACAGTGCAATGCTCAAACGACAACTGACCATCCTATCAAAATTATATACAGATGTTCTCTGATTACACCCATGCTGTCATCATGCTGTTTCCTATCTAAGATCTAGTACCTATCCCTTAATCTCTTAATTAAAACAAAACTGCCAATCTGCCAAGCTGACAAGCTGACCTTATCATTCATGAAAATAAAACCTGGGAAAGTACATACCCTAGGAATTTATCAAAATATGTATAAACTCTAATTTAATTTTTTAAATTTCCATTTATACCTATTACTGTCAGAACAGTAGATGTCTCCTTAGAACACTGACAAGTCTCATATACCATACCACATAGAACAGTAGATGTCATCTAAAGAACACTAACAAGTCTCATATACCATACCACAAGAAACAGTAGATGTCTACTAATAAATGCTAACAATTCTCATATACCATACCACATAAAACAGTAGATGTCTTCTACAGAACCCTAACAAGTCTCATATACCATACCACATAAAACAGTAGAAGTCTCCTAATAAAACCTAACAGTCTCATATACCATGCCACAAAGAACAGTAGATGTGTCCTTATAGACAATAACTAGTCTCATATACCATACCACCTTGAACAGTAGATGTCTCCTTATAGACAATAACTAGTCTCATGTATCATACCACATTATCTATACTAATATAGATACTACGAGTAGAAAAGGAAATGTTCTACTTGAATGGAACACTTATCCTGCCATACTGGATACTTGATATCATACGCAAAACTTTATAATAACTATTCTAATTTTATTAACAAACTAATATACTAAGACACCATTGTATACACAGTATACTAGTATCATATTCACAATCAGTTCTAAATCTATTATACTGAATACATATGAAAATAATAATAAATGTATCATTTGGCTTTCTAGGGGGCTACTCATTAAAACTTACAATAATACTAATTAAAATAATCAAATCAAAAACATTACCTACTCAACATAATTTTAAATTAATTAAAAAATAAAATGCCTAAATTATGCAATTTTAAGAACCTGCAGTAGAGCCCTGACAGGTGAAAAATTTATTTTAGAACCTGACTGGTAGAACCCAGACAGGTATAAATTTGAAAAATGAGAATACCTGCGGTAGATCCCAACAGGTACTTTTAGAACCTGAGTGGTAGAGCCCAGACAAGTATGAATTTTGAAAACTGAGAATTCCTGCGGTAGATCCCAACAGGTACTTTTAGAACCTGAGTGGTAGAGCCCAGACAAGTATGAATTTTGAAAACTGAGAATTCCTGCGGTAGATCCCAGCAGGTACTTTTAGAACCTGAGTGGTAGAGCCCAGACAAGTATGAATTTTCGAAAAATGAGAATTCCTGCGGTAGATCCCAACAGGTACTATTAGAACCTGACTGGTAGAGCCCAGACGGGTATAAATTTGAAAAAAAGAGAATTCCTGCGGTAGATCCCAACAGGTACAAAAACTAACTTAATTATCACCCTTAAATAAAACAAAGCCTTAATAATTTATAAGATGTATTAATGAATTGGGGGAAAATAATTTCCCTGAAATTAAGTAGGCCAAATTGAACGAGTAGCATGAGTGAAAGCCCCCAAGAAATGATACATGTACATATAAGTAAAAAATAATTCAATATATCCATTAGGAAGAAAAAGTACTTGAATATAATTTCATGTATGAAAATGAAAACAAACAATATCTACAATACTAAAATAATTAACAAAATGTAGTTCTTATAACTCCTTTGATATAGAACAAAACATGTATAAAAAATTAGGAACGACACATTTTGCTTTGTGCTTTACAAACAGTTTTTGGGTCAGTTCGAATGTAACGTATATAACAATCGGATGACCATCTACCTAATGTCTGGATAATATGATCCTCAACCCCTGCCGCTGCTGCTGATGTAGCAGCACCAATTCGAAAAGAATGACCACAAAATTTACTATCATTATACCCTAATCTGAACAGCAAATCTCGAAGCAGAGATATAAATGTATCTCTAGACAAAGGAGTGTTATTATACTCATCACTAACGAATAAATAGGAATCTGGTCTAGCTCCATAATCTTTTCGTACTTGTATATATCTTCTCATCAAATCAACTGGGTTGAAAATATCATTTTCAAAAATAGTAATGTTAATACCTTCTCGAAATGGGTCACATTTGGAGGAATTCAGATGTAATGTGAAATTTTGAAAATTTATGTCTAAATTAATATTTTGAATTAAAAGTATGTCCTGCCTTGCAATTTTACTACTATAGGTAAATTCACCACATCGGAGAAATCCAAAAAAAGCTAGATTAAATGCGCACTGCAACATTAAGTCAACGAATGGAGAAAAAACTCCTTGCTTAAACATACAGCACAATTGTTTTAAAATTTGAGATGTTATAGGTAATCTCTTTTGTTTAACATTACTCTGAGACTTTTTAATACCTCTTAATATACACTCTAAGCGTGCACAATTAGTCAAAGGGTCAGGATGCCCTATTCTTAAGTAATTATGCCTAATTCCTGCTAAATACAATTTAATTGTAGCATGGGCTAGCTTAAGAGAATTCTTGCAATAGGTTACAAAATAAATTAAACAATCTTCATCTATTATTGGCACACTATTTATATGATTCTGATTAGTCATAGCCATAAATGTTTTAAAACATTGAAAGCCAGAATTATAAGTCTTTCTAGTACTTATACATAAGGATGCCTCCCACAGTTCCTCAACTTGCTTAGTTAGACCATCATCAAAAGGGCTGGTGCTAGGCAAGGTGTGGGTTCTTGATCTGCTTTTGGTAGATGTTCTCTGATTACACCCATGCTGTCATCATGCTGTTTCCTATCTAAGATCTAGTACCTATCCCTTAATCTCTTAATTAAAACAAAACTGCCAATCTGCCAAGCTGACAAGCTGACCTTATCATTCATGAAAATAAAACCTGGGAAAGTACATACCCTAGGAATTTATCAAAATATGTATAAACTCTAATTTAATTTTTTAAATTTCCACTTATCTTATTATTATAAGGTTTCCAAAATTAACACCAAAAATAGCCTTTTATCAGGGAAAACAATGCTGAAGAAGGACAAGTTTACGGTTAGGTACTGGTATCTCCAGTATTTAAAAACAAAAGCAGAAGGGACAGTAATAGCCCTGGAGAATCTTCCCATACTTTACGTTTATGTACTTTCAAGAAACGTGACTGTTCTTAGTTTGGAGAATTACCACCAGAAACCAATTCTATAGACCATTTGATTGGTCATGAGACAAGAACTAATGAAGTTTATGGTGTACAGGTCTTGATCATTTTTCATTTATTTTACATTATATCTAATGGTAGTGGTTTGGATTGATCCCATAGGACTCACCCTATATGTCATTCACTTTATCTTTACACAAGAAACAAGAACATATTTGATTTATTGTTGGGATCTCAACCATTTTCAAGCTATTTGAACATTCTCAAAGGTAGGACAGGTATAACTCCTTGATGTTTACTTTTTATATTTTTCAAGTCTTTTTGGCACAAGAAACAAGAAAATATATGGTTAATGGATGGGATCTGAATAATGTTCTGGCGTCTGGCTTTCAAATTTTCGATCCTGATATCTATGATGAGTTTATCTACTTATTAAGTCTCCCAAACGAAGTTTGGGAAGACTTATTGTTTTTGCTCAGTTATTATTATTATTATTCTTCTTCTTCTTCTTCTTCTTCTTCTTCTTCTTCTTCTTCTTCTTCTTCTTCTTCTTCTTCTTCTTCTTCTTCCGCCGCTTTTAAATTTGAACTTGTCCGCACCCGTTCTCCAAAACCGCTTGTCAGATTAACTTAGGGTTTCACAATATGTTAGACTAACATGTCTAGTGGTGCAATCAGGGTTTTGTTTGTGCAGTGGGGTTTATAAAGGGGTACTTTGAGGGGCAAAAAGAAAAGAGGGTTTTACTATAGAACCCTATGGGATTTTATTTTTTTAAATTTTCAAATGATTATAAATTGAAAACCGTTTGTGATAGACACAATCTTTTTAATTGAAAATGTTCTAAATGATGAAGCCCATTAAATGAAATACAGGGTTAGTCCCCAGGGGTCACCCCCACCCCCTGCCATTTAAGAAAGTTCTAATACCTTGTAAGTGGTCAAGATCCCCACCCCTAAACCATATATATTTTGGTTTGTTATGCTAAGATGGTTTGAATGATATACAGGGTTAGTCCCCAGGGGTCACCCCGACCCCCTGCCATTTGAGAAAGTTCTAATAGCTTGTAAATGGTCGAGATCCCCACCCCTAAACCATATATATTCTGGTTTGTCATGACAAAGCACATCAAATGAAATACAGGGTTAGTCCCCAGGGGTCACCCCCACCCCCTGCCATTTAAGAAAGTTCTAATATCTTCTAAGTGGTCAAGATCCCCACCCCTAAACCATATATATTCTGGTTTGCCATGCTAAGATGGTTTGAATGATATACAGGGTTAGTCCCCAGGGGGTATCCCGACCCCCTGCCATTTGAGAAAGTTCAAATATCTTGTAAATGGTCGAGATCCCTACCCCTAAACCATATATATTCTGGTTTGTCATGATAAAGCACATCATATGAAATACAGGGTTAGTCCCCAGGGGTCACCCCCACCCCCTGCCATTAAGAAAGTTCTAATATCTTGTAAGTGGTCAAGATCCCCACCCCTAAACCATATATATTCTGGTTTGTCATGCTAAGATGGTTTGAATGATATACAGGGTTAGTCCCCAGGGGTCATCCCGACCCCCTGCCATTTGAGAAAGTTCTAATATCTTGTAAATGGTCGAGATCCCAACCCCTAAACCATATATATTCTGGTTTGTCATGATAAAGCACATCATATGAAATACAGGGTTAGTCCCCAGGGGTCACCCCCACCCCCTGCCATTTAAGAAAGTTCTAATATCTTGTAAATGGTCAAGATCCCCACCCCTAAACCATATATATTCTGGTTTGTCATGATAAAGCACTTCAAATGAAATACAGGGTTAGTCCCCAGGGTTCACCCCCACCCCCTGCCATTTAAGAAAGTTCTAATATCTTCTAAGTGGTCAAGATCCCCACCCCTAAACCATATATATTCTAGTTTGTCATGCTAAGATGGTTTGAATGATATACAGGGTTAAGCCCCAGGGATCCTCCCGACCCCCTGCCATTTGAGAAAGTTCTAATATCTTGTAAATGGTCGAGATCCCCACCCCTAAACCATATATATTCTGGTTTGTCATGATAAAGCACATCAAATGAAATACAGGGTTAGTCCCCAGGGGTCACCCCCACCCCCTGCCATTTGAGAAAGTTCTAATATCTTGTAAATGGTTGAGATCCCCACCCCTAAACCATATATATTCCTATTTGTCATGTCTCGAACATTTGAATGACATATACGGTCAGTCCCCAGGGGTCCCCCCCCCCACCCCCAATGTTCTAATATCTTGTAAATGGTTGAGATCCCCACCCCTAAACCATATATATTCCTATTTGTCATGTCTCGAACATTTGAATGACATATACGGTCAGTCCCCAGGGGTCCCCCCACCCCCAATGTTCTAATATCTTGTAAATGGTTGAGATCCCCACCCCTAAACCATATATATTCCTGTTCGTCATGTAATGAACATTTGAATGACGTATAGGGCCAGTCCCCAGGGGTTCCTCCCCACCCCCAATGTTCTAGTATCTTGTAAATGGTCGAGATCCCCACCCCTAAACCATATATATTCTGGTTTGTCATGCCAAGATGATTTGAATGATATACAAGATTAGTCCCCAGGCATCACTAATGCATATTACTTTACTGGACCAAACCAATTTTCACTGGAAGTTGCCCAATGTCAGGCGACCCTGGGAATTACAAATTATGGGAGCTTCGTTTGGGAGACTTCGTAACAGCATCCTGTTACATTCATTTCTTGTTCCTAAATTGCAATGTTTGGAGAGATGGTTCGACATCAAAATCTTCAGAGTCTTAGGAAGCTCCATGCCATACTACACCAGCTATGCTCCATCCTTGCAACTTGGTGGCCAAAGATTCTAGAACCATCTTTGACCACTAACTAACATAAACAGAATGGACCATTACTGTTACCAAAGAGAACTTGGCATCATGAATACTTAGTATACCACCGAAGGCCAAATAATGAGAGTTACAAGCAGGCTGAGTAGAACCTTCACCAAGTTTACAATCTTAAAAAAAAATTACTGACATTATGGAGAAAATAAAGATTACACAGAGCACATTCACGGATGAGCAACTAGATCGACGGATTTCAACTCGAGATCACCCCCAGTTTTTGTTTTAGTTCGTGTTGCTCACAGTCTTTAGATTTCCATGTTGTGTTGTGTATACTGTTTGTCTATAAACCGTTTTTCGTTTTTTGCCATGGCATTGTTAGTTTGTTTTTGACTTATGAGTGAGAATCCCTTTAATAGTATCTTTTGACTTTTGTACGTACATTTATGGACATCTTCTCCAAGACTGATGAGGACGTAGGTCATACAGATATCCGGAAACATCGCATCGATATAACAGATAACAGGCCTTTTAAACAACGTTATAGAAGAATTCCTCCTTCAGCATATGTGGAAGTTAGATACCATCTCCGATAGATCGCATTGCAGGGGTTATCAGACTATCTAAAAGTCCATTTGCCAGAAAGAAGGACAACACCCTGCGCCTATGTTTGGATTACCGTCAACTCCAAAATAGAACGAAAAGGACAGTTATAACTGTCCGAGGATTGAAGGTTTGTTTGATTGCCTTGACGGGAGTACCCTTTTCAGTGTTGTTGATACGAAGTCTGGTTATTATCAGGTGGTTCTGTACAAACCACACACGGAAAGGACTGTATTCATAATAGGACCTCAAGGCTTCTATGAGTACAACATGATGTCATTTGGACTCGCAACCTACCAGAGACTCATTGAAGACTGCCTAGCTGATTACCACCTAAGAATATGCTGTGTGTTTATAGACGATGTGATCATCTTTGGGAAGCCTTACCAGGACCATCTTCACAACTTGCAACTGGGAATTGACCTCATAAAAGGCGGACCTGAAGTTGGCACCTAAGATATGTTCTTTCTTCCAACGAAAGGTGGCTCCTTGGACACATTGTTTCAGAGGTTTGAGTGGAAGTTGATCAGAAAAGACGGAGAAGAGCATGGACTCACGGATCTGAATACTACTAGTAACTACTAGCTTCATCAAGAACTTCAGCCAAGTCAGCAGACCGTTGGTAGAGCAAACCGTTGATAAAGTTAATGCCAATTCCAACAGGTGAAAATGTAAGAAAAAAGAAAAGTAGAAAAAGAAACAACAACAAATGACACTGGGGAGAACAACAAGACCAGGCATTCGGGGATCTGAAGTAACTTCTAATATGAGTTTTTTAGTACCCTGACTACAGTTTGTATTATGAACTTCACACAGATGCGTCTGGTATTAGACACAGTTCTGTGCTTTACCAAGAACAACCGGGCGAGAAACATGTCATATGTTATGGCAGTAGAAGACTTACCAAGGTTGAGAAGAATAATCCAGCACACACGATGGAGATCTTAGCTGAAGTGGGCAATCACAGGCAAGTTCAGAGATTATCTGTATGGATCTACCCATTTTACAGTGATAGTGAATAGTCGACAACAATCCCTTGACATATGTTCTAACTACTGCCAAACTGAATGCCACAGGACACAGATGGCTAGCCGACCTTGCGATCTACATCGTTGACATCATGTATCGTCCATGGAGAAACAACTCTGATGCTGACGCCTTAAACAGACTTCCCAATGGCATTGTCGAGATCAACAGCAACACCTTCAGAGCCATCTACAATTCAGTGACATCAATACCCTATCCAGAATGCTTAGTAGTCACTGCAGATGTACTCCAAGAGGAGGAAATTCTGAATGGAGCATCTACTAGTGCATAAGACATTTTAGATTGCAAAAAAGCTCAAGGACAAAACACAGTCAGTACCATCATCTGAAGATCGTAGATGGCGTATTATATCAACAGGTCACTATCAACCACGAAATCAGAGAAAACAGCTTGCACTTCTAGCACCACATCTGAACCCAACACTCTGCATGCACTACATACGATATGGGACACCCTGGCAAAGTCCTATATTGTCACTATCTACTGGCCTTTTATAGCCAATGATGTTGATTAATGGAAATCACACAGTCATTGATAAATATATTCGAAAAAGACAATAAACACTTCCCAACCAGAGAGCTACGCTACCTATTAGCATAACGACAACTACACAATGCAGCTAGTGTGCATGGACTATCTTACTTAAAAGCCATCCAGAGGAGGTCAACAACACACCCTGTTCATCACAGACCATTTTACCAGATTTGCACAGGTCATTCCCTTCAAGAACAACAAAGACAACAGTTGAACCCTTCTATCAGCATTACATAGTGCATTATAGAATACCAGACGATTCATTCCATTCAGACCAAGGCATTAATTGCCAAAGATCAATAAGGAGTTATGCAGTCTGACAGAGAGGACTTGCACCATCAGCTATCATCCCATTGGCAACTGAATGTGCGCTTGTGACCCTCAACCAGACAAGAAGAACTGGAAAGCTTATGTTGGGCCACTTGTCCACGCATACAACTGTACAAAGCATGAATCTACTTTGTTTGCGCCGCATTATCTTATGTTTGAAAGAGGTCCGTGGATGTAGCATTTGGAATACGGAAAGACACAGGATCCAATTGCATCAATGATCTTAGAGAACGGTTGGAGTTTGCGACTGAATCATCGAAGAAAGCACAGCTGAATCAGAAGACGAACTTTGACACCAGAGTAAAGGGAGCTTCTATCAAGAAATGATATTTTATACTGTTGAAGATATTTGTATTTGAAGGCAAGTGGGAGCAGTATCCGTATCTTGTGCTTGGTCAACCGAATCCGGTCATACCGGTCTTCTCATTGAGAAAGGAGGATGGAGGACACAAGAGGAACCTTCACAGAAGGTTGTTGTTGCCAGTAAATCATAAAGTCGAACCAACCAAATCGGTGCCTAAACCCAGAAACCAATTAAGAAGGAACCACCGACACCTGTACCAAGACTGAAAGAAACCAGTAACAGATATCCAGTCATCTATGATGAGAATATTATAGGCATTATATTGGAGCCACCAGATGAGAATGATACTGTAAATGTTTTGTGTCATATATGTATTCATGAAGTTCTTCCCGCGACCCGTGAAAAAAAAAAATTGGAAATGTCTTTTTACTGAAAGATCTGCGCATAGTTAAACTAGCCCTCGAACAAGATGGATTCATTTTTGTTATCCACTTCTTTAATGCTAGACCCGAATATGGATGAAATATTGTTCATTGGACATTAAGCAGATAAAAACTTATCAATCAATCAATTCTACTAAAACATTGTACATTTTTTCGATTATTATTTAAAGATGTACCAAACTTTCTTTCTTTTTACGATAACATTACTACAGTACCAATTTACAAGATTATTTACTCTGGAATTTAAGGTGGTACCAAACACCTTGACCAAGGATTTGTATAGTAAGACTTACTATACAAATCCTTGCCGTGACTAAAATTTATTTGGGTCGTTTAATTTTCATAAAATTTGGCAAAAATATAAAAATTTCAAAAAACTTGAACCACACATTTTATAGGAAAAATTTCATTGGATATTTAGCAGTTTGACAAACACTAATTTTGATCATTGAGAAGCTTAATATTTCCTTAACAATAGAACGTGATTAAAACGTTCAGTTGATTTTCACAGAGTTATCTCCCTGCGGTGTTATGTAACTAACATCTTTTAAAAGGGCAAACGATACAGTTTAGATCCCTCGGTGATTTTTTTACGAAAATTTGCATACAAGCTATTTTTCACCTAGTCAATTTAAATATGTAATAAAAAATATACCTTCATGTGCTACTTTAAGAGATAAATGGGGTCGAAAATTTAGACATTTACTCAAAATTTCTGGTTTTTTTGACATTTCTATCCTTTGGATAGACATATCTAACTTTTTTGTTTCAAAATATAAACACAAGCGGATTTTTGTAAAAACATTCGTAAATTCTTCTCTGCATAAGTATGCTCTAAATTTGTATAACAATTCTTTGGAAATAATTAATTTTTATCAAAGTTTCATGATTTTAGGAAAAAAAAACGGCCTTTTATGCTGTATAGTTTATCTAATTTAAAAAAATTTCATCGGTGACTTTTTCATAAAAATTGGTACAAATAATCTTCATACGTAATAAAACCTAATGTCATTTAAAAAAAAAGAGGGGTATTGTTTATTATTTATATTTAATTTAAACGATTAATTTATCTCATAGGTACATATTATAATTAAGTACAAATAAGTACATAAGATACGTAAAAAAATCTTAAATTATACACCTGCATCAAACATTTAAAGATCATAAAAGAAGATGTAACAGGGGGTGTCGTCCTTGATATGCTAAAACAAAAACATAAGTATTCTTTTGTTAATTCCAAGTTTTGTGTGGAAATTTGGCTGTACCTGTATAATTCATATTAAAACGGAATATCACATCCTAACTTGTGTACGGTGATAATGTTTATAGAGCCCGTAGATTTGACGATCTATGTAAACTCATTGACCCTTTGAAAAACTTATTCTTAAAGGTTATCAATTTACACCATAGTTAATGCTTGAAATATTGTTTTTATCGGTATCAAAATTGATTTTTTTTTATATAAATTAAAACATTACTACATATGTATTGCTTTGCAGTTATGAATATATATGATCCTACATTCTGTCGATACCGTTTGCTCATATATTGGCATTGCGCAAGGTCATACCTTTTTCTTTGACTGTTTATGACGTCTTAACACTAAATCCGTTGCATGTGTACTGATTAATATTTTAGTCTGGGAGAACATGATTTATTCATTAGTTGACATTGGTTTTGAACGAGATTTCATTACAACTTAGTTATGAATGAGGCCGTTAGTTTACTCACATCACTATTTGATTCAATATTGCAAATGACATGTTTTTTGTTAAATTTGGCACCAAAGACATCTTTATTTGTACTGACTTGATTTGTATACCTGAGGAACAATATTTAGCTTCGACTTCAAATATAATTTTGGGTTTGTTTTAAATGTCTTTCTTATATATGCATTTTGGGTGATAAATGATACCTTTCTCGTTTTGGGTGATAAATGATACCTTTCTCGTACTTACGATACTTAAAAAACTACATAACCACATCTTACTTACAAATATGATACAGTGAAGCACTCCAAAGCTTTTTATAAAGCTAAAACTTGTTAATGAATTGTTTTATTGGATATTTTGGTTTAGATCGATTGTGTATATTAGTCCTTTCTTTAGACAAAAATAAATTAACAGGGAAAATTGTTTGTGACGTAGTTTTTTCAGTAAAATTAATTGGTTTGTTAAATCACAGTGCCACGAAACTATAGAAACTGGTCCATATTTTAATTGCGTGTTTCGAAATAAAACTCAGGAAATGGAAAAATCATTGGAACATTGAATGAGAAAATATCATTCTACATCTTTGGATCGAAAAATCAACAACCGGCCTATTGTAGTGCAATTTCAATCAACAATATCAAGACTATAGAACCAACTTGAAATCAATCTGTGGCTATTAATGAACAAAAACTTCTACAATGGATTGAGATACCAAAAAGTGATAACACTGGGTGTTTCCAAGGACGCTCACGTACTGCAATTACGTACTTCCGTCTCTGGCATGTTTCGTACTTAGTTCCTCTAAAGCTGACTGCCATCTCTGAAGTCAGTGGTGCAAAGAGATAAAGACGGATTTTCCAATAGTAATTTACAGTAACTGTAATTGGAAGTTATGATTTCAATTTTTCTCGATGGAGAATAGCGATTTTATTAAAGTACTAAGTGAATGCTATATGATTGTTACAAGTTGAAGTATATTTTCTGTTAAATATTTTATTACACATATTCTATCGTTTTAATTTTATACTTCATGCGTCGTGATATGTCAAATAATTTTCAGTATTTGGAGATATTTAAGTCAATAGAAAATGTGTTGAAAATAATTCACTGATGCTAGCTACATAAAAATGTCAGGTGCTTCGGAAAAGAGAACATCTGCAGCTGCAAGGAGAAACACAGAAGGTAAACTCAAATTAGTGAGGTCTAAATCGAAACTTCCAAGTGACGATTCAAAAGGAAGAGAATTTGAAAAGGGAACGTTTGTTGGACGAAAAAAAGAACCTTTGAAATATGATAAAAATCTACATAAAGATCAAGAACAAATAAAAGTAACTAATATGGCAGGGGATGATAAGTCTTTTAACGATTCCTCGACTACTGTAAACATTAATTCTGTCTTGAAATATGACAAATCCGAACCAAATCAAAATGGAGGAGTACCAAAAGTGTCAGATGTTTCTTCTAAAAATAACCATGTCAAAGAAGAAAAAAATGAAATAAAAAGGGCTACCAAAAAGGATTCCGAAAAGAGAATTCTGATTCCAAAAGAAATTACAAAACTTTCAATTGACAACCAATCTGAAGCATCGGCCGACGGTGCTATTCAGTCGACATCCGTGTCAGTACCGATCGAAAAACCGCGATATATTATAGCTCATAATGACTCCTGGATAATGTCAGTGATCCCATACCTTCCATTAGGACTTGCTGTTGTTTATTTGATTCTAAATATTGTTATACCGGGATCAGGTTAGTAACACTTTTAAAACAACATTTTCATTTAATTTTATCAACAGAATCATCCATGTACAACTTTTTGCATTTCACTTAGTGATAATTTTTAATGCAATTAAGTTTTGAAAACTATGCATTATTTAGTTTTTTAGTTATGCATTAGGTAGTTTTTTAGTTATGCATTAGGTAGTTTTTTAGTTAAGATATGTTCTTGTTTACCTTTCTTTCAACTGCTAGAGATCGCGCGGGTTCGATACGCGAACGGGCCAAACTAGTTTCAAACTTGCATTCGCGATTAACCGCAAATCAATGGAAATAAGGAGGAGTGAAAAATAGTCAGATAATATGTCCATGTAGGCTGACATTTGTTCATGCGGAAGACCCAGTTTGTCGGTATCGTACCGATCAGAGTTTATTCATATGTCATTAAAGTTTTATCTTCTTGAATGTACATGTAATGTTTGCAGCACCATACTTAGATCGGTATTTTGTGTCTATAGTGTCATTTTATATACCCGTAAGGGGCGTCTTATGGTATAGTACCGTAGTCCATATCCGCCCATCCGTGTGTATGTCAACACTTCATGACAATAACTCAAATTTTTGCTTTAAAAGATTCCCATGAAATATTGACACAACAATAGGATTGACGAAAAAAAGCTCCCTTTCGAGTTGGAAAATATTTGATCTTTTGTTCCAAAGATACCTTAACCTAATTGATTTAGGGCATGTTTACACATATAGCACAATAACTCGGGTTTGCTTAGATCAATTTAGTTTTACTGTAAACTATTGTTGGGATTGATAAAAGAAAGCTCCTTTCGATTTTGGATTGTTTTAATTTGTCGTTCCAGAGTAACGGAAATAAAACTGTCTGATTAAAGCCAATTTTTCACATGTGCGCATTGATAAGAATATATTGAGTTTGATTTTACTCCAAACTTAAGGCTGTTATTGTGTTTGATTAAAGGAAACTCGTTTTTTTTCTGGTTTGTTGTTCCAAAGTATCAGGACTTCAAATGTCAGATTTTAGCTAATTTTTCATATGTTGTATTACATAAGTGTTAGAATTGGTAAACCTTATGTGTTAGGTACCTTTTGATTTTGAATTATTTCTGATTTTGTATTCCAGAGTTATAAGTCTTAAACTGTCAAGTTTAAGGTGTTTTTTCACGCGTCATGTACTCGCTCTAGTAATACGCTTTGATCAAATTACTACAAACTTTCAGATGTTGTTGGGCTTGTCGACAGTTACACAATTTCAATAGGCCAAAAGGGTGTACCAACCGGTTTTGGTTTGTTTCATCTTTGAAGGCCCACGCTGACCTATAGGTGCTTACATTCACGTCAGTTGATCTCTGTTGGATAGTTGTCTAATTGACAATCATACCACATATCCTTATTTTCATATCAATCATTCAATTAATTAATCTTTTTTGTCAAAATGTAAAATTTGTTTATTCCGAGTGCCCGAACTGAACTTAAACCTAAGCGTTCTGTATTACTTATAGATCACATAATAAAAAACTAACAAATATATATCACTTTAGTCTAGTCACATTTGATATATGTTCCTTTTTCCTTTACTATTCCCGTGTATTTACCACATCATTCGCCAGAAGCAGAGACCATAGGGAAGAAAAATACTGTACCAAAATTAAACATTGAAAACACAGTTGTTACCTCTTCTGTTCGATTACAAGTACCAGCTAAGATAACATATATTTTTGACTAGATCGGTGTTTTTCCCGAGAGAGAATAGTTTATGTAAACATTTTGTTATTTCTACCCATTAGACTGAAACCCTAACTTCCTCTGGCGATGGTTTTCCTATTTTCTCTACTTTTAAATTTTATTATGTAATAAAGCAAATGTTCTTTCTGTTGTTGTTTTTGTTTTGTTCGAGTGGGGAAAAAAACTTGGCTTATTGAATCTTGTGGTCGTATTTAAGAGTTGTAATGTATACTTTACAAAATATGTGATTAAAATACATCCATGGAACTTCCCTGTAAACCACAATATGTATTTCCACAGCCAAGACTTACAAATCAATTGAAATAGAGGGTGTCGCATGCAGAAAACTAACTCATCGACGTTTAACGGAACCTGATTTTGTTATCAGTAACATTACATATCACATTGGTTGTTTTTGTGCTCTTTTAGTAGTTTTTGTTTGTAATGCTTCTGTTCTGATGGTCAAAACTTTTTTTATTGTTGAAATTTTCAATGTTGAAAAACAAAAGAATCAGACTGTCATTTCAAAACTTGAAAAACAGTCTTGTATAATCTTTGTTCTAAAATATACTTTAACAGGGATTATCAACGGAGTACCGAGTGTCAATTATAGAGCAAGAACATTTGACCAGCCATAAGCATCTGAATTATGCCGCAATTTTGAGTAGTTCGATTCATTCGTTTTCTGTGTAGTGTTTCGTAGACCGCTTTTCCTATTTGTTTTCTGTTCTCATTTTTGCTTTGATGTTTAATGTCATCCACGGCTGATTGTGACTGTTTCCTTGATATCTTTTACTTTTTTACATCACAGTCTTATACGAATAAACAATACACCAATGTAGCAAATAAGTGTGATCTGCAACATGGGTCAACCGAGATGAAGGATGGTAAACCTGTACAGTCGCTGCAAAAAGAGGCGGAGGATACCAAAGGGACAATCAAAACTCACCAGTCATATATATACCGACACAATCATTGCATAATTCGAATAACGACGAAAAGACAAACAGCATCCTACAAAACATTACATAACAAACAAAAGACTGAGCAGCACAAACTCCACTAAAACCGGGGAGGGGGGTCTCAAGTGCTCCGGAAGGGTAAACAGAAGAATAAAAATAGAGTATGTTGGACACCTGCTAGTCATGTCATATCTTTTGCATTCCGCACATTCATACCAATGCCCACCCCTCAGCAGATAAGTCCGTCTGACCTATGAGACTGGGGGATTCACAGTCTGATAATTACCAAAGTGGTTATCATAACTGATTGTTTGTTCAAAACACTTTAGTTCTTATAAGGTTATCAATTTGACATTAAAAAATGTTGTATTCTAGAAAATTATTGACTGTTGTTTAGACTTCTATTATCTATTGTCACAATTAATGCTTCACCTATTATAATTAAAAGAAAGGTAACTAAAATTCAATCACCTGTAGTTGTGAACTTGTAATTGCGACAAGATAACAAGTTTATCAGTGACAGTTTTTAATCGATTTCCAATGTATCCCTCTTCCAGAAACATGCCTTAATTACTTATTTAATGATTATTGTATGAAATCAGGACAGGGTGACCAAATTAAAAGATTCAGTTGAATACTGATAAAGTATTTTACATTTAACAAGTATTACATTGTCGGAAAAAATCCAAGACAATACTTGAAAAACAGACCAAACCAAACTGACCCCCCTCAAAAAGTAAATGAAAGGGGAGTAAATATTAAAAAAAAACCTTACTAAAGGCAGTAAATTCTAGCGCACTGTAAATCTAAGTGTTAATAAATAGAACACTGCTTGAACGTTTTATTGTAACACTTTTTGAACGTGTAATGGTGTTCCAAATGTTTACACTAGTGTTCATCAATTGAATGTGTGGTGTTCAGTTTTTAATGCCTTTGTGTTTCATTTTTGAACACTTGATGTTAGAGTTCTTAACACTTAGTGTTCAACGATTTAACGTGTCCGAATGTTCAAAATCTTAATACGTCGACGCGTTCAACAGCCATGTAACACTTTTTGAACACATAGAACATGTTTAAAGCCAAAGTGTTAAGATTCAGAACACCAGACGTTAACTTTCAGAACAGTTGACATAAGTGTTCAAAGTGATGGTGTTCAAATGTGGAACATGTTCTATTTTCAAGCGTACATAATTTTCCTTAAGTACTCAACTTAAATAAACTGTTATAAAAACTATATTCAATCAGGCAAAATATAACAATAAAACATATTTTAACAAGTAATTATTCTTTATGTAATCAACTGAGCATATTATATGTAAGAAAAGTACACCAGATACCTTATGATATCACAAGTAACAGTCAGTGAAATCACATACATAATGTTTTTAAACTGACTTAATATATATCACAAATAATGATTTTCCCCTACATGACTAGATAGTTGCAACATCATTTGTATCCTAACCAAAAAAGCATGTCAATGTGATAATTAGATAGTTTATGATATAGGTATTTGTCACAATGAAAGTTTAAAAGTTTGCAAATTCCAACAGTTCTTGTACGATCACATACAATGTACGCTCCACTTTTCAGTGCATCTTCACTTAAAGCTATCAACTGGGTGGCATTTTATGTGTTGTTATCAACTTCCAATGTCAAAATCCTCCACAACAAGGAATGTCTATGAGCCTATATATCCTGCAAAATAAAATTAAAAATTGATAGAAGAGAGTTTTTCATAAATCATCAAATTATGCAATGCTTGTTATGCTTTAATGTCGATATATACTAGTGTACAAATTGATATTCTATAGCAATGAAATGCAAGTTTTGACATTATAAATTACAAAAGTAGATTTCTTGACCTAAGGTGAACAGATAGAAATGATACACCCACATAAGCTATTAATATACATATATTGTCATACCTTTTTTCGACATCTTTCTTTTTTCCACCACTTTATAGCATGCAGAAATGACCTTTTTAGGATTATTGGCTACCGGTTCCTAATTCAAACATTTTAATCTAACGATTCCTGCAAATAAAAAAAACAAATGCATATTCTAAGTCAAAAATGGTGTTCCAAATGTTTGCACTAGTGTTCATCAATTGAATGTGTGGTGTTCAGTTTTTAATGCCTTTGTGTTTCATTTTTGAACACTTGATGTTAGAGTTCTTAACACTTAGTGTTCATCAATTGAATGTGTGGTGTTCAGTTTTTAATGCCTTTGTGTTTCATTTTTGAACACTTGATGTTAGAGTTCTTAACACTTAGTGTTCATCAATTGAATGTGTGGTGTTCAGTTTTTAATGCCTTTGTGTTTCATTTTTGAACACTTGATGTTAGAGTTCTTAACACTTAGTGTTCATCAATTGAATGTGTGGTGTTCAGTTTTTAATGCCTTTGTGTTTCATTTTTGAACACTTGATGTTAGAGTTCTTAACACTTAGTGTTCATCAATTGAATGTGAGGTGTTCAGTTTTTAATGCCTTTGTGTTTCATTTTTTAACACGTGATGTTAGAGTTCTTAACACTTAGTGTTCAGCTAATGTATGTGGATGTCGAAAATCATCATTTATTCTGTATAACAGACAGACTGTTTATTCATCAGTTTAGGAAATCATCAGAACAAAGCTGACAGTTATTTACGTTTATATCTACAGCCCGTTTTTTAATTCGTCTTTTATGTTGAATATTGAAAATTTGGATATAACAGTTATGAATATTTGACAAATATATATCTGGCATGAGAAAATAACAAGGAAGCCATCGAACTACCTATGGAGATTATTCTAACTTGTTACTTACTTCTTTCGTGTTCATATGGGATAGAAGTCCCTTCTCCAGTTCTCTTTCTTATGTGTATCCATTCTTCGTTTAACCGCCTAAATCGCCAGCCGATATCTGTTTCCGGTATTTGGTATCCTGGTATATTTTTTTTAACACGAGGTGTTCAAAATTTCGAGAGATTTGAACACTGATTGAACATGTAATGTTAATAAAATGAACGGATCATGAAATAAGATAAACATCGACATATTTTTATTACGATATTATCATAACAGGCCTCATTGATATGCATAATTATGTCACTTATAAGTAAAACTAGTATATATAAATAAATAATAAAATAACTTCATAAACTATACATATATGCCAGCTTGGAAGTTTAATATTTCACAATTACTAAAATATTAGCCAAAAATTCACAAGATCATCATAATGCGTATACATTCATATTTTTTAAAGAATTTCTTTTTGAATTTGCCAATTGGAAGGATAGAAAATCGGACAAACGACTATCTTCTTTTTTAGATCAGAATTTGAACACCGGTGTTCACTGCGTCTGAACACACATGTTAGTATTTTTAGCACAAACGTTAAAACTTTGAACACGTCTCTAAGCATGAACATATGACGTTAAAATATTGAACATTCGGTGTACAAATTTTGAACGCGTCCGGTATATTTACAGTGCGCGACAGTGCAGAGTGGCGAAACATTTACCGAGATAAGTGGATAAAATGAACACTATTATATTATGAAATTGTTCGCTGAATCCATTACTGCAAGATTCTCCCTTTTATTTTCAGTATTTCACGTTGATTCATCCACGGTATCGTGTAATACTTATAACTACCACCCACTGAGTTGGTGCCATTGTAAGTAGATCCCTGGGGTATTAGACAAGCTTTAAAACTAGGATGATATAACATTTATATTGCCATGTTGACAACAAAGGTATTGACGGTGTCGTCGATCTATTTATTTTTGTTGACTGGGGTATCTAGTGTCCCGATTAATTTGAGAAGATACAAAACACTATATTTGACAAGAAATATTAATAGCAGCATTTTTTAGAAATTTCCTAAAAGTTTACTATAAAAACTAGTAAGTATTTGTTCAAAATGTATGTCTTGATATTCTTTTTTTTTTAATATGAAAATGGCAACAGACGCTTATCAACGGCTGTATTTTGGTTTAAAGTAAGACCACATTCTTTTCACTTTCTAATTATAGGAACAATTCTTAGTGGATTTTCAATTCTGTGTTGTGGAAAATGTCGAGTTCAAACTAAAGATGACCAGAGACTTGTAACATTGTGTGTCAATGTGTGTGTTGGTGTATCACAATTGTTTACTGTAACATTCTTGTTAGTTGGTTGGTTTTGGAGTATTGCTTGGGGGGTCAACATGGTTTTACTAGCTGGTAAGTAAATCATTTATAATTTATCATGGACAGAAAAATCAGACTACCATTTTACGGCGTCCGCAAGAAATTTTATTAAACGAAAGCATACCGCCACTATTGAACCTTGGTTAATTTTAAAACAATTTTTAATATTTTCAAAACAATCAACGGAAATGGGAACATAGTGTGGAAAACTACACGTCAGATATTATTCTTATACAACTGTTCTCTGTTCTTATTTTTTATCTTCATCTGTACTGAACTGTTATCATTCTTTAACTCCGAGAAGTGAAGTGATAATCTTGTATGCAATAACACCCTTTCTTTTACATTTCAGTCGAACTAAGCAGACAGAAGAAACAACAAAGAGAACGTGAATTACAAGCTAATGTGCTAAATGCATTTGGAAATTCAATGCCAGTAAAATCGCTCTTTCCTGGAATGAAATGAAAAATTGATTTTAAAATCAACTTCATATAAACTTCAAATATGTTTGTCTTGCGTACTGATGCATTAGAAAAGTATGGATTTGTTATAGTTCTTATGAAACCAGATACTTCATTAAATGTTGAACATGCAAAACATGACGTAACTGTTGGCAGGTTATTCAAAATGTTTTTAATTCCAAATGTGTTTAATTCCTTATTATGTATCGTTATTGGTAACATTAAGATTTTGAATCTGTATATATATATATAAAACGTCTGAATAATAGTCAACGATTTTTCCCACGAGGGCGCTGGATCGTTACGAGTAACGATACATGTACACAATAAATAAATTATATAAACGCCTAAAAAGTGTACACAACAACACCAACAACAAAAAAAGGAACTATAAATGTAATTATTTATAAATATTTCGGATAACAGATATCCTTCATCAGTAAATATGATTGTGATGTTGAATGAATCATATATCAGTCTACCTAGATTAAACTATAACAATCTTGAAATTTATACAATAAAAAAGTCAAACCGAACATCAGGTAAGACGCTTGCACAATTCTAAATATTTGTTAAACACGACATAGGTTATATGACTAATTACAACAGAGAGTTCAAATATATGCTTTAACTAAAAATAATAATGTGCGATATGAACTAGCACAATTCTAAAGCTTTAACGGTGACGACAGTTATGATGTTACAATAACGATTGCGTCAATAAGAATTCCAAATAAACAGCACTGAACGATCTAAATTTGTAAATATTTCAAATTTGACAACGGTAGAGTAGATCATTTTGTTAGATATACTGTTCCCAGAGTAGATACAAAAGAGTCTGCGTATTTAAACATCGCAAACAAACGGCCGTTAAAATATAAAAATAAATTTTGACTAAGGTTAACTAGTTGAACGTGGCTTGGTACTTTTACATCCCTCAAAAAATTAAGCAATTTAAATTGGTATATTCAACAGATTTATTTTAGAGATGAGTAAGGTAAAGAAATATAACCCAAATGTGAAGCACTGCATGGAGTCGAACTACATCTTTTCATTTATCCCATTTATTTGGAATTCTTATTGACGCAATCGTTATTGTAACATCATAACTGTCGTCGCCGTTAAAGCTTTAGAATTGTGCTAGTTCATATCGTACATTATTATTTTTAGTTAAAGCATATATTTGAACTCTCTGTTGTAATTAGTCATATAACCAATGTCGTGTTTAACAAATATTTAGAATTGTGCAAGCGTCTTACCTGATGTTCGGTTTGACTTTTTATTGTATAAATTTCAAGATTGTTATAGTTTAATCTAAGTAGACTGATATACTACAATCTTGAAAACAATTAAAGATACTATTGGAACCTTCTACAGATAAATAAATATGGCTAAAATCGTCAATCGACTCGTAAAGAATTTATTGTCCATAAGTAACGAATTTTACACATTTTGGTTGGCTATGATCTTACGATAATAGTTTGCCAATGAGGCAACTATCTAACGGAGTCCAAATGCAGCAGATTTAAGCAACTATAGGTGTCAGACCACCAATTCAGTCCCTATGTAAAAGTAGCCCTACTCTGACACAAAATAGTGCTTTTGATGTCATTGTTTACTTTAACTAACCAACGCATTTGCAGAAATGAAACTTTTAGTGAAAGAGGAATATATTTAGACCATTTCGAGCCAAAATTTACTTGTCTATGAGTTTGCATTAAAAATTGAGGATTAATGCGCTCCATAGTATACTTCTTTAAGATTTCCAGAAAACCAGGGGTTATTTTAGTAGTACTCGGCTTACGAAAGGCAGTTCTTTTTTATAAGACTTTAAACATGGGTTGCAAATTGGCATGTAGACAGGTGATACATGTACAATTCAGGATATACCTGGTTTCTATGAAGTTAAACTTAAGGTAAAATATTAAGAAAGCTGTGAAAATTGCAAAATTTGGTTGAATAGATAGGATTGGTGGTCTGACACCTATAGGTCACCATACGGCTCCCAACTTATTTGTAAATTTTGTTTTGCTGTTTATTTTAGCTGTTTATAGTTTCTCTATAAAGGGATAACATCATCATTAAAGGGCTTTAATCATTATAAGGAGCTGACTGACAATTTGGTCATGTTGATTTATTTGTAGATCTTTGCAAGCTGTTCACTAAGTGACTTTTCCTGTGTACTGTTTTCCTCTAATTTGCAACGACAAAATTGCAAAAAAAAAAAACCTTACAAAAATAATGTAATAGAGAAAAAAGATAGCAGGAAATAACGATAAAAGTGAAATTCGAGGAGAAACGGACAATACCATTATCGAAAGGAAAAACGGACAATACCATTATCGAAAGGAAAAACGGACAATACCATTATCGAAAGGAAAAACGGACAATACCATTATCGAAAGGAAAAACGGACAATACCATTATCGAAAGGAAAGACGAGGAAAAGACATAACGACAAATGAGGGTAGTTCTATGTCGATGCTTAAACAACTTACTGTTGGTGACACTTTGAATCAAAATCGGGGATTATAACTATACATAAATTATGTTGAGTATGTGGTAGGAAATATACATTTATGCATTTATTTAAAACGTTCAGAAAAATAGATAGTTACGAATGAATTTAAGCCATAAATTAGATAATTTCTGATGAAAAGAAAATGACAATAATTAAATACGTTCCCGACTCTTTTATACACAAAGGTTCCTGCAACCTACGAATAAGCACTGCTATTCAAGTAAACTTTTATCATTATTGTTTAATACGCCCTTTTACTGGACGTATTATGGTATACCATTGTCCGTTTGTCGTCAACATGTCGGACAATAACTCAAACACGCTTTAACCAATTTTCATTAAACTTAAGTAAAATTGCTTATATCTATTCACTAAAGCTCCCTTTCGATTTTTATAAATTTTAGATTTTACCTTTTGGAGTTACTGGTTTTTATTTATAAAAAAAGGAGGGTTTTCTAGTTTTCGAACAATAACTCAAAAATGCTTTAAGCAGTTTTCATGAAACTTTGATGACTGGTTTGTATATTTTAGGATAAGCTCCCTTTAGTTTTGTTTTTTCATTAATTTCTGATATGACATTGAGGAGTTATGAAACTTTATTCGTTAAAAAAGGGACGGGGGTATCATTCGCTCATTGTGCAGCTCTTTATTTGTATTTGTTGTAATACTAGTAATAAGACATCACTGCAAACACGCATACATTGAACCAACGAACCGAGAAATGTTTAAAGAAAAGAGAACACCAAGAACGGAACATTAACAATAGGACAGGGAAACTATCCAACTATCGTTTATTGGTATGAAGATTACCTCGACAAATTATAATTATTGGATGTAGTACAGAAAGAGCCAGTCGAGGTTGATAAGTTCCACTTCTATGTTTAGACCTGGATTGTTTTCAGAGAATATATCGTCTGTATATCTGCAGGGATTGTAAAAAAATATCTCAACATAAGTTTCCTTTGGTCACATGTTTTATGATGTTAGTCGCTGGCCTGCCATAAATAAACTCATCATAGATAACAGGATTGAAATTTTATATTTACGCCAGACGAGCGTTTCGTCTACAAAAGACTCATCAGTGACGCTCGAATTAAAACATATTAAAAAGGCCAAAATAAAGTACGAAGTTGAAGAGCATTGAGAACAAAAAATTCCTAAAAGTTTTGCCAAATACAGCTAATCAAATAAACAACTTCTCAACAGCAAAGGAATAATTCTGCAACAGGCGAGGCATTGTAAGTCCCATCATAATTCCAATCACTCGACAATATACTGCATCTACAAAACGAGCATAAATATCTGTAGGGCAAAAAAGAAATAACCTTCTTTAATATTTTCTTTCCATGTCGATCCATGCAATTAGCGTTTTTTTTGTTTTTTTTTTTTTTTATAACTGGCAAAAGGAATCGTAGTAACCGCAACAGATGTTGTTGCAACAAGACCCCTTTTTAACAAAGGAACATTATTTATGATTAATAATATTATACGATAGTGTATCAAATGGAGTAGATAAATCGTAACTGTCAACAGAGACAACCCAAGGAAAGTAGCTTATTCGTGACCTCTAATGGGTATTTTAACACTCCTGTGATGGCTTAAACTGCTATTAACAAAACACAACTGACAAATTCTGTTCACGCAAACATCGACCAAACCAAGAATTGTATAAAGAAAACAGAACACACCGGCCGACAAAGCAGCCAACAATGTGGTGGTGGTATGCCGTAAATACCACACGGACGTTCCGAGTTAAGAATGAGATTTTAAATTCTTCTACATTCAAGTCCGTGCGCTCCACAGAGAGTCATATAGTAAACAAACATATCATAACCACATCACAGCTTAAGGCCTCTTCTGAACATTTGAAGGTCCCCACTTTGTATTGGTTACTACACAAAAAAAACAGTAAAATATCGTTTCACCTCGGCCTCTAGCAAGTGTTCTACAACTAATCTTTCAGTGCATTTAACTAGTTCCTTAACTACGTTCAAAGAACTTATCATTAACTTTTGTAATAAAATATATGAAAATAGTGGAATTTACTATTTTTGGAGTGTAAAAAATTCTTTGGATGTTTTAGATAAATTACATGCTTTTGATTGTCCTTTTGATTCTGTTGACAGTTTTTTACTTTTTGAACTCTTTTAACTACACTTCCACACAATCTAAGAGTTATCAAACAAAAGTTTTCCTATTTAATTAACTGGTCGTTTTGGTAAATCTGCTGCAACTCATTTAAAGCCTTCTTCTCTAATGAGAAAGGTAAATATGCTAGATATACTTACTGGAGGTGTGGTGAGATTATTGAAGCTGTTAATTTTCTCCTTGATAATATTTATGTACGTTTCGGCAATAAAGTTTATCGACCGGTTGTATGTATTAAGGGGCGCCAATTGCGCCCCATTAATATAGACGCAAAATTATTAAAACAGACTTGTTCTTGTACTGTTATGAATCACAGTTTATGACCAAACTCAGTAAAGACCCGTCTAAATTGCATTTAATTGATAAATTCAACAACTTACCGCTTTCTTGATGATATTTTTTCGTTAAATAATCAAGAATTTTCTAAATATACTGCCGGAATTTACACAAAATAACTTACTCTAAATAAATCAAATATAAATGGTAATAACTGTCCTTTCCTAGATTTAGATATTGCAGTTTCACAAGGGAAACTCTACACTAAAATTTACGACAAAAGGGATGATTTTTCGTTCCCTATTGTTAATTTTCCTTTTTTGGACGGTGATGTTCCTTTGGCACCATCTTACGGTGTTTATATATCACAACTCGTTCGCTATGCCCGTGTCTGTTGTGACGTTTTGGATTTCAATGAACGTAATCTATGTATTACTGATAAATTATTAAGTCAGGGATTTCGTTACCACAAATTACTTAAAACCTTTACTAAATTCTTCCATAGATATAAAGATTTGGTTTTGAAGTTCGGTTGTACCTGTAGAAAACTTATTTCAAACGGGATAGCACATTCTAATTTTAACGGAGATGTTGTTTACCGAGCCTGGAAATTAAGAAACGATCCGGGTAAACTTATTTATCCTTTAAATAAACTTATTCTAAAAGGATACCAATTCAACACTGTAATTAGATCTTTGAATATTGTTTTTATTGATATTAATATTGATTTTGTTATCAGTAAATTAAAATCAAACTAAATATTATTTTTTATATGCATATGCATATTCATGGCGCTCTACAATCTGTCGATGCCTGTATCTTGGCATTGCACAAGGTCATGTTTTTCTCTGACTGTTTATGACGTCTTTATGCTAAATCCATTGGATGTTGGATGTGTACTGATTGATATTTTAGTCTTAGATGCATGATTTTTGTATTAGTTGTTATTGGCTTTGAACTAGCTGTCAGTAACTGCGAGTACTCTCAGATCTGTACTTAGTGTCTTTTTGTTTTGGGGATGTATAAGTACCCTGCCACGTCCACTCTGTGTTTTTGTTACTGTTTTTGCTTTGTATCTATCTGATGAGTTAACCCTTTTCAACTGTTTTTTTATAGTCTGTACATATGTTGAACTGTTACAACACTGTCCCAGGTTAGGGGGAGGGCTGAGCACCCGCTAACATGCTTAATCCCGCCACATTCTGTATGTGCCTGTCCCAAGTCAGTGGTTGTCGTTTGTTGCTATATATCATATTTGTTTTTCGTTCATTATTTTGTACATAAATCAGGCCGTTAGTTTTCTCGTTTGAATAGTTTTATATTTGTCATTTCGGGGCCTTTTATAGCTGACTATGCGGTATGGGCTTTGCTCATTGTTGAAGGCCGTACTCTGACCTATAGTTGTTAATGTCTGTGTCATTTGGTCTCTTGTGGAGAGTTGTCTCATTAGCAATCATACCATATCTTCTCATTTTTATATCAAGGAAAAGAACATTAACAATAGGAAAGGAAAAGTTTCTTCTCGTTTAATAAAATTGTTTTGCATGAAGTTTCATCGAGAAATTTTAGTATCAAGGCTTAAAAAGACACAAGCCACTATTGAATTTATTAAGAGTCAATCGAGGTTGATAAATTCCATAACAGTGAATGATTAAATTTGTCTGAACAAGCGAGGCACAGTTAGTCCCCACCAGAATTTCAATCAATTGATAGTGTATTTCATTTTACAAATCTAGCATATATGTGACTAACCATGAGATTTCCAGATTTATGGGGGGTACCATGTATAAAATTAGCTTTTTGCATATCTATCCAGTACGTTCTGAAAAAAACCTCTATCGTGTTATTATGACATATATAGATCTGTTGCGATAAACATGAAATGGGTCTTTTTGAATATCGGGATATTAAGACTGTTTGAGATGACTTTTTATTAAGGAACGCACTAATCTATAAAGTACATCATTGTTGTATATTATTTACGCTTAGTAATCTCCAACACCGTATTTGAATACAACTTTCAAATGTATTAACTACAATACATTCAGTTCTTTGCTCTCTGTCGGAAAATGTAATTTAAACTTGATGTACTTAAGTAAGTATAAAATTTGTCCAAATGAAAGCTGATAAAATTATTTCTTTTAATTTGTCTTTTAAATTATTTGCATGATGCATGTCTCTACAACACATAGCATGCGAAGCGTAACAGTTATGAAGTAGTTTACAAAATGACATCTCATATGTGCATTTGATACAGTTCATTACTATGTAATATTATCATGAGATCTACAGAGCAGATAATCTTTATCTTTTTAATCAAGTTATGTAGGTTCAAATAATATTCACTTCAACCAGTAACATAAAACTCCTTCAGTCCTTATGAACCTGCCAGCAAAAAAGAAGCCAAGGTAAAGTGTTATACCTTTCTGTACAATGATCCTGTAGTGCAATTGCGTTTCCTTTAAAACAGCTATTATTTTGAGAGATGTATTAAACGGCCGAATAAGTAAATCAGTAAGCGAGTAAAACAAAATTATTGGGGAATTCCAAGTTCAGAAATTTCTAGTGGACCCTGAAAAATTTATCATAAAAATTTGGAAATTTAAAATAAGAGAACATGCATCTAAAATTCTGTCAATCTGCAATAGGGGTTGGGCCAATCTTCAAGAAATGGAATGAGTTGGGGGAATGGGGGGGGGGGGGGGGGGGACTTTGAGGTTTAGACTTAGTATTCATAACCTGAGTGAATATCGAAAGGGGTAGATACCTGAATTTAGAAATTACAAACAGAAAATGTAACTTGTGTAAGGAAACAAGAAGATGAAAGGCATATTTTTATACTGTCGTGTTCTTGAAAACTGTAGAAAGTCATACATTAATTATCTGGATTATAAATTTACCAAGATTTCTTCAGAAAATGATTTTTTATGATTAATGACTATTGATAGTTATGTTATAAAACTTACGCATTAAATATAATATTTGAACTAACAGAAAATCGAGATTCATTACTATATAAATTAAACCGACATCTAAAATATGAACATGATGGAGTTATCTCTCTTTGTCAAAATCTAGATGGACATTACAATTATAAAAAAATACATTAATTTTGACATTTCTATGTTATGATTAAAGTCATATAATACTTCAAATTTAAAAAAAAGTTAAAAATGTTTTATATACTTGAAGTTTTACTACTTAACGCGTGTAGATTGACTTTGATTTAAAAGAAAATCCTGTATCTCATCAAAATCTTTAGAAATGTATTGCTATTGAATTATTGTCTTCCCATACTCTAATTCGCCGATAGCTTTTCTGTATGCTGTGACCTTAACTACGAGACATCTCGATCGTCAGTATTTCGGTAACCGCACTGTGCAAGTGCGACGGAAAAAACGTGATGATAGAAAAGGTATATGCATGTAGAAGTTAAATAATAATTGATTCTGAAAGAAAAAAAATGAATACACCAAATCATTTAACAACTGTTATGACAAAGCTTAATTAATAAATAGAAACGCATGGAAAATATATTTAAACTGAAAAAAACATCGATCTATTGCATGTCTGCCATTTCACTCATTTTTCACGTGCCCAATGGCTGTCTGATTGTTCATTAAGGTGGCGTTCGGTAAACTTCATCAATTAAACACGAAAATTTATTAGCAGGCAAAATTTTCACTGAATGAAATATTTTTGTCGATTACATATTATGGATACGTAATAAATGTAAAAAATAGAGCATAGAGAACTTAGTTTAGTAAAAATAAATGCATTAAGAATTATATCTTAATTAGTCTGTCCATCAAAGGGCACATTGATTGGTTAAATAAAAATTTCTGTATGTGTACTTAATAGGTCAGGTTTAGGAATTTTTGTCAGATATTCGGAATCCTTGTTTTTTTCCTACAATACAGGGTAAAATATTTTGCCCCACAACACCCATTTTTCTTTTCATATAAGACTTCAATAGCTCATAAAAGGCATTTACCAAAATTTTAGCAGATTCTAGATTTCTTCATTTTTCTTTCGATTTGAGACCCAAATAATACCAATCTAAATATAAGGTAAAAGTCCGAGTCAGCCTTTTCCCGCCATTTTTTGAAATTTGAATATCTCGAAAAGGAGCTCCATTTGACTTAGAGTATCAATTTTAAATTCTAGATTTTCTTAATTTCACCTAAGTACATCCTTAAATAGAGAACGTTTGATTTTACTCTGTAATAACTTTTTTTTGGTATTTATCTTTCTCGTAATCAATCATGATGATTTGTTAACTGATATTTGATTGGTTAATTTTTATTATGCAAAAGTTAAATTTAGAAATTTCACATGCTGTACGATGTGACAACACCGTCTTTGAATATATATTAGGTTGTCAAAATATAGAACATTGTCACAATCATGATGGGTTGAAAGTGAGTTTGTAGTGTAATATTTTGGCTACTTCCATGATTTTTAGCTATGCATAATGAATAATTCTACTTCCTTTTCAAAACCGGAGACACGCATTTGTGTTTATCCTGTTCAAGCTGTTGTCATCAGGATACATTGTGTACCTTGTTAAATAATTTTGACATGCTACATGCCACTCATCATATAGTATATAGATTTTTTGGCAGCTACAGTGAGTCCTGAAGGCAAACCCATGTTGTAACAATGATGGACCTCAATGCTTATCAGGTTGTCATGGTTGGGGCTTCAACTAATTTCACAAAAAAATCTGATGAGTGATGTACTGTAAAAACACTCTAAAGACATGAACTGAACAGTTCAATTTAACATATGATCAGCTATATATGTAATATATTTTTGGTAAAATAAAAAGATGCTTGAGCTTAATATAACAGAGATTCAGATCGATGCTACTTTATAAGCCCAACAGATTATCGATGCATGTCGTCCTACTGATCATTATATTTTTAGGTAATCAGATATTCAAATTGGCTGGAAATCATATACTCCATTATCATGATATTGAGAAAATCACCAAAAGAACGAAAACCTTTCGGACCACAAATGGTATTAAACTAACGGTAACCAGTTTATTTAATACACCTTATCGCTATTTATTCCATTCCGGATAAGTTCTGAAATTACTCAACTTTTTTAACCAGTTGAAGCTCTCTGGGGCCCTGTGCTGAGCATAAAAAAAATTCAAAGAGTTATGTTTAAACCATTGTAAACACTTCAAACAAAGGTATTTTCTTACTTCAATTTGTGTTTAAAAAATTGGATCATAAACTAATAATACAAATTTCAAAATGTTCACCTTCTACATGTTTTCCTTTCCTCAGCTCATTACTGATAACCTTTGTTTTTGAAGCACTTAAACTTAATAGGAAGTTGTCTAAGTGACTGTTTTTCATGGATTGGACTAAATAGCAATAAGGTGTATTGTCAACCTTTCAACTGGTCTACAATGATATTTTCCAATCTCCAGCTAAGGGCTAAAATTGAAGTTCACATGAATATGGATTCACATGAGGTCGAATTATTCACTTGCAAGTGAATAATACATCAGCAATGTTTTTGAGCTCATTTGACAAATTTCAGCCAAACTAACTGCTTACATAATACAATGAACAAAATGAAATATTATTTCAAAGTTCAGCTTTTGTAAATACTGGAAACAAAAAGAATCACACTTTGAATTTTTATCTAACTCGTAGCTAATGCCCTTTTAACCATTTATTGTAAATGTGTTTGTGCTAATAAATATTGTCAGTTATTGTCTATAATATACCAGGTTGACATGCTTATTGGCAATCTTCGAAGTCATGTAACCCAGGTATAGATATAATTTGAAAAATAGAAACAAATATTGGTAAATACGAATAGTAGATGCAAAAGTACATGTTAAATGACGATTTACTGTTTGATTTCATACCAGTGATTAATAGCATAATGTTTATCATTGTTTTACCAGTAACCTGTATAAGAATAAGTTTTTGCAGGTCAAAACTGTCAACAAAATTGGATTATTCTGTTCGACCTTAGTTTCAATTTTTCAGCTGACATTGTTTTCAATATCTGAACTTGCTGAGCACATCTTTACTCATCTCAAACTGGGTTCAAATCGAAGGTTGCATGCACATGCATCTTAGTTAGGTTGAATTATTGTCTTGTAAGTAAAAATGTATCAACTAAGTTATTTGGCTTATTTTTATACGACCGCAAAAATTTTTGCGGCCGTATTTTGGTATAACGTTGGCGTCGTCGTTGTCAGAAGACACATTTGTTTTCACACTCTAACTTTTGTTTAAGTGAATGGATCTCTATGAAATTTTACCATAAGGTTCAATACCACAAAAGGAAGTTTGGGATTGATTTTGGGGGTTATGGTACCAACATTTAAGGAATAAGGGGGCTGAAAGGGGCCAAAAATAAGCATTTTTGTAACTTCCAGACATAACTTGTGTGTTAGTGTATGGATCTATCTGACATTGTACCACAAGGTTCCATATCACACAGGAAATGCTGGGATTGATTTTGGGGGTAATTGCATCAAAATATTAGGAATTAGGGGGCAAAAAACAAGCATTTTTCTAGTTTCAGGACAATAACTTGTGTGTAAGTAAATGCATCTTTCTGAAATTGTACTTCAAGGTTCCAATACACAAAGGGAAAGCTGGAATTGAGTTTGGGGGTAATTGCCCAAAACGTTTAGGAATAAGGGGCCAAAAAATAAGCATTTTTCTAGTTTCCAGACAATAACTTGTGTTCAAGGGTATGGATCTCTCTGAAATTGTACTGCAAGGTACCATACCACAAAGGGAAGGCTGGGATTGATTTTGGGGGTAATTGCTTCAAAATTTTAGGAATAAGGGGCCAAAAAAAGGGGCAAAAAACAAGCATTTTTCTAGTTTCAGGACAATAACTTGTGTTCAAGTGTATGGATCTTTATGAAATTGTACTACAAGGTTCCATATCACAAAGGGAAAGCTGGGTTTGAGTTGGGGGGTAATTGCCCAAAACATTTAGGAATAAGGGGCCAAAAATAAGCATTTTTCTAATTTCCAGACAATAACTTATGTTCAAGTGTATGGATCTCTCTGAAATTGTACTGCAAGGTACCATACCACAAAGGGAAGGCAGGGATTGATTTTGGGGGAAATTGATTCAAAATTTTAGGAATTAGGGGCCAAAAAAGGGGCAAAAAACAAGCATTTTTCTAGTTTCAGTAAAATAACTTGTGTGTAAGTGTATGGATCTTTATGAAATTGTACTTCAAGGTTCCATATCACAAAGGGAAAGCTGGGTTTGAGTTTGGGGGTAATTGCCCAAAACATTTAGGAATAAGGGGCCAAAAATAAGCATTTTTCTAATTTCCAGACAATAACTTATGTTCAAGTGTATGGATCTCTCTGAAATTGTACTGCAAGGTACCATACCACAAAGGGAAGGCAGGGATTGATTTTGGGGGAAATTGCTTCAAAATGTTAGGAATTAGGGGCCAAAAAAGGGGCAAAAAACAAGCATTTTTCTAGTTTCAGGAAAATAACTTGTGTGTAAGTGTATGGATCTTTATGAAATTGTACTACAAGGTTCCATATCACAAAGGGAAAGCTGGGTTTGAGTTTGGGGGTAATTGCCCAAAACGTTTAGGAATAAGGGGCCAAAAATAAGCATTTTTCTAGTTTTCAGACATTAACTTATGTTCAAGTGTATGGATCTCTCTGAAATTGTACTGCAAGGTACCATACCACAAAGGGAAGGCTGGGATTGATTTTGGGGGTAATTGCTTCAAAATGTTAGGAATTAGGGGCCAAAAAACAAGCATTTTTATAGTTTCCAGACAATAACTTGTGTTCAAGTGTATGGATCTCTCTGAAATTGAACTGCAGGTACCATTCCACAAAGGGAAGGCTGGGATTGAGTTTGGCCAAATTGGGGGTGATGAATCATAAGGGGGTTCAAAAATTTAGGGGTGGGATTTTTTTTTCTTTAAAATTTTCCATTTTAAATTGGTTATTTCTGATTTATATATAAAAGCAAATAATAATGATATGGTTTGAATAGGTAGATCAAAAATTTTTAAGTTCTTAGACTACATTCATTCTGTGTCCGAAACCTGTGCTAAATAAAATATTTAATCACAATCCAAATTCAGTGCTGTATCAAGCTTGAATGTTGTGTCCATACTTGCCCCAACTGTTAAGGGTTCGACCTCTGCGGTCATATCAAGCTGAGCCTAGCGGAGCATTTTATTACAAAATTGAACCAAACTGTGCAAATAAAAATCGACCAATTTAAACAATTACTGATGATTTCAGTCTATACAACCACTGACAATGTCAATATAAATTTAAACAATTACTGATGATTTCAGTCTATACAACCACTGACAATGTCAATATTCCAGGCTTTTAGTCTTAGATACATGATTTTTTTCATTAGTTGTTATTGGCTTTGAACTAGCTGTCAGTAACTGCGAGTACACTGAGATCTGTACTTGGTGTCTTTTTTTTTTGGATGTATTAGTAACCGTCCACGTCCTCTATTTGTAGAAATTTAAAATAGAAACAAATTGGTAAATATGAATAGTAGATGCAAAAGTACATGTTTAATGACGATTTACTATTTGATTTCATACCAGTGATTAATAGCATAATGTATATCATTGTTTTACCAGTAACCTGTATAAGAATAAGTTTTTGCAGGTCAAAACTGTCAACAAAATTGGATTATTCTGTTCGACCTTAGTTTCACTTTTTCAGCCGACATTGTTTTCAATATCTGAACTTGCTGAGCACATCTTTAATCATCTCAAACTGGGTTCAAATCGAAGGTTGCATGCACATGCATCTTAGTTAGGTTGAATTATTGTCTTGCAAGTAAAAATGTATCAACTAAGTTATTTGGCTTATTTTTATACAACCGCAAAAATATATTGGTATAACGTTGGCGTCATCGTTGTCATAAGACACATTTGTTTTCGCACTCTAACGTTAGTTTAAGTGAATGGATCTCTATGAAATTTTACCATAAGGTTCAATACCACAAAAGGAAGGTTGGGATTGATTGTGGGGGTTATGGTACCAACAGTTAAGGAATTAATGGGCAAAAGGGGCCAAAAATATTCCAGACAATAACTTGTGTTCAAGTGTATGGATGTCTCTGAAATTGTACTGCAGGTACTATACCACAAAGGGAAGGCTGGGATTGAGTTTGGGGGTTATGAATCATAAGGGGGTTCAAAAAATCTGGGGTGGGATTTTTTTTTCTTTAAAATTTTCCATTTTAAATTGGTTATTTCTGATTTATATATACCGGTAAAAGCAAATAATAATGATATGGTTTGAATAGGTAAATTAAAATTTTTTAAGTTCTTAGACTACATTCATTCTGTGTCAGAAACCTATGCTGTGTCAAATATTTAATCACAATCCAAATTCAGAGCTGTATCAAGCTTGAA